TGGTATGAAGTCTGAATGGCATGTACATGACTATACGGCTCAGTGCATACATCGGGGCGGACGGGCGTACGTATAATCGATACTATTCCGTCGTGTGACGGACTGATAATGTTTGCTCATTCTCCTTTTTCCACCTGAGAATTGAAACCGTATCCCGTATCTGTCGTCGTGCAAACGGACTGCTTGCTCCTTTGCTTGCCTCGTACGGAGAGAAGCTCTACTAACCCTAGCTCCATATCTCAGCGTACGGTTGGATTTGCGAAGGGAAGGGCACCGGTTCTTACCCTTGCGTGTGCAGCTCTCGCAAGAACCACCTTCATTCGTGAAATTCTGATAAGGACAACCTCCCGCCTGAACGCTGACATGAACCTGTTGCTGAACCAATCCTAGTAAAGTCAACAACTTGACGCCGGGGAACAGGATTCTAGAATATCATTTTATTCAGACAACTATGTAAATCCCGCTCCAATCATTGTCACATGTATCCGACTGCCTCACAAAAAACGCCAACTCTTGGGTATCCTGATCCTCTAAATTTGTCTCTTCTTCAAGGAAAAACAACATCGAAAACGGTGAAAAGCGGCTCAATCTTCGTGAACGGGAGGGCCGGCATAGTTCTTGTTGCCCCAAGCCCAGTACCAGATGCCGGAGACGGCCGTCGCGGCAACAAAAACAACGGGAGCATAGTTGACCGTTTGGGCGGTGACGGGAATGATGGTCGGCATGCAGAAAAGCGGCAGAGCAAGCAGGGACCAGGCTGTTGAAAGGATCAGTATCAGTATCAAACCCACGAAGGGGAGGAAGAAGACCAGATTCACATACCGACGGTGATGACGTTGCAGAAAGCACCCAGCTGGCCGAGATAGAACTTGCCCTTGCGGACCTGCTTCCTTCCGCTGAGCAGACTGATGGCAACGGGCGTTGCATATGCAGCAGTCAGACAAATGACACCAACGCCGGAGAAGGCATTGAAGGCGGCAGTAGAGCCAAAGTAAATGACTCCGAGGATGATTTGCACGGCCATGCTGAGCATCATGGCGTTGAGCGGCACGTCAAGGGTCTTGTTGACCTTAATCCACCATTTGGACCCGGGAATGGCACCGTCACGAGCAAAGGCCCACGTGCAGCGAGACGCGGCTGTCGTACAACCAATGCCGCAGATGACGGCGAGGACCATGATGGGGATGAGAAGGCCAATGGCACCACCGGAAGATCCCACGGCGGATTTGATGATGGGAGGCACGGGCTGGCCGGAGGCGAGTGCGGCAAGCATTCCGAGGTCGGGAAGCACGAAGACAAGGGGAATGAGGAAGAGAAGGCCGGCAATAGTGTTGAAGAAGATGGTGACAACCATGGCCTTGGGGACCTGGGTGGCAGGGTCTCTGACTTCCTCGCACATGCTGAGTCTTGTTAGTCGCAGATTCGAGAAGCCAAAAGCGCAGGCACGATCAACTCACGAGATAATCATTCCAGTCGAAGAAGTGGCATAGGCGGCGTGAAGGAGACCAACACAGAAAGACCAGCCACTGGGCCAGCCAGAAAAGGACTCGAAATGGCCAAACACCCACTTGGCCTCGTGCCGGCCGTTCTTGGCAATGACGAGGATGCTGATGAGGATGGCAATGACACCGGCAAAGGTCCAAAACACGGCGGCGGTCTTTTAACAGTTAGCAAGTTGTTGATTTCACATAACGATGAGGAAAGGAGACCTTCGGTATAGTAGCCTATACCATGTTTATCAAGGTCTCCGCCGCTCTATATCAGGAACCGAGATATCGCGGGGAAGAAATACTCACGTCCAACCAAGGAAGCCACTTGTTGCCGAGAGCAGAGACAGCATTGCAAAACAGCGTCAGAGCCAAGAAGATGAGGAACACCTGCCAGGGTTCACCCGCAAAGATTCCGACGCCGGGCTCCTTTTCAAACACATTGATGCAAGAGACGAAGAACAACGTGCTGCCAAAGTTGACGGCCAGAGTGATGGTGATGTTGCCGACGACAAATAGCCAGCCGGTGATCCAGGATGCAATGCGCCTCCACTTGGGGGACGCCAGCATAAAGGCTTGGTAGTAGACGCCTGCGGATTTCCAATATTAGTATGCGCGCATTCAACATTGTGCGATTGGGCGCAGGGGGGTTGGTTACCTCCGGCCGTGGGATAGACACTGGTGATTTCACCCAGAGATGCCGCAACGCAGACTATGATCAATGACACCAGAACCCAGCCCCAGATGATGTCCACCGGACCGCCTCCGACCAGGGGATAGTATAGCGTTGTGGCGAGGCCGTACGGGATCGACGCGAGGACGAAGGACATGAATGCGACCTGGGCCGTGGATCGGTTGCGCGACAGTTCGGGGGTGTACCCCAGCGTCTCGAGGAGGTGGTCGGCTGATTCCTGGACATTGTCGAGGCGCTGGTGGCTCTCGAGCTTGGAGTCGACGAGGGTCGGGTCTGCCTTCGGCTTGTTGGCCGAGGAGGAGGACGACATGGCGGGCGAGAAGGAGGGGAGGGGAAGAGGACGCTCAGGAGGAGAAGCTCGATGATGACGATATCATGGAGGGGGGAAAGAGAAGAAGAAGAGGAGGAGGAGGAGGAGGAGGAGGAGGAGGAGGAAGAGAGAGAAGAGCGAAAGAGTAAGAGTAAGGAAGAGAAGAATAGACGAGGCTTAAGTGTGGCCCCAGGGAAATGCGATAATGGATTGTTGAGAAGGCTTCGACAGTAGCGCCGGGGCTCATGCAAGTAAGCAGTGCAACCGGGATGCTGTCATAGTACGTTGTAAACGAGCTGAGGGTTCGTGCCAATAATGCGCCCTAGGCCGCATCCGAAGATTGTCGCGTGCCCGAGATAGAGCTGGAGCTGCTGGAGGTAGCAATAGACTGCTACGCTGGTATATATTGCGTCTATGGAGATGCCATATGATGAAAAGTATTCTGAAGAAGGCTGCCGCTCAACGATGGAGGAAGAGGGAGGAGGAAAGAGGAAAAGTCCAAAGTTTGACGGAGGAGAGAGAGAGAGAGGAGAGAAACTATGGCCCAGAAAGCGTAAAAAACCTGCAACTGAAAGGACTTGATTGGCGGCGGGGCTTTGGCCAGAGCCCATTGATCGTTGCGCTAAAGATGGACAGAGCGACAAAGTTCCTGGATTGTGCTTCTCGGCATGGAACTCCGTTTGGCTGACTATTGGATGATCCTCAGTCTCATTACTCGTGACAGCCTGGAGAAAAGCTGGAGTGAAGCCCTAGTCTCACTCTCACGGTTCCTTGAAACCATAAGACACTCGTCTCTTCTTTCCCCCAGAGTCCGGCCTTGTGGATACGCGTCCTCGACCTGGAATTTCCCTTGGCCAGTGGAAACTGACGGAAAAAAGCGCCATCATGGGATTCTTTCTGGCTGGGGTTTAATGCAATGGAGCAGTTGATATCATTGGGGCCGCCGTTCCCCAGGCTAGCAGCCGGCCTAGGCTGGATTCATCAGGGGGAGGCGAGTTGGGGCCCTTCAGCGGACGCTTAGTGGCTGTAGGCGGTCCCCGTTACTAGCGGTTTGCAAGCACAGGTGCTGGGGGTTCAGAAGCGGGCTGTGACACTCCATTCCATGTTGACCGAAAGCCTTTCGGGGCTGGCACTTACGACGTCAGAGAAGCGACACTTGGGTTAAAGAGAAAGGACTGTCTCTTCTCTGTCTCATCTTTTTCTCAGAATGGAAGTCTCAGGCCGGTGCAATGCAGGGCGCCATGCAGGATCTACACGCGATTAGGATGCTGACCAGTGGCGGTTTGATGCAGATTCCCAGATCGAGCCAGTCTTGTTGCGTCGATGATTAGCTGTTGGGTTGGGCAACGCTTGTACATACATCGTAGTTCCTGCAATATACGCTAGAAAGCCAGGAACATGTGATCCTTGGCTTTGCCGGACAATAGCTCATGAATCGGTATGCATCTATCCGTAGAAAAGAAGACGAGCAGACGAACAGGAGCATCATGAATAATCGAAAGAAACTGTCACCGGCAGACGAGAGACCCGCAAGCACATGCAAATCTCGACACAGAAAGTCGAGGCCTCAGGCCAGAGCGTGGACGCTAAGCCGCAACAGGCCGTCCCTCGGTGGGCCGTTTAGGAAATATTGCACGCACCTCTGCGCTAGGCCCAGAGCGGCATGGGCTCTCGGCGTCGACTTGGATTCAACAAAATCTGGCGAGAAAAAGTCCCTGACAGGGACACGATAGAGATGCCGTTTGTTATCAGGCAGTTGATATTACAGTCAGCCAATTCTATTAGCACGAAGATGTGGGAGTCCCCTCATTTCAAGGACATCATCGATTGAGAGTCACCAGTCACTCTCCCGCGTTACCTTGCGAGAGCCCAGAAATCAGACAGGACACTTCAGAATGTAACGATGAACTCGCCTCATCTGTTCACTCAATACGAGTACGGAGCACCTTTCTGCAATCCTACCTGATATACTACTCTATATCGTATATGCTCACCGCATGTCTATCTCTGAACAATGCTTTGCATGTAGTACAAGTACGAGATGACCAAAAGGCCAGTCCATCTTAGCCCGTCTCGTTGGTCTGTCTGTTAGTGATAAGCGTGGTCCATCAGAGTCTGGATGTGGCTGGACGTGAGATAATCTCCGGCTCGTCTCGACCCATCTGTGCTATCCACTTCGACAGCACCGGCAACTTGCTGCTTCTTTACAATCTCCTTTACTTATGTTACCTGTTTCCTGCTTTTCCTTTTCTCCCTTTCCATCAGACTTCAAACGAAGAATTGCCCATCTCTCACTCCTTCTATACGCGTGCTCCGTCTTGTGATCATGTCATCGTCATGCCATCAAACTAAGTACTAGTCACGTATATGTAGTCTATGTCGATATCCAGCTTTTGGCCTCGTCCTCGCATTCTATGTCCATCTATCCATTGCCTCCTCTGTCTCTTCCTTCTTCCCCCCCCTCTATCGCATGCCGTTCCCCCTCCTCGATATCAGTCCTCTCTCCAATATTAACCCCGTCCACCGTTGTAATCGGCACCGCCAGACTTCCGCAACAGCTTCACAAGGTCGTCCTCCCTCAGCTCCGACCTCTCCTCCGCCGTAATCGCCAGGTGGTGGTGCTGCAGCGCCTTCTTGACGTCGCCGCTCTCGACGCTGACGCGCGCCTTGCGCATCACCTTTGTGTTCTTGCCGATCCACACCGCCAGCACAAACTTGACGCGCGTGCTCTCCTTGTCGTTTGCGTACTCGATGCGCACGTAGCCGTACTGCACCTGCCCGTCGTCCAGTGCCTGCACCAGCTCCTCGAGCCCGCCGCTGCCCGTCTGCGTCAGCGTCAGCTTGTTGCCCACCGGCGCCGCGTACGACAGGAGCATCCAGTTGGTGTCCTTCTTGTCGTTGCGCACGTCGTCGTACGCGGCCACGATATCGGGGGCGTCGAGACCAGACATGGCTGCTGCTGTGTGCGTGCGTGTATCGATTTGTGCGCGGGAGGGAGAGAGAGACAGGAGGCGGGCGGCTGAGTGGCACAGCAGGAATTCGGCACGATCCGGATTCCAACAATAGGGGGTCTCGGGGGGGCGTCGGTCGAGAGGAGCACGTGCGAAACTGCGAACACCTGCTGCCAGGAAAGACAACAGCCGGGTACTGTTAGCAATTGATCCAAGGCGGGTTGCGTTCCTGTCGACTGCGGCTCATCCCGCCGCTGGTCTCGAACTTTGCTTCTGCCTCAATGTTCCACTTACCTTTGCAGACAGGCCAGATGGAGTATTCCAAAGGTTGGGAGAGCGGAAAAGGGCGGGGAAGAAATCTGGCTTATCACCAAAAGCCTCCACCGCAGCCCCTTTCTCCAGCTAAAGTACATGTAGTAATCGACTGCAATGGGTTAACCTGCACATGCCTACCCTAGACTTTGAAAACTTGGGAAGGGGAATTAAATCCGTGTCCAACAGTCAATCAAGTACTCTCTTCATAAAACTTCTTTTCTTCTCAGAGCACCACGTCTATGAGAATTGGCCTTATCACCTGGTGAACCCTTTCCGCTGTGCGACCCCAATTGTATTCATATTTGCTGCATGGCCCCCTAGCACCATTTTACCATACGCTTCCTGTATCATAGCCAGTTACTGATGCATATTCCTGAAGAAAGAAGAATGTTGCAAATGTTATCGTATTTCTAGTTTGACTACGTTTCTATTCGCATTCGGGCCGTCGGGTCTATTGAATCCAGTTCCACAGGCACAATCAGTGGCCAATGCTTCGAAACCTCACACCAGAACGCCTGATCCCGTCTCAATACGCGTGTACCGGTTGCCCTGTTCGCCGTCCTATAAAGTCCCATGAGATTGCCTACAGCTCTTTCAATGCATTATTTACCATCTCCCAGCACTTGCGCATCCCCGTTCCCATGGACTCTGCATCAACATCAGAACCAGCCACCCACCGTCTCGGCTGTTCTTCATCACCTGTCACCTCAGCATCGTCACCCACTTCGAACAAGAACACATGCATCGTTAGCTTGATGTGCGAGAATAACCAGGGCACACTGCCAAGCTCTCCCGCGCATGATATTCTCGTCGGCTTCTTCTTTGTTCCTTTGCTACCACCCAACAAACTTGATACATAACCCATAGCTAGCTGCTCTCGCTTCCTCTTGTCTGGTTTCGTCGACTGCTCAAGCAGTTGGCTGGGAAATTCCCAGAGCCCAGCCAGAAGGCCTTTGAGTGGCCGGCGGTGGATGAGGTATTGGCCATCGCTTCGGCGGATCGCGCAGACGAGCGTTTCTTCTTCACGGACTGCCTTTTTGATGGCCTTGACGGGGAATCGGCGGGCGTGGGCGGTGATGGTGTCCATCGTTGCTTTGGAAGGGGCCGCAGACGTCGCTGAAGGAGAGGAAGAGGATGAAGCGCCTTTGGCGGGTTTCCTCGTAAAAGCAAACGCTGCTAGTGTTGCTTGCTTGCCCTGCCTTGCTTCTATCTTGTTGGTGCCGGTGCTGCGGCTTTTGTCTTGGGTAGAGTCGTCATCGCTGTCTCGTTCGCCGTCCTCAAACGGTTCGCATAGAATGCATGCTGCGTCTTCAATGTCCGCTATCCTCTTTGGCTTCTCCTTTGATTTGCTGGCTTTAAGCTCGCCCTCCTTATAAACGCGACACGTCGCCGTAATCGGACACTGGGAGCAATTGGGATTCAGGGTGCAGATGGTGCTGCCCAGCTCCATCAGCGCCTGACCCCATCGCCCCGGTCTGTCGTTGGGTTCGGAGCTCGTCTCGCCATCGACACTGTCCAGCTCGGAAGTCGCTTTCACCATGGCATCCGCCGCTGCCCAGATAGCGTCGATGACGGCTTTGCCCGTCTTGATATTGCCGTGTATGCCTAGCTGCCTGCTCAACACCCGCAGCACGTTGCCGTCAACCATTGGCTCCGCGCGGCCAAATACGATGCATGAGATGGCGCCGGCGGTATACCGTCCAACACCGGGTATCTTGGCCTCGAGATCCTTTGCAGAAGACGGCAAAAGGCCATCCATGTCTGGGTCACCGACGGCCAGCTTCGCTGCTTCATGTATCCTTGTCGCGCGGCTGTAGTATCCAAGCCCGCTCCACGCGGACAGGACGTCCTCCGGCTTTGCAGCTGCTAGATCGTGAATTGTCGGCCACTTGGCCATCCAGCGGCTCCAGTAGTCAATGACGACGGCCACGCGCGTCTGCTGCAGCATGATTTCGCTAATCCAGACCTCGTACGCGCGTTTTTCGAGTGTCTTTCGGAGCTCGGCTGGGTCTGATATCGTTTTGGGGTCAACCCACGCTTTCCTCCATGGCATGGACCGCGATTGACTAACTGAGTCGAACCACGAGAGCAGCGCCTTGCGGCCCCGAGATCCAACTTGTTCATCCAAGAGGAGAGGTCTGTGGTATAGGATGGAGTGCTGGCGCGATGGCGGGAGACATGTTTCCTCTTTTGTCGCTTTCCTGGCTTCCTGCGCGAAGAGACTTCTGGAGAGGGAGCTGTCAAATTTGACTGGGCGTGAAGAACCAGAAGCCGTTGAAGCCGTTGCTATCTTGGGCCTTTTCCTGCTGGGCTTTTCTGGACGGCTGTCATCGTCCTGGACCTCAAAGTCGGAACCGCTGCTTGACGCGGCATCTTTCCGTTCTGATGAACGTAATGAGCGTGATGAGCGCGCTGAGCCTGTATTCGCCACTGCTGCTGAATTTCTCGCTGGCTGTCTTGCGCGTTTTGCAGCAGGCATGATTGATCTGACGCAGGATCGATTCTGTCAATCTGCTGCTACCAGCTTGGCCGCTTGATCTGATCTGATCGAGATTAAAGTTACTAATGGGGATCGCGTCTGGATGTCGCGACCCGCACGGGCCACCTCTACATGTACTTCACGTCTACCTTAGCTAACCTTACAATTTGCGTCAATTCAGCAGCATGCGCGTGATTGGAGTATCACGTCGGTATTATTGGATTTTATCTCTAATAAAACCGCAAAGAAACAGGCATAGATCAAATATCAATCATGTTCATTGTACCTCAGGAAGCGCAAGGTTTCCGATAGTTAAGGCCTTCATTTAATGCTACGTAGTTATTTACAAGTATGTACATATGCAACCCACCTCGCCCTTAAAACCCAAGCATCATGGCCGCTATAGAAACCGCGGCTGGGACAGCCTGAACAAACAGAATCTTCCTGCTCGCCGTCGCTGCGCCATACACGCCGGCGACTCCTACACACCCCAAAAAGAACAGCCTGATCTGCGCCGCAAACTCTTCCACCGGTTGTGCGAGCCCCCAGAAGAGCCCCGCGGCCAGGAAGCCGTTGTAGAGGCCCTGGTTGGCCGCCAACACTCTTGTCTTGGTGGCAAAGTCGGGGGCCAGCTTGAAGGCCTTGTGGCCACGGGGAGTGTCCCAGAGGAACATTTCGAGGACGACGATATAGACGTGGATGGCTCCCACGGCGCCGGTGGCAAGTTTGGAGAAGAGAGGCATCTTGTTGCTGTTTGATTGCTCTATTGGGTTGTCCGGAGTCCTTTTGCTTCGTTTGAAACTAATAACTCGTCAATCGGAGCCGGCTATTAGAGTTGACCAGACCTCCGAATGACTTGGTTGGCTGAGAGAAGACTGGTCCAGCTGGGCCAATGTGGCTTTGGGCCGAGTCTCGCAGCGAATGGAACTCGCTACAAGTAGCTTCGTGGCGTAGGACTTTGTATCTGAACTGCGGAACGAGACCCGGCAAAAGTGGTCGAGAGGCGGAATTTGTGCTTGGGAGGGGAGATTTGTGATCACCTCAACTTTTCATGTTCGTGTAATATAGTAGGTATTTTAGAATGAGGATGTGGCTTTCTCATGCGCAAAGATTTCACTCTGACTGCGCTTCGTCGGACACGGCGATTCCAACTTAACTCTATACGGAAGCTTCGTAACCCCTGTCCTACGCTCGCTCGCTCAAACAACAACGCGGCGGGTCGGGTCTCACTTTGGAGGCGGATCGGCTACTAGTTCCTCTGATGGGAAAGAGGATATAATTGCTCCGGGCTCCGGTAGTGAAGCTTAGATGCCGAGGCATTTCTCCGTAGGAAATAGGCCTAATGCCTTCATCCTTTTACAAAGACGACTGGATATCGCCAAAACTTGTATGTAAAGAGTAGGCGACTTAGACGCGCGACCCTGGTTTGCTTGAATGTCGGACATGACCCGGCATGCGCAGCCTGTCGACGACTGGCTCCCAGCGTCAGAGAGGAGGACTTAACGTGAGATTTGAACCGCTCAAAATTGAGCATTTAGCCGGCCTTCCCGACCACTGTGGAAGATGATGCTGTTGGTGATTCACCAGAGCTATTCGTCTTGTCCATGTCTACAATGCTCGGCAAACCTGTCAGCATGTCGCTTGCCAGTGAGTTGCAGACGGTGAAAATAACCCGATACGAAGCTGCTTGAGTGACTCATCCGCAGACCCTTGATATCACCATTCCCATGCTGTCGGCTGAACGTTTCCAGATATACTCCAGGGCGCACCGCTTGAAGAATGATTGGACGAAATCGTCGTAAAGAAGGTCAATAAAAACTTTGAACGAGAAGAAACCTGGGAGAATTGTAGGTACCTATGATCGCATTGCACACGTAGAGATCATCCCAGACCCTGCAGTTGCAACGACTGTTCAGCCTTATAAATACGCGTAGAATCGCCTTTGACCATCTCGCCACTCCAGCTGAAGCAAGCTCGCGCCCCAATAAGATCTATTAGAAACTGGACCGACGAGAAGCTATTCGATCTGTATGCCACTCTTCTACGAAAACATCGGAACAAAAGTCAAGCAGTCTGTGATTCCGCGTCGATTAACGAAATGTCTGGCTGAAAGCTCCCACGTGGTATTGGTCGCCCAAGGCGAACGACGTAGAAAGAGAAAGGGCCGCACAAGACGACGTCCGAAGTTGAGGCCTTCAATAGCGTGTTTCCAGACCCCACGAAACGATGAGAGGATGAGAAAACGGGAGAGGATGAGAAAACGGTAGAGGACGAACAGAAGCAGACCATAGCCAAGAACTCACCCATCCTCTGGTATCCATGGACATTGAAAGGACTCACCTTTTCAGTCTTGCCAGAGAGCTTGTTTCGTGCGAACAATGCAGCCCTCATGAATCTGTGGGGGAACCGCAGGGCGCGGCCAGGATGTTTCCAAGCTGGAGATATCTCCAAGTGTTGGCCGTGTGCGGGGGATCCCCAAGGGTCAAAAATAGCAGGCACAACGACACCCACAGTCCAGCTGCTCATGAGACGACAGTCTTACGTAGGGCGTGAGAAAAGCTTCAAGAGTCTCAAGAGCTCTATGTGGAGGCTCAAGATAACATCCGATGCAGCTAAAGCCATCGCATTCAAGCTATCATTGAGTCTCTTCAGCTTGTTCTCCGCTGTGGACGGCTTTGGAGATAAAAAGTACTATTTACTACAAGCTAGTATGTGATGAGGATCTCGCCTTGGCTGACTGTAGGCGGGAGCCTTACGCACCTTCTTGTTCGCCCTTCCATGGGTGTCAAAGCGGCATTCCGTGGGGGGTCGAGACGCAAGGCCAGGCCTCGCCGGGATGGAACGTTCTGATTAGGACTCTTACGCCTGCTGACGATGAGGTACAATACAAATAGGGAAAACTTGTGCCAAGATGTGCTTCGCAACGTTGGGGTGGTACACGGGGGTTTGGGCAGGTGGGGTTTATCACGGAATGTCTTCCGAAGAGATACAGCTGGCAGTCGTTCGGTGTTGGAGATATAGAGATACTAGATAGAGAGTACTAGATACGAAGTAGAAGCATGAACTCAGCAAGTATGATAGCTGGAAGAAGGAATAAAAAATGCACGCAGATAACGAATGGTGGGCGCGTGAACATTACTGATCAGGGTGTACTCCGTACTAGCAAGGAAATGATAAACCGGGAACCTCGAATGAGGAGGTTGGAGCTATCTAGTAGGATTACGACGGTGAAAGAAGTACGGAGTAGAACTGACCAACGACAGTACGGTGATTGACATAGGAGGGATCATGGCCGTGACCATGTCCATTTATGGATTGGGCCACACCTCTTTCGACGGCCTCTTGCTCTTGTTTGCCGCTTGAGATTGAGGAAATGAGAACAGACGTCAACGGACAAGTTCATATCGCTTATGCATTAACATCAAGACGGTTGTGTGATAGAAACGGTTCGTACGTGATCAACCGTAAGCCAGACTATTTACAAGAAGAGCTTCCGCCAAAATGGCATGATACCGACGTGCTTGTACGAATGCAGAGTAAAAATGTAGAGTTTAAACGCACACAAACGTACAGCGCAGAGGGCGAATGACCAGCGCCATCTCAACCCGCATTCACCAGGTTCGGTGAGTTTGGCCGTCTTTGGGTTGGGGGTCATCCGCCAAGTTGCGTCGAGATACATGCAAGTCGCGAACCATGTAATACAGGCTCCAGACAGCCCCTCGGTACGGCTTCCGTATCTGAACAATATGATCGCGGTTGAGGCAACCCAGCTAAAATCCTCTAGGGATCAATCACACACAATGTAAGCCTCATTGAAGATTGTAAAATGCATCCATGCAGCTGTCAAAAGCATCATCTTCCTGTGGGGTTCCTTGGACGGAACCTGGTGAAATAGCCGGTTTAACGCTCGTCTGTGAAGACGAATCAACCACTGAATGACCCATTGCCTTCAACTAAGCCATATGCGGTAATTTGTACGTACGCTCATGCATCTTACAAGCCAGAGTACAGCGTACAATACCTCTGTTGCTTACCCCGTCTCTCCGCGTTCTCCAGAGACTTGCCGCCGCTAGCCTTGAGCCCAGCTCAATGGTTCGAGGGCTTATTGATCCCCGGCGCTCGGTGGGGGAACAAAAGATGGGGGGAAAGACTCTGCGGAGGCGCCAAAGAGAAGTCGTGTGGCGCCTTTCCTGGCTGGCATTGCCCCTGCTCCTCAGTGACACAGAAGCAGCTTTGCAGACAGCAAGATGGGCCTTTCTTTCTTGGTGCCCCGGCTTGATAGACAAGTGTGGTTGAAGACCGTATGGGTCCTTGATTGCGACCTACGTGTGTGTACATCTCAGAGGCCTTGTTACATACCCTTGTCCTGAATTGGGATTTTGCCTCGTGGCTCTCGTGTCGTGGAGCATGGGGAATAAGTTGACTTGATTGCCGTAGACCTTGGTCTGCCACCATTGCCGGGTATTGCCTGTTCATGCTGGGTGTGCTCAAAACCATAAAGAGATCTCGGCCCGCTGTCAGTATTGCCGTCTCCCTTGCGTTCGCCAGCCTCCTCCCTCTCCTTGCTCTGGACGCTGCTGTTTGAAGTGTCAATAGCAGGCAGATACGCCACAAGCTCCGCAGAGGACCAAAGGCAGTCAGAGGAAACAGGGACTGCTCCCAAAGAGAAAGCAACGAGACGAGCCGGAACAATGGCGGAAAAGGATGAGTCGCGGCCTGAGCCGGTCATTGACCATGGCTCGATTAACGGTGACACTATCGACAAGACCGCCATCGGAAGCGTCACCGAGGTGCAGGGAAACACTCACTATCACGAGACGGTCACTGCGGCGCCAATGAATCCCTGGTCGCGAACAAGCATCCAGCTGTACTTTATTCTGCTTGTGGCGGCCTTGAACGCGACGTCATCTGGTTTCGACGGTGTAAGTCAAGGGAAAGCAGCATGTCTGGCGACAATTTGTAGCCAGCATTCGAGGCATCATGGCTGACCATCCTGCAGTCCATTTTCAGTTCCATCAATGCCATGGATCAGTACAAGGCGTACTTTCACCATACGGAGCTCGGCTCTGCCACCGGCATGTAAGTTTACTCGTTCTGCCAGACGCTTTCTGAATGCTATTGTATGAAGTAGTCACTTACAAGTAACCTTCTCTTAGCATCTTCATGATCTATACCATCGGCAACATGGTCGGCTCTCTCTTCACCGGACTGATTTGCGACCAGTGGGGTCGTCGAGCCGGCATGATGTCGGGATCCCTCTTCATCATGGTTGGAGCCATTGTCCAAACAGCCTCCAAGACGGATGCCTACCTGCTCGGAGGCCGTTTCGTCCTTGGATTTGGCGTCTCTATCGGGACTTCGTCTGCGCCCACATACGCCCTTGAGCTCGCTCCTCCCCAGTGGCGAGCCCGGGTCGTCGGTTACTACAACACCTGTGCGTAGAACGCCATACCCAGTGCTCATAACCCAGTCCTCATACGTCTTCTGGCTTGCTAACAGGAGGCCCAATGCCACAGTCTTCTACACCGGCTCCATTCTCGCTCTCGGCGTCGCCTATGCTGCTGCGAAGAACAACAGCACCCTCGCCTTCCGCCTTCCCCTGGGCCTCCAGCTCATCCCTCCGTTCTTCATCTTCATCGGCGCGCTCTTCATCCCCGAATCCCCTCGATGGCTCACCATGTGGGGAAAGAAAGAACGGGCCGCTGCCATCCTGGCCAAGTACCACGGAGGCGGTGACATGAACCACCCCATGGTGCAGCTCGAGCTGCGCGAGTTCGAGGCCTCGATCGAGCTACAGAAGGCGTCCAGCATCTGGGACTACTGGGCGCTGATCAAGGACCACAACGCCCGCTGGCGATTCACCATGATGGCCTTCATGTCCTTCTTCGCACAGCTGTCTGGAAACTCTGTCCTGACGTACTATCTGCCCTCCATGTACAAGCTTCTCGGTATCATTTCGGTTGAGCGTCGTCTGTTGCTGTCCTTTGCCAACGCGATCGTTTCCTGCGCGGGCGCTGTTGCTGGTTCTGCTACTAATGACAAGATCGGTCGCCGTACCAAGCTCTGGATCGGAAGTCTTGTCTTGGCCGGCCTCTTCGGTGCTGTCACTGGATTCTCCGCCAAGTTTGAGAACGGATCGGACGGCATCAGCACGGCCTTTTCCAACGGTGGTGTTGCCATGGTCAGTACCCATTTTCTTGCCGGTTCAGAGCGGCAGCGACTTATGCTAACTGTGCCCATTTAGATCTTCCTCTTTGGCTGTGTCTACTCGTTCGTTTACACTCCCCTGACTGCCACCTATTGCGCCGAAGTTTTGGCCACTCCTACCCGTGCCAAGGGTATGGGAGTCGTAAGTTGAGACACATCTACGCCGTCTTCTTTGCTGTCGACTTTGCTGACCTTACATCCCTCTCTCTTAGCACGTCATCTTTTCCAACTGCGCCAACCTCTACAACACCTACGTCACCGCCGTCGCCCTCGAGGCCATCAATTGGCGCTACTATCTCATCTTCGTCGGCCTCAATCTCATTTACGCCTTTTGCTGGTTTGTCTTCGGTGTCGAGACTCGCGGCCGCACTCTGGAGGAGATGGACGAAGTCTTCAACGCCAAGTGGCCGCCGCGTGCTGCTCTGCAAAAGCACGTCATGCTCAAGCGAGACGGCCACCTTGCAGGCCTCGACGATAGCAGCGGCAATGCTGACCGAGTTTGAATAGATTTGGGATATATATTGCCGTAGGACGCTGCTTTGGACTTCTCACAAACTTGAGGAATGGCTGTGGAGAGTTACTGGAGGCTGAGAAGGAGGAACCTTTCCTTTTTATGCAAGACATGATATTACCCTGAGTACCTAAGATTAATGATACAATAAGAAAGCGCTTCCTCTGCTGTCACAATCATGGCAGTGATACTTGACACATGCATGAATCTATGCACCTGAGAGAGACAAAAGGTGAGAAAAAGATGGACTTTGAGAGCCTGTATAAAATTCCTACGATTATCCGTGTTCTCGCTTTAGTTGTTCTCCTCCCGTAAAATGCTGTACATGTTTCCATGGCCCGAGAGATAACTCGCTAGTCCACTGTTCTCTTCATGATCCTCTTGGTATGAATCTGGCTTGATCATATCTTCAATGGCCCATGCCACTCTCTCTGCCGCAACTTTTGCTCCCCCGATATTCGGTGCTGCTGGCCCAATCTGAAGAGCTCCCAACCGTCCAGCCAAGAATAGAGGTATACCATCTTTCCACATGAGATCCTCATTGATGCAAGGGAACCCACCATGCCCGTGTATGGGGTATTTATGTAGCATTGTTTGCAGATACGGCAGGCAAGTAAAGTCCGTTTGGATCCCCGTCGCGAAATATATGTAGTCAAAAGCTGGCAATCCGGCAATGGGCGGCTCCGTCTTGACGGACCAGAAAGTCGAACCATCTATGTCCTTGAGTTCTGCGTCCACGAGCGTGGTATGGTTGCGTAGCTCTATGGTGCCGGCTGCGATGCACTTCTTCACTTTCTTGTAGTAAAGAGGCGTGAGGCTGCCGCCACCGCGGGCCTCCTTTATGATGGCGAGGCGCTCAAGATCCGAGTCTGCTGTCCAGAAACGTGCTTGTTCGGCGTTTTTGTATTTGCCCATCCATGAAAGGTCGACGTCGAAGTGCTTGATCCTCAAAGGACCTCGCATGAGGTGCCATACTTTGGTCACGCCCTTTTTCAGGGCCAACACAGCGAGCTGTGCAGAGGTGAGGCCGCCGCCAATGATGAGGATATTGGTCGAAGAGCCGGCGGCAATGCGTGATTGGACAAGAGCGTCGGGAAACTGCTTGATTTGCATACTGTGGCACGCCTGGGGGATCGTGCCGCCGGCTGTGAAGGGAGCTGACGGGAGCGGAGGGATCTTGGGTGTATTTGCTGGGCCGACGGCAAGGACGACCGCTTTGGCGTAGTATTGCCTGGTCTTGTCGGTGGTGATAGTGAAAAGCTTTGCGCCATCTACCGAAACGCCCCTGACTTCACCATAGTCAATGTCTTGCAGTGTTTCCTTGCGGATCAGTTGCCCTCCAAGATCGTATCGTCCGGCGACTTGCGCGCAATGGTCGCTGAAGAGGGCCTGGGATGGCGTGTAGTAGTCGTTTCGATCTCGAAGATTGATATCGATCCTTGCCTCCTGTCTGGTGTTTCCATTGTCAGCGCCTTATGCGAGGAATCGTGAGGTAGAGGAGTTTTCATACTTGCCACCACACACTTGGCGTTTGGCCATCTTTTTGCTCGCATGCTTGCTAATCTCTTTGCCCACACAATTGCGAATCTCGACAAGCTCATCTTCTCGCTGGTGATAGTATGCGTGAGCCAGAAGCGCGTCTCTATCCAGCGGATCCACGTGCCAGAGCATCGGACTTCGCAAGTGGGAGATGTCATATGTCTTGAAGAGGTGGTTCCATCGGCCGAGCCACTTGTTGTCCGTGGCGTCCAACACGAGCATCTTGTATTCGGGGCGAGAAGCTTTCGAGTGTTGAGCCTGGGAGATTTTGCCACTTTTTACGTGCTTGAGGGCGACTTGCTTGCCGTACTTGCCAATCCAGTGGTAACGGCGGTGCTCCTCGTCCGTGAAGAGGGCGGCTGGAGTGTGCTCACGGAGCCGAGAAGCTGTGGCGAGACCGCAGGGGCCTGCACCGACGATGATGACATCGTATACTTCGTTTATTGTTTCGCTCATGGGTACTGGCTCTTCCTCGTTTTCTGTATGTGGTGGGGGAAAGTTGTGTAGGCCTGAAGGAGAGGAGTACTCGTAACTGTTTCTTCATGATTGAAATGCTTTAGGTCCCTTGCTCCTAATATCTTTCCGTCCCGTTTAGCAGAGAGAACCTTGATGGCCGAATTGCATTCGCCTTTCCTACGTGATATACATGTTCCAATAATCCGACAAGCTATCTTTGTTGGTGAGCTAGGAACCTAGTCGATGATGTTGGATGGACCTTGATGGACTGTGGGGAAGACATCAAGGTTGTTTGCGGTGAGAAGCCTGTAATGCCAGCAAGAAAAGCAAACTATGCAATAGAACACAGAATTGAAAGCAATACGCTTGTCTTCTTGTACTCTCCATGAACATCAGCAGGCTCTTTTGTCATGCTGGCCATTGTCGTCTTGGTCAGCATTCGAGTAGTTCTTGGTGGACTGTGTACATGTAGTTATCGACGTATGAGTATGCAAGGCTGCAATTTGGGGCACCACCATCAAATTGGCACATTAACCCCCCGTGTCTATTTTGGCAGGCAGGATCTAAGACAGATTTGACATGTCCACTATTCATAGGCTTTCCATCATTGAGAAGCTTACAAAATGGCCTATTGCATTCTTCATTTACCGGGTTCTGAGTTGACAACCCCATCAGGGCCGTTCTTGAAGCTATTCCCCACTCCCGAGTCTTTTTCTCATCCACCCATACGTAGCGAATTTACAACGCTTAAATCCCATCAAGCGAATCAAAAGCAATTTGGCGCAGTGGAAGCGCGCCGGGCTCATAACCCGGAGGTCGCACGATCGAAACGTGCAATTGCTATCTCGCCTGAATCTCTTTTTTTTTTTTTTTTTTTTTTTTTTTTTTCGTCTTTTTGTCCATTCCTTTCCCGCTTCATAGGATCGACATCTCCTGGCCTTGGAACGCAGACAAATGCTTTTTCATTCTTGACTCATATATATATACCTTATCATAAATCGTACGTCGCCAGTGCAGAAGAGCAATCGCAAACTCAACGCCATCTTGTCCACGTAAAGGAGCAATAGACCCCGCTCAACACAGACAGCATGCCCAGGAAACAGCACAAGTGCATCCACTCCTGGTTTGTGCTAAAGTGGAAAATGTTTCCGCAGGCTGGACCGAGGAAGAGGCCCAAGGCCCATGCCGTGCTCAGACCGCTAAGCATCATGCCTGGAGTCAACACTTTCAGTTCCCAACTCAGCTCTGCGCCGCTGGCTCGAATGCGGCTCCTCAGAGTCTCGAGTCTCTGTGCGGCGGCAGATATGGCAGTCGTTTGAGTCGTAGTGGCGAGAGAGATGCAGAGGCCGATGGATCCCACGTTCACCACGAAGAGAATGCGAGTTGTCGTGTCGTCTCCAGTGAGGAAGCCAAGAGTGACCATGAAGACTCCGCACGCAAGCGCTGATACCGTGCTGAACCATCGAGGGCCGTACAAAGTTGTATACCTGCCAACAAGGGGACCGCCGACCATGGGCAGAAGCAATGCGAACATGACGCCTCCACCAGCAGATGAGGTCCAGCCAAAATGACGAAGGACATAGATTGGGATGGTCTGTTGGTGCGCGTTAGCACAAAACCCAATAAATGAGTTGATAATGCGTGTAAGTGAGCTTACGGCTTCCAAGGCTGACCGAACGACACATGCCATGGCCGCCCCCGAGACGCTGGACAGCCAGTTCCATCCCAGCGTCCTCATTGCTGCTATATCATCGTCGTCTTGGCAGTCGGTCGTTCCAGAAAGAGCCGATCGATCATCCCCTACTCCTCGTTCCAGATCCGTCGACGAGGTGTGATTGCATGCATGTAGCGTTCCGTGAGATACTGCCGTAGAGGTTCCAAGTAGCGCATCCGCTTCCGAAAGCCCTTTGGCGGCGTCCACCAGGTCTTGCTCCTGCGATGCCGAGTCCTTATCCTTGTCTTTGACAAGAAGGCGGAGAACGATATCAATCGCAATTACCACCTCGACAACGGCAAAAACAGCCCAGTGCCCTAGGCTTTCATAGAGATAGCCCCCTACAATAGGTCCCATCAGCTCCCCAACTGTTGCACCAAGCGTCGTGTAGCCCATGCACACTCCCAGATTTGCTTCGTCTACCTGAGAGACCAGGAAAGCGATGCCGGACACCCAAACGAGGGCCTCGGAGGCCCCCTGCAGCGCGCGGGCGAAGATGATGAGGTACGGATTCTTGCTGAGGAAGAAGAGCAGGGTGGCGACAAGCATGACGCCGATGCCAACGAGGAATGGGCGACTTTTGGCGATGCCTCCGTCGATGTACCCAGCGATCCCTTTTGTGGCGCGAATCAATGCGTCAACAACATCTTATTCTAGGGATGGCTGTTGCTGCTGAGTGAGAAATTGGGTTGACTTACAGTTGGTGATAAGCAGTGCCATTCCGAAGGACTCGAGAGATAGCGCAGCCCAGTAATCGACTTTTGATCGACGACTACGTCAGCGGAAACTCAAGATCTCGCAGCTCGGGTATGGCATGTGATGGGGCTTCTACCTTCTTCTGGAGGTCTTTTGAGTCGACCCGTGAAGAGCTCAGGTAGAAACGGTATAACCAGATCGTATATCATCCCATCCTGGTGAATTGACCATTAGTTAGCATCGCTTCTTGTTCAAAGCCTACTTATTGGTTCAATCACTTACTGTAAAAATTGCAAATGCGACCGCAAAAGTCACAAGTCCCTCCGACGATCTCCATGGTCCTGTTTCCGACAGGAATCCCATGACCGGCACGTTGAGATAGTTGCTTGGACGGTGAGAGTTAGAGTGTGGGAAGTGCAAGCTAGAGATCTACTGATCGAGAACGGTCGTAATGGAAGTTAAAGGGAGCTGCGATTTTAATACTCCGGCTTCACCGCGAGGAATGACAGAAAAAGCCAGAATCAAGATCTTTGAAATGCCTGAGGTGGGCGGGAAATGAAGATACAAGGCGTGGAGCTATGTACCTCATAATCCATACCATAGCGGGCCAGAAGCTTGTTCTCTAACAACGAAGCGTTGTAGTAATACTTGATTGCGACTGCAAATAGGCCCGAACATAGCATTATGAATGCGAAATTGGCTACTTGTAGGTAACACGGTGGCGGACGAGAGTGAGGCCTGTATGTGACTAGCAAGCTGGGGAGCATGCTGTGCCCCCATGGACGTGTCTCACAGTAATAAGATGAGCAAACACCATCTCACGATGATGGGCGTTATCCTACCTAGTCATCAGCCACCATAGTCGAAGTACGGGGAGGCGATAACATGCCGCCTCTGCCAAGCGGCCCTGTCAGGCCCACCAGCACCCCATGAGATACGGAGGATTGGAGTCTAGATATAGTATCATGTCGCTACTTGCTCTGGGTTTGGGTACCGCAGAGCCCTGCGGTGAGGCCTGCCTCAAGCATCAGAAGCTGACTAGGCAATGACCAATAAGACCGAAGCGGTCGGAGCTGAGCATGGCAGGCAATTTGAGATATGACCGGCAAAGGCCTTATCGTTGGAAATCCGACCCTGCTGTTCCGAGTGCAAGAAGCACGCTCCTCTCTGCATAGCATCTCCACTACTGATCCATAGAGACCAGACCGATGCGCGATGGCTGAAACCAGGAAGATGGACGCGCTCTTGAATTCATTATACCCAGGTCAGCTGCGGCCGACGGCCAGTTACATAGTAATACATAGTACTACAAGCAGTATTCTGTCTGGCTCTGGGCAGAGGTGACTGCCGGATCAACCTCTGCTGGGTTCTTGCTTCATATTCTGCCTTACCTATGTACCTATCCAACAGTGGGTGCATAGCACAACACTCTAAATGCAAGAGCATAGCGACAAAATACATATGGACTGCATGGGTTTGGTACTCGGCCGATGCAGGTGCTGAGGGGCATGTTGGAGAAAAGCGAACGAGTACGGGTATGTAAGATGTTCGTGATTAGATCCTTGGAGCGGAGGAACTGGCGCTAGCTCTCTCTACCTATGTCTCAGTAAACCTCCACCACCACCGAATCCTGCACCAGAAGCCAGTGACACATCCTGCCAGCTATCCGGCAGAAAGCTGTCTCTCACGTAAACGAAACAATGGTTAACATGCGATAATCTCCGTGGGATGATGCGCGCTGCTTCTCCAGAGGTAGACGGCTTGATTTCATCACCGATATCAATGAGCACACATAACTCACGTTTTCCAGTCTGGCCTACTGAAGAGGATATGGATTAAATGATCCATCTGCAAGATACGACTTTTTTACCCGAAAGCGGACATGATGTCCCGTGTCTCATGGATTTTCCAGCTGCCTTATAGAGAAGCCAGTGCGCTTTCAGGGATCCAACCCCTCTTGCTACGAACCCTAAGGTAAGCCGCGATATTTAGTAGCTGATTGTGCTTCAGTCTGATGGACGGGCGGTAACAGATTTGGAGTACTCAGACTCGTAGATTGATCGCTGGGCCCTTTTGAAGACTGCAGTGGTGCAGTAGCACGAAGTAATATCGTCTGAGAAAGTAGCGGCCGTGGAGGCAAAATTGCCTCAAATCACGAGGCGCCATGGGTGGAAGAGGTATTGTGACTGTCGAAACACCCGCGAATGAGCTGCTTTCAATGCCTCACGTTACAATGCGTAGGAGCGAGGAGCTCGCTATTGTACCTGTACTGACTAGGTTCCAGCTGCTAGTATTACCACTAACAGTGAGTTAGGATACAGCTACTTCGTAGGAAGCTCAATTTTGATATGTTGACGATTTCAGCCTCCGGGGTCTGACCATGTTCCAACTGGTTGGCACGGTGCGGCGAAGCATGCTCTTTTCGTGATGGGGGTTCGAAGTATGTAGCAACCCAGACTGATTTATGTGCGGTCTTGGGATCTCAAGACGATAAAGGCAGGCGTCATCAATTCCGACGCCGCACGCAGACCATCCTTTATTACATTCTCCGATCGACGCCATCTTGCCTCAGCTCTGAGGAAGCACATGAGAGGAGGCGATGGTGCTGTACCACCTGCTAGGTGCGTACAAAGTACTGGAACTACTAGTATCAGCATACTTAGCAGCTCATATTCGTTCTGTGTATAAGCTTCAGAAGCTGGCAGGTCTGGTCGAGCACAGGACTTCACTCAATTAGTATCAGACGATCAGACATGTTTGATATGTGCTTGTGCGCATGGTATATCTATCTGTAGCTGATTCAACCAGCTCAAATGGTTGCTATTGGCAAGGACTTGGAAGGAATACCTACATGTAGATGCCTGTACACCATCTAGGGGGCTCAGGGATTGCTAGGGCTTTGATCAGTGAGCTGATGATCTGCGACAGGATCATTGGCCAAGCTAAAATCAACTTCATCACGTCCAGTTGTCTGGCAACACGCTCCGGAAGTCAAGCCAAGAGAACACAATGTTATTCCAGGGGAGGCAACTCTTTTCATCGACCGTGTTTACACAATGATAACTTGTTTCTTTCTTTCGCAATGGTCGGGTTGAAGACTCATATGCGAGACTTGTTACCGGCTTCTAGCGTTTCTTTGGGGCTTTACTACAGAAGCGATCGCCTGGCGATGGGTCCGGGCCTCAATTGCCCTTGCGAGAGTAGCAGAAATCCTTAGACGGGATGCAGACAGAACATCATAAGATCAGCTACAGAGTATTATCTACTGCTAAGAAAGTGCAGGAACTTTATATTAATTAGAGATTAACATCCTGCAGGACTGTGCAATACACTTGCGAATTCGGCCAAAACCTATGGCGGTATGCCGGTCAGTGAATCACAACGGCCGTCCTGACAAATTTGAGTCTGTTGGTAGCTTCTCAGGACGAAGCTCTGTATTACAATTCGGACGAGGTGCTCCTCAATATATAATCCCGAAATCTTCAGAAGTAAATCCTTTTCGTCTACACGATTCGCCCTAGTGCAGAAGAGACCCATCCTATTTGTAAATGACTCTGGATTCATCTACAACTATCTCTTGACTCCCGCTCTCCCTTGGCTCTCAGCCAATCCTTTCATGCCTTCCCACCTTCTGTTCCCACATCGACTAGGAATGATACTGTACCTGGGCAGCAGCTCCAGCTTAGCATCACGCAACGTTATTCGCGCACGTAAGAATAGGCTTTTGCGGATCATCCGCGCCGCTATCCTGAAACATGTCAACAGGCCGACGCCTTGCCATTCCCGTGACCGGCTCATTTCAAGCATCACCCAACCAGAACGGGCGGAGCCGTGCGTGGGCGATCAGCCACCATTTCGGGATGTGGAAGGCTAACGCACAAGGTCCTTGGCATGATGGTTGGCACGTCCTCCATCGGGCAGGTCTGTGATGATGTTTCAGACTGCTGGAAAAAACCGTGACCACTCGGCGTGTGCTCTACCCCGATTCTAAGCTAGTTTGAGAGATTCAATTACGTGGGCGACGGGACAAAGGTAGTATTGGGCCACAGATGGCTAATGTGACTCTGAGAATGGAGATGGCGGTGGTGTATAAAAGAATGACTCGTCCGCTCTTGAATGCCGAGAAGAGGAGTTGTCTATAACCCTCACCAGACTTGTTATCTCAGAAGCTGCCTTCTGTTGATCATGAAGTTCACAGCTGTCCTCTTCGCCCTTGCTCCGGCAGTTCTGGCGCTGCCAAGCTCGCCCTTGGCTAAACGGCAGGGAAGCATCACAGCCATCACGGACCAGCTTCTCTTCGACATCTCTCTACCCGACTTCATCACACACCGCGACGCAAAGAACCCCTCCAATCTTGATTGGTCGTCAGACGGCTGCACAGACTCGCCTGATAACCCCTTTGGATTCCCCTTCATTCCTGCCTGCTATCGCCACGATTTTGGCTACCAGAACTACCGCAGTCAGAACCGATTCACCGAGAGCGGCAAGCTCAACATTGACAACAACTTTAAGGACGAGTGAGTTAAGGAAGTTGCCTTGCCGCGAGAATAGTGAATGCTAAGAATAATGGAATAGCCTCTACTACCAGTGCCAGACATCCAGCGTGGAGTCCGTTTGTGACGCTCTTGCCGATGTCTACTACGCTGCAGTGAGAGCATTCGGAGGCGGCGATGCTTCTCCTGGTAAGCGGGAAGAGTCGCAAGAGGACTTGATCAAGGAGTATGAGGAGAAGGTCGAGATTTATAACAAACTCGTCAAGGAGGCCCAGGACAAGGGCCTGCTGCCCATTTTGGACTGAAGAGGTCAGATATTTCGTATATGAAGGCATGGACGAGCGATGATACCAATATTAAGCAATTCTATTTCGAGCTTCTGATTATTGGTCAATTCTGTTGAGGAGCCATATGAGAAACAACACGGAGAGGTTATCGCGGGCGTGTTTTGACGAAGCCGTGCAAGCATATGTTCATGTTACATCGACTTACTTCAATTCATTAGTACCATTTGTATCAGGCCTAGCTCGTCGCTGAGGAATTCATCCAATCTTCTGTTCTGATTACCCCGCACTTGAGCTTCCGTTACCCCGCGTCAACCTCCCAGGGTCGTTCCAGGGCCCGCGGCATCTGATAGACTCCAGGATAGGTATGTGTGCTGATTTACGACGAGAAATCGAGGGCTGCTGATAATATTGTTACGTGCATGGCTCAAGCGAAGGAGACTGTAAAAGGCTTCGAGAGTCCCGAGACTGCACCTACAGAACGCGAACCCGGCCCAAGAGTGCACAGAAGGAGATCAGCCGAGCAATGGAGAAGTGAGAATGATGTTAACTCTCCGGGAGTCCGCTACGAGAGTCGGAGTGGATGAGGCAACATCTAATGCGTTGATCGTCGGGGACTGCGGAACGAAGGTTGCAAGAGTTACGAGCCCAGTGCTAAAGACAAGATGAAAGTAGTGGTGGCAAAGCATGGCAGTCTCAAGGAAGTGCGAGAGGGGGTTCAGATAATAATGGCCCTGACTTGGCAAAGTACAGGTGGACATCGCCTCACACAATGTTCTTATAGAGGAGAACAAGAACGATCAGGTTCGGTTCCTCTTCTAGATATGCTGTCTTGTCTAGTTCAAGTTGGGGGGGGTAAAGATGGTTGAATGGTCCTCTTATTGGATCTTGACACACATCTCTAAGCCCTTGGAATAAGGGAGAGTCAGATTTGTATAGCCGCTCGCCGAGGACCTCAAATGGTCCAAGAGCTCCTTATATCGTGTGGCGGAAGCAATTGAATTATCAATGATGACAACGGCCCCGGACCTGAGCTTCGGCTCTAGAAGCTTCAGGGCAGGCAGGGCAACCGGAGCCCAGACTAGATGTCAGTCAGAAATGAGCCCTTCTGGCAAAGCTAACGTCTAACTCACTATCCAGAAGAACTAGATCGACCTGCGGGATGTTGTTCTTCAGTGTCTCGAGGAGATCCCCTTCTCTCAGATCGACGTGACGCATCACGAGATCCTCACCAGCTTCCTTCCAGTACTGACGAGCCTTCTCTGCCTTTGTATGCTCTTTTTCCGTGGCGATGACTATACCCTCGCCACCGAGATGTTCAAGATTACTACCGATGGCCAACGCAAGATATATCGTGCTCACGCCAAAGCTGGTGCCAATCTCGACGATATTGCGAGCCCCGGTGGCTCTGGCCAGCTGATAGACGAAGTGGCACTTGTCTTGGTCCAGTGCAATGAACTTGTCTCGCATTAGCTCATCGAATCCATCGCGAGAGCTCAGATATGTAGACGGGAGAGCTGCTTCTTGTGCAAGTGACTCTTGATGCAGACGATTAAGCAGCGCGTGAACATGGTCAGGCGCCACGACGGGATTTGGAGCCGGGACCGACATTCTGGGACTGATTCAACCGAAGCTTCCTTTTCTAAGGGTCAGATTCCCAATGGTATGGCGAGTATGTGTATAGTTTGCAATTGTTGTATCCTGTTTAGAGGCGCCAGCACCCTTAAAAATCCGAAGAAAGGTACATACATGTAATCCGCTGCTAATTCGATACAATTCAATATGGCCCACTATAACTGACGTTTGGCGCTCTGTGAGATTCGTCTTCGACGCACAATGCACGCAACCAAGAGTATCCACTTTGACTTTATACATCAATGGTCAGCATTTCCTTTTTACCGAGCCCCTACAAAAGGCAGTATCCTGCTCTCAGTCAACGACTGGTTTCTCTTCGTTTGTGTACTTCGTAATTGGCGAGCTTTCTGTCGCGGTAGCAATCTGTATTCTGGTAGGGTACCTTTCCTGTTCTCCGCACTGCGGGTGACGATTCGGCCCTGACCGGCTTTAACAACTACGGGCCGCTGATGTAATAGATGCTCGGCCACTGAAAGCCCGGGATAATGGCGGTCCTTTTCGCCTAGCGGTGTTCGTTCACCTTCAAGCGGTTATTGACCTCCGCAGCTGAGCGTAACACGCGCTCGACCGACGGGAGGCGGCTCTGGAGTTCATCGCGATTGCAGCACCTCGTCTACACATTGTATTAGCCGGGCAGCAAGGCTGTCCCGTCATATCCGCGTGCAATGAGAGCCCGTACTGACGGCGTTGAGAAGGCGCACGCATACGGCAAGCTGTTAAGGTTCAAACAGCCAAACTATGCCGGCCCAACGTGAGAGCACCCTCAGCTCGCATAATAGCCAGCATGTAAAGCAGCTTCTAACAAGTACATTGTTCGATCAATTATCTTCTCATCTGTAGAGATTTGACGTAATTCACGAAGCAAGCAATAGGAACCCGGTGGAATGTGTGTCTACAGTACCACATCTGGTCAAACGGGCTACCAGAACAAGAACATAGGCTGCACCCCTGTATATAATAGCGAACCTTCTAATCGCTGTGAGTTTACTGAATCGGAGGACTGGCGGAATGGCTAAATTCCTTCCTATTGGCGCGGAGTACCATATTCGCGGACATGGATGGCTTGATCCGTCTAGCCAACGCTATCCGAGTGCCTGGGTGTCGAGGAACGGCCTATCCATCCTCAAGGCAGGCCTACGTACGATGCCGTGCCCTCCCAGGGTGGAGCAGCCGGGGAGTCTGGTTCACATGGCATAGCCATCGGGTGTTCGGCGGCTCAGAGACCATTGTGCGGCCGACAAACATGGACTTTGTTGTAGAACGAAATTGCTTTTTGCTGCGAGCCGGCGATTCTTCAATGCAAGCTGAAATCTGCTTGTCCCTCGGGCATTTGACTGTACAATGCACTTCATCATGTCGTCCAAGCGAACCCTTGTTGATCCTACTTGCACCGATGAATCTGCCTCCCTGTTTGCTATCTAAGGCGGACATGTATCGACGACTCATACCGTCCCACAGCATCACGTACTTGATGCCAAAACTGACCATCAGTACGTTGCAGAGCCAAACAATGGCTGATATTGTCTGAAGCCCAAGCGGAAATACGGAAATATCGAACGGCTTCATCTTGTTTTCGTCCGCCAACCCCGCTGATACAAAGCCTAGCCAGTGCGTCGTAATTTCGACGGAACACGCGGGAATACGAAAGAGCTTTTCCTGCTCTGTGCAACAAAAACTTTGCTCTGGACAAGAGACGCGAGGCGCCAATCACGTTGATCCGAAAGGATTCTCCAGGTTCTGCTTCTGTCAGCTAAGCAGGTGTCAACTTCGTGAACGCAAAAGCTCTTTATTACTGCATAGATGCCACCCTGACTAATGAATCCTTAAGCAGCAAACGCGTGTCCGTCTATTGGCATCCCATCGTCTACAATTATAGCCGGTTGGAGACGGAGATACTTCAACTCACGGCCTTCATTTCTCAGACCGAATCCCTTCTCATTCCCTCCTTGCTTTCGACCGTGAATACCGTCTGTTGCCGCCATGACAAACATTAGCAAAGCGTGCGAGGAATGTCGGCTTCGGAAAATTCGCTGCGAGGGCGGAACACCCTGTTGTCGATGTTTGAAGCGCAACATGCAGTGTGTGTACCGCTTCAAGGTCCGAAATCGCCTGAAGAGATCAAGAATGAAACCCAGGCCACTGTCAGAGGAGACTAATCACGTTACATCTTCGGAGAGCCGAGGAAATCGCAGTCATCAATCCGAGGTCGAGAGCAACCATGGGTTTCATGTCCACAGCATAGCAGCACTCCCACTGCCTTCGTACAGCTTTCAACTGCACTATGGGCCGTCTTCGAATTTCTCAATCATGCACCTGGTGTATAGTCAGATGTGCGGCGCTCAAAAGCCCCTAGGTAGAGACGAAGAGGTGGCCCAAGTCGGCCCTGGGCTAGAACATTTCGACTACCAATACCTGTTTTTCGGCGACCTGGCAGACTCAACCAATTTTATGCCTTCTGCCGGGGTTTACTTCACTGCGCTTCCATCGGAAGAGTTGTCCAAAGAACTCCTTGAACGGTATCTCTCTACTTATTGGCATATGCTCCCCATTGTCACCAAGGACCTATTCAGGCAGCGTCTGTCACAAATGTACTCTTCGCCTGGCCTCTGTCCCTTCGATTCACTGGAAAGCATGGTGATACTTGCTGCGATTGCGGTGGGTGCATCCATGAAGGGGGAGGAGAACATCGCAAAAGACCTTTTCAACGGGGTGAAGATAAACGCGAAACGCGCCAATGAACATGTGAATATTCAGTCTATCCACTTGGAGCTGATGCTTGCGCAATTCCGAATCGAGAGATCAAAACCACACTCTGGCTTTATGCACACGGGAAATGCGGCGAGAAAAGCAATTGCAGCGGGTCTCCATAGGGGAGTCAACGTTCGAAATAAGCCGGAAGATGCTGCTCAGCGTAGGCTAGCATTCTGGTGTACGTACGTTTGGGAAGTGTCAGTAGTCCTTGATCCCACAATTGGGCTTCTAACCATATGGCTGACTTAGTCTCACGTCCAGCTGGGTTTGCTTCATTCTTGGACGCCAGACATCCATCTCCGAGCTTGGCTGCGATATCCCTATCCCGACCGACGACAAGATTATGGCCGCCTTGGTCAAGCTGACGAAAATTGTGTCCCATTGCGCTGATCAAATTTACAACCGCCGCTACGATTCTTTGGTACGCATGTGGGATGCGGTAAATGAGATTCGTGGTCAGCTGCGCAACTTTGCCGATGAGCAGCGCAAGGAAATCGGCCTTGAACCAGACAGAGTATCATGTACAGGGGAATCGAGCTTCTGCTTGACAACAATAGCCGCAAGTAAGTAGAACGCCGGTGCAGTCACTAATGCCCAGTACTGACTGTATTTGCTCAATTCAAGTGTACCATCATACTCACTTATTGCTCTTTCGACCCTTCCTGATATTGAGAGCAAAGCTAGATCTCATACCGCCTACCCTTAGAACTCCAGCATTGATCAAGCTTGACAAGCTTGCATGGCTGAAGGGCGTGTGTGAGAGCTGTTTAGATACTGCTCAAAAATGCGTGCGGCTGATAACTAAGACTTGCGAGCTGGATGAGAATTGCAGAGTATGTTAAGAATCTTTGATCCAGTCATAGGCAAAGGCAGCTAATGCAAATGCAGGGAACGGTATACATGGCATCCTTCCTCGAGGGAGCTTGCTTTGTCCTCGGCTTTGACATGCTCTCAAATGCATCGCGGCGCGCAATTCATCTCCCATATATGCAGAAAGCCGTTGAATGCCTCTTGGCAATGAAGCCCAAGCAAGCCAAACCCCTCCCACAAGTCCCGATTCTTGCAAAAGGGTTACAGCACATAATATCCTCTTCCATGTCCTTGGATGCTACTTTTACCGGAAGATCACAGCTGGCTTCCCTGTGTAACGGCAGCTCGTCAATGACAATATCCGCTAACACCGAAACGAACCACGGAGGTACTGAGCCTCAGAACTTTTTACCTCCGCCTCTAGCGGACAGCCACATCCTCGGCAGTACGATATATGATCAGATGTGCTCAGCAACATCCTACATGGAAGACGGCTGGCAGACTATGAGCGCCGAGATGCCCTGGCACGAAGACCCCGACCAACTTCTTCTAAATCTGCAGCACTGTGGGTGGACTTATCCGAGTCACCAACCAAATTGAAAATTTGAAGAATTACAAGAAAGACACATAGTGAATGGTAGAGGATGAACCATAGAGATGGCAAATGCTGCCTAAGTTCTCACATAGCCATTTGCCCAAGTTTGGTATTGCAATGGCTTACTCTTGTACAATATTGCTTATAGATTCACAACATCTTCGGAGAAACTCGTTGCGCTGGAGCAACCGCCGTGCTAGAAATACCATTCCAGCCTTTGCTTCTTGTCATCGGCTATGGGGAAATCGGCAGCGTCCGTGACTGAGAAGAATGCTGATTGCCAGTTGGCATACATAACTCCGTCACGACAAGCCTCCGAACGAGATTGGGGTGCTTGACAGCCAAAGCCGTTGCTATGCCGGCTCCCATATCGTGTGACAATATGTAGGTAGAAGGAATATTAAGGTAGTTCAAGACACTTTTTAAAGTCTTCTGCGGAGGCCAGCAGTATATCGCAAGTGAATGCTGACATTTTCAAGCAATGCGCTGATGCTCCCAGTCATCAAAACTTGTGAGTCTACTGGCCTATCGTAGAACAAAGAAGATTGTGAAAATGAGCGGTAGTTGCATTTGGTGTCGTGATTAATACAATCTCGGAATGACTTTTTGAGGTCATGAAATGGTAGTATCTGATTGAAAAAATCATTGATTTTGTAACCATATTTGTACTCAGCCGACTTTCTCTTTCGCTGGCAATCGCGGTTTACGTATGTTGGTGAGATTTGCAGAGAAGCTACGATGATGAAACACTCAGTGACAAATGCATGTCCATGCGATAACTCTGGGAGAGTTATAAGGCAGCAAGTTGCACTAGTAGTGTCATGCGTGTAAGCTAATTGACGCTCATTAAGGAATGATGGTAAATGTTAGGTAGAGAAACACCTCGGGGTTATGCCATACCCGGCCTCTAGATGTCTACTGAAGACAACACGTAGAGGACCAATGGTGGAGGATTTTCAACAAGCCACCCATTAATGTTGATTATCAATCCTCATCCTCAAGCCGCAGAAAAGCTGTGAATATGCCGAAGCTAGACCGATCTGGCAGTTGCCATTTCGAGACTGTCCCTTCAAGAAAGAGACGATTTTACTTATTTTGCTTTCAGGGGATGTGTTTGGCAAGTAGACAATTGACGTAAATATTGTTTAGAGCAGATTCATTGTCCATAAGTATACGGCGTCAGTTTCTCGCTGTTGACCCTTGCAGTTGCTACATTTAGCATAGGCTGCCGAAGACGCGATAGGCTTCACCACTTGTGCCCACAAGCCAAGAACTTCCACTGGTCATTGATATTCATTCTATGGTCTGGGCAGTGAGATATTTCTTTCCAGAGGATTTCAAAGCAATTATTGAAGGTCTGCAATGCGGGAATTTAGAGACAAGAAGCCATTGGTTGGTAATTGGCCTCGAGGAGCTGTTCATTGAAGATATAAAGAAGCACATCCAAGCACGATGGAAGTGAATCTACAGCATCACCACTCGACGCAAAGTCCGGTAACAGCCACATTGATAAACGCTGAAGTTCCAGATGGCCGCCAAGTCACCCGTCAACATTATCGCCGGAGCAGGCAACGTACTTGTCCCTCTCTAAAAATGACCTGTTGACCATACTCTAACTCTTGTTTTCCAGATTGGCGACAGCAAGATTGACAAGACTGTCCGATATGACACGCCCAATCAGGTAAACGCGTACCTGGACGCCTTTTACAAGCGAGGGTACAAGCAAATCGACACCGCGCGCAATTATTCTACTGGGGCGCCTGGCACTTCAGAACCAAGACTTGGTGCAGTTGAGGCAGGAAAACGGTTCATTATCGACACCAAAGTGAAGTCCCGCGAGCCTGGGAGCCACAAGAGGGAGAGAGTTGCTGAGGATATCAACACTTCGCTTAAAGAACTGAAGATCGACCAGATAAACATCGTGTATCTCCATCAACCGGATAGAGCAACCCCCTTTGAGGAGACCTGTGAGGCCATTGACAAGGCTTACAAGGAGGGAAAGTTCAAACAGTTTGGACTCTCCAATTTTACGGCAGGTGAAGTCGCACAGGTCATCAAAATCTGCGAGGGTAGGGGTTTCGTGAAGCCGAGCGTCTACCAGGGGCAATACAATCCCCTTGTCCGAGGTGGAGAGAAGGAACTGTTCCCTCTCCTGCGCAAAAACAACATGGCTTTTTATGCATGGAGGTATGTGGCGGCATACTATCTCTGCGTGTTGTGAATTGGTCCAACATCACGAAAAAGGGGAAGAGGAGCCAGAATGCGGCGATAAGCTGACACTTGAAATAGTCCTGCTGGGGGAGGCTTCTTTGCTGGAAATTACAAGACCGGTAAAGAGGGCGGTCGGTTTGACAAGTCGGTAAGTCTTCCAGGTGAAACAAGTGTTTTGTCAATTGTGAATAATTGACATGGAAATGCAGACGTTCCTCGGAGGTTTCTACTCAGCTTTGTATCTTAAGCCCTCAATTGAGGCCGCAACCGAAAACGCCTTGGCTGTTGCTACCAAGCACGGCATCAGTGGCCATGCTGCTGCTTTGAGATGGACCGTTTATCACAGTGCTCTCGATGCAAAGTACGGCGACTCTATCATCATCGGCGCGTCGACTATCGATCAACTTAATTCTAATCTCGACATTGCCGAGGTGGGGCCCCTCCCGGATGATGCTGCCGAAGCCTTCGATGCCTTGTACATGGAAGCTGGCGCGGATGAGATACCTTATGCCTTTTGAAGCTGAGGTCACGTTGTACGGGGCTAGATCATTCGGCTTATTATTGGTAATCCGGCAATATCTGGACAATCTTCGATGAAATCCCATTCGCCCATCATTGCATGACTCGGCCTGATTACGAGAGCAAGGAGTTGGTAGAATGCCGGCAAAGAATCGGCAGGCTTCGGGACTCCGAATTAGGAAACTGCACGACTTGGCAACGCCTGATATGGCCTAGGGTGGAATTTCATAGGATCCCGTAGCAACAGTTCGGTTCTGGCTTTATCATCTCCTTCATTGTATACGTAACTTGACTCTCAGATGCATACATACACAGTACTTGTGACGGAATGAATTAGTCTCACTTGCTCTGTTCCCAATCATTGAATTGCCCAAAAGTGCAAGTATTCACATAATCTCTTCAGCGTCCATTAACAGCGACTCAGCGACTCAGCGACTCAGCGACTCAGCGACTCAGCGACTCAGCCAACTCTGCCAACTCAGCGACTCAGCAAGTCGCTATGAGTTTACCTTCACGGGGAAAGGTGCATTTTGTGTACCTCACGGACCCTGTTAAAGGAAGCGCCATTTCTTCACACAAGGCAGCAAAGTCACATGCGGCGCGGCACGGTCATGCAAGGATACGAAGGCAGCGAATGAACGAGCACCAACATGAGAGGAACAAGCACGAAGGAGGCAGCCAAACACTCCCAATAGCCGCGACGGACTCCGTTTCGTCGGCTAGCATTAGCCGCTCTGGATTGGCGGAAGACTCAAACGCCAGTTCTAGAGGCAATGGAGGGGGGACTGGAACCAATCGTGAAATAATTCTGCATTTTCCTCGCGTCTCTCAGCCTTCTATCTTGGAAACGTCACCATTTACTTCAGTCTCCAAGAACATCTACTCCTTGTATGGAACCAGGGTCAATTCGACTCAGCAGTTTCTTATCCATCACTGTAAGTATATCAGTCAGCCCAACAGTGTACATACCGATAATGATTCATTTGAACCTTGTTGCGCATTGACTTGGCTTACACCATGCTCAGACGTTAGCGTTGTCATCCCCTTTGGCAAACGCCACTGCCAGAAATACACGGACTCTAAGGTGTGGAAACGATTTATGTTCACCGAGTTGTTCCCTGTTGCCCTTGCAAATCCTGGATTGCTGAGCGCGATATTACTTGCCGCCTGCCGGAGCCTTTTCGAACAAGACAAGAACAGCCGTTATGTACAGCTGGCCACATATTACAAGCTCGTTTGCCTTCGATCTATGAGTGAACTGCTCGCCATCCAAAATCTTCATGTGGGCGACTCGACAATAGCCCAGGCATCTTTGTTAGCAGCAGACGAGGTGGGTTTCACCCGGTACACTTTGGCGAGGCTGATGCTAAGCTTTTGAGACAGCTCAACCTCGGTGACAGAGAAGTCTCAAGACAGCACATCGAAGCCGCAAACAGGATGGTCGCTATGCAAGGAGGTAGTGCGATGCTTGGAATGAATGGGTTCCTCGCGGCCATTGTAGACACCTTGACGTGTGCTCTGGCTCGTCGAGATCCAATGTGTAAGCTTTAGAGTCCCCCAGACACTTTCAGTTGCTTGGTATTAACTCAATGTCAGCGTGTGATATGCTATGAACGTAGGTTGGCCAGTGAACTCTGCCCTTTCAATTGGCCGGCCGATATTGTGTTTGAATAAAGGCTGAATATCGGAGTGACGTCTATTCGTCATTGTAGACTTTCTCACCACATAGGCTGAGAAACTTTTGCTCTGGGGATTCCAAGCATGATCCACAGCCTTCTCATGGTAGCACAGGCGGTGGTGCAGAAAGGGTCGAGAAAGTTATCATTTTACTACCGTCCTTAAGCTGATTAAGAGGTTAGGGAAAGTGCAGGAGAAATATTTGTGATGAATAAGGTGAAGACTTAGCGAGAGATCTATATTGAAGCACAGGGCCTAATGAGACTAAGGACTGGAGACACTAGCCAGAGACTTAATAGTAGAAACGCAGAGTGGTAAAGAAACAAATAACTAAATAATCAAAGGAATACATCATATACCAGCAGCAAGGACTGGTCGTCTGGAAACGGCATGGGCATCTCGGTGATGCTGCATAGTCCTGTGTACCTATTCGTGCGTAGTATGATCTTGAAGGCTATCGTCTATATTTGTGATCATCATTTCCATCTACTGGCGACGGCGAAGACTATACCCGGAAGGAAGTCCATGTACATATATATCTGCTGCCCTCGTAACTATATATACAATTATTCAGGGATAGGCTCCAATCCAGCTGCACTCTAACGTAACACATAGTGTGACCTCATGTCATGTTAGCTGCTCAATATAAGTGACACTGAAAGTCGAAGCTGTGCGGCAGAGTTGCGGGTTTGAGGGTGTAGATCCAAAGCTGCAGGTGGCGAGAAGTGAAGAAGATGAAACAGAGATGTGATGAAAACCAAGAGATTGGACTATAATTCCATGTGCTTTAAGAAAGGATGAAGCTGTCGCAGTTTCCTCGTAGTCCTCCTTTTCTACGTCCGTAACTGTACAATAACATAATTCAGCAACACGTGATAGTGTCTGACTGCGATTAGGTCTTACAAAAGGGGAGAGACAAGTAGTTAGAGGAGCACGTCAGACACAAAAGAAGATGTGAGAACAGCGACTTATGTGGCAATTGGTTCAACAATTGCCATCATTGTGCCCTTCCTAGCAACAATGCAATATGTGAAGGTCTATTTGCTATAGGTCCTATGTCTTAGTTAATCTTCGTGTAGCAATTCAAGTATGAAATCTGCTCCTCCATTTTCAAGTTCAACCTCGATAGCACTGTATCTGTCCCAATACGAGGAATGTGATAATGTGACACTCATTATGAAGTGTTGACAGGAGCTGGACACTCTAGGCTGTATTGAATGACTTTGCGATAATTAACCGGAAGTGGCCTGTAGGTCGTCTTTAATCACGTCGTCTGACTTATGGCACTTGTTGGTGGCTAATGCTGGTTTGACCTCGTGCTAGATACGTACTCATTGAAAGTTCTTAACGCGGTCACCTAGGAAAGGGGGTGTGAGAAGACTGTCGTGCTTACTGGACCCCGTACGAGTAATCATTTGCTGGAATGTTATAGCAATGAACATCATGTGTCTGTAGGACTCATCATCTATGCCCTTGGCTTTTTTAAGTAGGTGAAATAGATTCTCTGTTACAGTCACTTGAAGCCAACGGTTTCCCTCGATTTATTATATATTCTTTTCACACTCTCGTATCTGCGAACTCTCTACTCCATACAGCCGAGTGTAACAAACAGTGCCAGTTTAGTATTCAATAGGTAGCAGTGCTACGATATCCTAAGTGCACATTCACACGGTAGCTTCATCAAAGAGCAAAAGCATTCCTACTCCCCCGACTTGTAAGTCTCGCTCGCTTAGGCAGGAGCCAACCTTTAGCGGTGATGAATGTCCTTGGAAAGCACGCCAAGAGTTGCATTAACGAAAATGGCGTTTTAACGCATGCATTCAGATGCAACCAACAGAGGGCATTCGGGATTGCTGCGGACAGATACTGGAAATAGTTGCTATTAGCGTTCCATGAAGTCTTGCCGGATACAGAAGCTGGCGTCTATCCTCGATATCCATCTATGAGACCAAGGGAGCAACTAGTACTTTCCCAAGGGAAGTGGTAATTAAAGTCGAGTCTAAACATAGTGAGTAGTCTAGCCAGCATGCCACACCGAAGAAGTGAGAGCGACTTGAGGAAATTATTCTGCTGGCAGGAAGCATTGAGCCATGTCGGTAAGCAACAAGGTGAATAAGCCGCTGTTCGATCACCGGGAAGAATCTGCTCGCAAACAGCGTCAAATCAAGCCAGCCCGAGGGAACCGTGAACGATATGTACTTACTCTTATCCTCATTGCTCAGATTGTGTAGTACTTTGTCCTCAATCTCACCAACTGCAGCCTCACCTTCTCTAAAGGTAACAGCTCGGATCTCGTTACCTGCCGGATTAGGGCTAACAAGCTGACCAATGCCAAGTTTCATTTGGCCGTGGAATTTACCGAGCCAGTGCACCGAGGCTCCACACGGGTTCCTGAGCCGCCAAGCTAATGTGAGGTAGCTTATTGTTATGCTAAACTTAACGTTGCTGCTTCGCAAGATTGCTTAGGATAGACTACTGGGGCTGTGTGGTTGCACTTTTGCGACTCACACAGGCGACATGAAGCCCCTGGAGGCTGCATAGACTGATAGTTTGCTCCAGATACGATTCAGGTATGTGACTTGCACATCCGGGTCCAGCCGGCGAGCTAGCTGTTGCGATCCACTGAATTTCACTTGACGCTCAGCTTCCTTCGCAACCTGCACATACTTTCCAATGCACCGCAGAAACAGGAGAATAGTACCTGACTGCAGCGCCTCGGTAGGACCTGTTCAGTAATCTTTCCAATGCGCGAGAAGTACGCTTATGATGCGGAATACTACTATAAAAAATGCTACTACTACTTGTTACTATTACCAGGAAAGCGAACTGCTCCGTAGCCATATTAGCATCTTTCTACCCTAACGCCTAGGTGGGGGGATTCCATCACTTACTAACGGAGTTGGCATCAGCCTTGCCCGCTGGAACGAAAGTGGGTGTTACCAGAGATGACAGAGTGACATGCCCCAGGGCAACATGGGGAGACTTGGCGTATAGGTGGTGCCGAGTTTCAGCAAGCCTGAGAAGAAGTGGTGTTAGACAAATACCAGAATCGGAAGTCTGAGAGTGCTAGTGGTGGCATTGACACATCCATGTCCCTGCCTTTCTATCACATTGGTAGCAGTATAAGCAGACTGCATGACTACTTCTGTGGGAAAATAGAACGTAAGACCGGACTTGTCGCAAGCGGACGAAGCTTATGAGTTACGTTGAAGCTTGCTCTTAGGGGAAGCTAGGTTGGGGTTCAAAGACGGACTTAGAGCCTCAGAGTTTTCTAACATGAATATATAATGGCCGAACTCCCTGCTGTCTGGTCCAAGATTCCATCCCCTTCAGCCAGGCCATCAACGATAGTCAAGGAAGGACCTTCAATTCGCATACTCCTTCAAGCCCTCTATATTCAACAAAACATCTCATCATGGTCAACAAGGCTATCGTTGCTTCACTACTGGTGGGCGCCGCTATGGCGGTCCCTTACCCTCCTTCCATCGATTTGGGACCGACAGGTCCTGTCCCCGACACTGTCGATTTCTCCCCCAAGAAGCCAAATGGCGGCAACTACATGCCATCAAAGTCTACCAATGATCCTGTGTCAAAGACGGTTGACGCTCCTGCAGTTGGCAACAAACTGGAGGCCCGCGCAACTGGCGAAAGGGTCACCAACGGTGTAGCTCGCTTCGACAACTCTAACATCCAGGATGGAGTCGGCAACGGTGTGGACACTTACACCATGTACTGGGGAGACGGAAGCACCGGCGCCGGCTGGCCTGACCAGAGCCGCTGGGTTTCCTTCCAGAACATGTTTGATAATTACAAGAACCAGATGTTTGCCGCCTGCGCAAACCTGCCTACACCCCAGCCCAACGATAGCGGCCCTGAAGTTGGTGCTATTTGGGATGGTATCCAGGTAAGCTCGAAAACCATATTGCATTTTATGAATGACCGACTTATAATATTGTCAAAGCAAGCGGCAGCGGCGACCGGAGTGGACCACAGACTTATCCTGGCCGTCATTATGCAAGAATCCCACGGTATGAATTCCGCTTCGCTACTCGAGTCTGGCCTCCTAACAGTTCATTAGGGTGTGTTCGCGTTCATACGACAAACGGGGGCGTCAGGAACCCGGGTCTGATGCAAGACCACAACGGCTCTGCCACTTGTAACGAGAATGGCAGAGTGCAGAACCCATGCCCTTCAGCCACCATTTACCAAATGATCAGCGAAGGTACTGCAGGTACCAGCAGCGGCGATGGCCTCGCCAACTGCATCAACCAGTCTGGCCGCAACGATGTTTCGGCCTTCTACCGTGCCGCCCGTATTTACAACTCGGGCTCGATCTCGAGCACTGGGCAGCTCCAGAACGGCATCGCCACTCACTGCTACGCCAGTGATATTGCTAACCGTCTGACCGGCTGGGTCAACGCTCCTAACGGGTGCAACTGCGACAACAATCCTGGTAGCTGTGGTATTACTACTAACTAAATACATGCAGCAGTGAGCTGCGTTGAAACCGAGTGTGTGCGTTGATTCCAGCGCACGTGCCGGTATTCGCTTCTACTTCATGGTACCATATTTAACCCACATCTGTGTAGATATATGGGAGTTGTACATAGCTTTGTTCTACATATATAAGAGCCAGGTATATAAAATATAGCTCAGTCCTCATTCGTAAAGCATCTTCTGCTCTTTATGAGAGTAGTCCTATTTGCACAATCGAATATTCCTCTTTAAACAGTTATGGCCTGTGCTATAAGCTACATGTGACCCCTAAAGAAGCATAGGGCTGCTGCTGTAATTGCAACCGCAGCTCTAGGCTTGCGATGATAACACTGATGAAGTTGACGCCTTAAAGTTGAGGCTGATCATGTTCCTCTATCGGGACACGAGATGTGCCATAAGCATACACTGTAATCAGGACTCTTCTGATATAACACATGGTGTGCTCCTGATAATAACTGTGCAAATTGGAATTTCGAGCTGTGTAGATAGGACTGCCCCTTTGTTATTGCATGTTGATCTTGTGAATGCTCGTGTTACCCCTGAAACGACGCACTGACTTGAATTTGAACTTATTGCCATTGCTCCAGCATGAGCGCAAGGCCCGGTCAAGATCCAAAAGATTGACGCTTCTAGAAATGTAGCTATTGACTAAAAAGCTTATAGGCAAGTGCTAATATTCCTTTCAGTTACTAGTCTTTTTCGTCCAATAAGAAATATTGTTGTGATTACACTTCGTAGTGAATTTCGTTGCCTTAATAAGGTGACCTACATACTTACCCATCCTTATTCCGAGATTAGTACACCCTTGAGCTATCTGAGAACAGGAAGCCGTACCCCAACTCACTTGGACTTGGGCAGCCATTTGCATCCTAGGCTATTATATATTGAGTTTTCCATGTTTCGCCTTCTTGTTTTACTTTGTACGCCTATAACGAGGATCCAAATCCATGCATTCATAGTATACAAGAGTTGATCACTGAAGAGTTGAATGGTAAGGTAAGTTCGCAACCGTTCTTTTACGAATGCATTCAGCGACACGCACAGTATTGCCGTAATATTGCTTACTAGCTACGTTTTGGGGCATGAGGGATGCTGAATTACTAGTTGTGATGAGCATGCGGACTCTTCGTACTTTCCATGCCCTTGAGGTACTTTCCATGATCTTGAGAGCTCGATCTGAGTAAATCAGATCTACTCATCGGTCACCACACATCTCGATGGCTAGGGGGTGATACGATATATCAAGACAGAGCATATGTCCCTCTATTGAATTAACTTTATTCTAAGAATGCTGAACCGTTGGTGGAGGAAACTAAAAATGTGTGCCGACGTTGGCGCTAGTAATTCGTCTGCTCATTCTTGGATACGCAAAGATCTGGTTCTGAAGGTATTATGGCCCGGAGTATCTTTAGCCTGTAACCAGGCAGGCTGGGTGATGTACGGCGGAGACTTTATCCAAAACTACTTCGTTACTACTTCGTTTAACGCTTTAGGTGATTGCTTCTCATACATCCATGTCTGAATGTTATTGTCACTGACCAATCATTCCCAATAGCCAACTGGGATGCAGATATGCAAGGCTTCTTGTCCACCTTGACCCCAGAATCGGATAGATTGTCTTGCCGGCCGTGACGATCTCAAATGTCCGGCGGATCCACTTGAAGGTTTTCTGGGAATATATAAAGGGCTGGCGTGCCCCCTTACGTCTTGATACCTTTCTAACGCCATCTCTTCTTCCAAATCCAAAGACCTATATTCTACGAAAACCCCTCGACCAAAATGCAGCTGCGTGTTCTTCTCGCCGTCTTCATTGGCGTTGCCTCTGCAGCCACTCTGAAAGCTACCGATTGCGACTGCGTAAGTGACACCCAGTGATATATACAGCCAGTAGTATTTTGTTCATGATGCTGATAGACATATTTAGTTCGTTGCCTGTGACGTAAGTTGATTTTCGTGAACTAAAGCCGTACAGATAACTCACCAAATTCTGCAGAGCGACCTTCACGATCCCGGAAACTGTTATAACGACTTCCCTGGATGCACCGATACCTGTTGCGGGCTTTGCGGTTGCAACTGTCCATAGACCGTGACTGACAAGATGCTGACCGCCTCTTCACCACTTTGAATGGTTTAATTCGAGCTTCAAATTGTGTGGGCTGGTATGAAGCTCTGTTGATACTGCAACGGCTCGCTTGCTAGGAAAAGCTGGAGGCCTGACACACTTATGTAGCAACTCCATGTTAGATCAAGCAATGAACCAGTCGACAACCCAATTGTATAGACCACCGTAGCTGGGTAAAGCGCACATGTGAAGAGACAAAGTAAAACAGCTTGGACTCCAGCGTACGCCGCTTGGCTGCTTACTCAATTGGAGGCTGTGGCTCAACTTAAGCGCCGAGGTCAGGTTCATTAGCTGCTTCGCCCCCTACCTTAGTTATGCGCTCTAATAAGCTAGCCTTCTGTTGGCATGAGCATACATGGTATTTGCCAGGGCCATGTCATAATTCGTCGGAATGCTTTCTTAGTTACCGGGATGGCTACCTACACCAGAGTAAAACGAACCAGTCATCAGATTTCATCTATGTGCAATTACAATACGTGGGATGTTCACCCCTTAGTAGCCTTCTGTTAAGCCTCTTTGTGGACCTCCTTAGACCCCTCTGGGTAGGTAGTTTTACCCTCTGCTGAATTATCGGTTGGACAGCTGATGATGCCATCTCCCGGTGATGGACTCAAACAATATCTCCATCCCACACTGGAGGCCTATCGAAATTAAGACATACCGGAAGTCGGTTAGGGCCGTCGGCATTGAAGGTGTGGAGTGCACATTGAGGGGATGATTACCGAGTTTACAAGTCCCAATGTGAACGTTACCAATCTGTTGGTCCGCAGCTCGGAGCTAATCACGCCGCACATGTACGACCAATCTTGATAACTCATATGACATACTTACCTACCTAGTATGCCGAAGGAACTATCTCGTACAAAGTCTATTACTTGTTCTGATGATTTGAAAAAAGATCTCGGAGAAGCTTCTCTTGCACAACAACGAAGTCATGGCTTTTTTTTTTTTTTCAAAACTTACCCTCTGTCTTTTTGTTTTAAACTTACCCTCTGTAGCACATCATGGCGGGTTCCTGCACATGATGCGCAGGAGCACAGAGAGCACATCCAACATCACCATAGGGCTAAAATAACAGTCTTCCGTCTCGGCTATTCCTCAGCCTGCTTCACACATACGTGCTGTTGTCTTCACAATGTGGCAAGCCCGAGAAATCTCCAAATTAACTCGCTTAGTTATTATCCACCAAGCTGCAGAGAGATGGATCACTAAACACAGGTAACCCTGGATATGTTGCATTGTGTGCTCCGTAGCCTAGAAGTCAGAAGCTGAGTGGCGGGCCTCTAATTTTCCGGCTGTTGAAACCCCAGTATTTCACTCCAACTCGATGGCTCAGGTCGAAGTATGTAAAACATCAGACAAATTAACTCGCCAAAGACTTCCGAGCAATTTTGGGCAACGAACGACTTTATGTACTTCGCAATGTAGTTCTAGTCCGGGAGCATGCCATCCCTGAAGACTTCTTCATATACATAATCTGTGCTCAGCGCAATGGGCTTCATCTTCTCCGCAGTCTCCCTGAGCATGCCAATCTTCGCTTCCAGCATAGCATAACAGTCTGAGCCCAGCGGAAACCGAAGCTGATCCTCAAGCCCTGTTGCCATTCCCGTCCCTGTGGCAAGTTCGTAAATGCGCTGAATGCCAGCTTCCGGGTTTCCGGGCTGCTTCTCATGCAGACCAGACAGCAGCGTTTCCATATTCGCATACCCTTCCACATGTTGGCTCACATTCTGGCCCTGTGCAATCGACTTTAAAAAGTCCGTTCGGAAGACGCCAGGTTCAACAATGTGAACGCGAATTCCGAATGGCTTGAGCTCGTGGGCCATGGCTTCGCTCAACCCCTCAACGGCAAACTTGGAGGCCGTATAAATCGGAGCTCCTTGAGGACCGAGAATACCCACGCCACTCGAGAGCTGTACAATGACACCGGCTCCCTGCCTTCGCATATGCGGGATCACTGCTCTTGTGAAATTGAGGAGCCCGAAGAAGTTCACATCAAATTGATAGCGCGACTCCTCCTCAGAAACTTCCTCCACAGCGCCGAAATGACCGAAGCCAGCATTGTTAACGAGGATATCGATCCGTCCGTGCCTCTCGACAGCTGCATTGACGAGCCTGGAAATGCTAGCGGCCGGCGCAGTAACTTCAGTTTCCACCAAGTCGGCATTCGGGTTCTTTGTGAGAGATTCTGGGAACTTCGAGAGGCTCCTGGCAGTTGCAATGATGGCATCGCCTTTGGAAAGGGCCAGATGGGCAAGCATGAGACCAAAGCCGGTGTTTGCTCCGGTAATGAACCAAACGAGGGGAGCCATGGTGTCGGTTGTTGATATCTGTTAGCGATAGTCAACTATTGATGCTGCGACAAGTGGTAACCTGTATGCTTGTTGTCTTGTTAAAGACCAGGCGCTTGTGTTCGGTGTTTCCGATTTAATTCTACACCTGTATTGCATGTTTTTATAGACGGCTGGACCGTCTTATCCAGCGTTTTCTACTGCCATTTTCCGACATCACTGGGATGAACCCGCCGTTACTCGGGAATCTGTCAGCAACTCCGCTATCCACTTTCTTTTCCGCATCCCGACAGATCGCCCATTTCCCCGCTATATCACGGCCGGGCGGCGAACAGCAGCAATGCACGAATTCATTGTCCAAAAGGTTACACTTTGTATGCCAACGACAACAATACTCAATGGATCCGGGAAAGACCATGACCAAGCGCGGTCGAGGCCGAAGCGTAACTGCATGCCTCGAGTGCCGCAAGTTGAAGAAGAAATGCGACCGTCAATGGCCCTGTAATCATTGCTCCAGCAGGCAAATACCACACAGGTGCCGGTTCACTCAAGCGACCCAAAACCAGCAGCAGATGAGCGCTTCGACGGATGTGCTTCAAGCTACACCTCGCCAGCCGTCGTATCCGAGACGCCGGAAGATAGCGATCAGGCTATGAGTCCGGCATCCGCGATGCACATGTTAGGCTACATGTATGCGAAGAACGATGCGGTGTTTGGCGGCATCACGGTAAGAAGGCGGATTATCGCTCCTCTTGGATGTCGGCTAACTAGCCAAAGGCCCAATACACGGAGTCCCCGAATGCTGTCCCTGAGCCAGTATTGAAGGCTTCTCGCATCGTTTCGCCTAGGCCATACACTGATGTACTGATCAAAAACTTTTTCGACAACGTCAACTACCACTACGGAATCCTCCACCAGCCTTCGTTTATGATTGCTTATGTCAACTGGTGGTCTCATCGACGTAGAGCACAGAGCGAGTCAGCTATCGGATTAACTTGCCTCATCCTTCGAATTTGCGCCAACTCTTCACAGTTCCTCTCACAAGAGACTTCGCTACAGCTGGAGGTCGACTTGGGTGACTCTGTCCAGAATCTCAGCAGGACTTACCACGATGCTGCGCAGACCATCAGCGCCTTTCTATCACCGCGCTGTGGCGATCTCGTTAATGCGCAACAGTCCTTCTTAGCCGCTACATGGCATAAAGGTGAAGCTGACTTTGTCCGATCATGGCACGAGCTTGGTGCTACCGTGAGACTGGTTCAAGAAATGAGTAATATGCCTGTTCCTTCAGCGCAAGGTATCTATTTAAATTCTAGGCTAACCTTGGTGCTTCCAGGTGTTCATATAGATGTCCACTCCGAGGAGATAAACGAGTTCGACTTGGAAATGAGGCGAAGGTTATGGTGTGCCCTGTACACATGGGAGAGGTGTGTTGGCCTGACCTTGGCATGGAGGTCGATGCTGACTTAGCTTGCATCAGATACATGGCCGCAAACTTCAACCGCCCCCCCATGATACAATCAGATACTACTGTGCCGCTGCCCAATCCAAAACTGGACCATCAGAGGACTCTCCCCGAGGTCCCATCTCTCATTGTTGCTAAGTTACTTGAGAACCAGCTTGCAAGGCAGTTGGAAGAAGGCGACCGGGCGGATGGCACACATGGCCCGGGCAAGCTGGAATTTGTTGAAGCCTGGATGTCTTCCCTGCCACCGGCCTTCAGGGTTGTCGACCCAGTGAAGCGCTGGGATGGAGAATATCCGTACATACCCTTCCAACGTCTACAGCTGCACTGTGTAGGCTACATGACCCAACTGTTGCTCCTACGGTCTACCTTAATCACTTCTGGAGCCTTCTCAGAAATAAGCTTTGCAGGGGCACGCATTACACCCGAAACTATGATGCTCCTACACCGGATTGTTGATCTTAGTCTGCAGGCCATGGCCGTGAGCAAAGACATCTTTGAACTTTGCTTTCCGCAGCATTCGAAATACTTCATGGTTGCATTTTGTCCCTTTGACAACGCAGCACTCTTGTGTTCTTTGCTAATGCACGATGTCAGTCGAACAGTGATTCCTAGACGGATGGAAGTCGTACATGCGGTTGGGCAAGCATTACACATCTCTCGCAGACTTCGTGGGTTCACCAGGATGGGTGACGCGACATGGAGCATACTATCAACTTTTCGAGATCGCATCAACCTGACTCTGCTGGGAAGGGAATTGATTGAAGAGACCGAGGTCACTGGGAAAATCCGAAGGCGCAGCACTGGGTCGGGTGTTGGCTCTCCCCCTGAGTCGGATGACCGTTTCGAAGCTTTCTCCAACGAGGAGCTGCGGCTGCTAGAGGATAATCTAGCGGCGGATAGTGCTGGAATCTTGGGGATAGATTTGGGTACGTTGGACGGAGTTTGGAACTGGGAGCGGGTGGGATTCTAATGCCATCAGATACGAAATGTTAAATCTAGGATTCAACTCTACCACCGTGGCTTAAACAGAACACAACACCATATAGCATGACAGGTTTCTACACATCGTATGCTACCTTCAATATCACTTGGACACTACAACTCTTGGCCTTCAGTGGCGTCCACTCTGACGAGGACCCTGTGAAGTAGGTGAGCGTCTTCTGCTTGAACCTCATTGGTTAGGTTATTTCGATATACAGAACGTAGTTCTCTTTTGTGGGCTGATACTGCGTTACTACGATCAGTGCCAGACTCTACCAGGTAGAAACACAGTCTTGAACTAAGAGATTTGCTACGGCATTTTTTTCTGTATTTCTCTCGTCTTTTGGCCGTCAAAGACGTATAGTGTCGAGGAATTCGTGGAAATTGGGCATGCGCAGAGGGCTATGCGTACAAAGAGAAAGCTGTTGTGTCTTTGACTTTGGATTGGCGCTTTGGACTAACAAGTCCCTTGACCCATTCATGATGTATTCATTCCGCCTTGCCTACATCTGATTTAACGCCCAATGTATAGCTAAAACGTTGGCTATGGCGTTAAGTCTTGTCGTCCGCATACATGTACTATTGTAACTCCTCCCATGCGCGCGGGATGGAAAATGGGAACTGCACGGCTGATTCCCCGCCGAGTTCTAGTGGGGACATTCTCCGGAAAGTCTTCCGAAAAAGGAAATTGAATCAGTCCGAAATATTGCTTCAGTCCACCGCAGTAGCTTAACAACCAAGATTTAGAACATCACGTCTACAAATCGTCGACTCAAGCTCGGGAGTATGGTGTTCAAGTGATTTTAAGTCCGAGCATAGCGAGATCAATTGTACAGACTGCAGCATGAACATTGTCGAACACCGGTGGTTAAGACGTGTATAAAGCGCTCCTCTGCCTTTCACTCTGACGCCTTTTCTCAAACTTTCCATCATCTACAGCTCCATTCCACGGGTACGAAAGAGTCTGACCATGGCAGCCCAAGCGACAACCCCAGGGAGGCCCCTTACTTGGCTCATCACCGGATGTTCATCTGGGTTTGGCTTGTCACTGGCCCGCATCGTCCAGGCCAACGGCCACAATCTCATTGCGACTTCTCGTGAGCCTTCAAAGACGCCCGAACTCATTTCTGAAGTTGAAGGTAAAGGTGGTAGATGGCTTAAGCTTGATGTCAATGACCTCAACTGCGGGATGGTCATCGATGAGCTTGAGGCGCAAGGCCAGCCCATTGATGTTCTTGTGAGCAATGCAGGATTCTGCATCTATAACGTCGTGGAGAACTTCACCGACAAAGAGGTCCGCGATTTGATGGAGACTCTATACTTCGGCCCCAGCCGTCTGATCAGATCTGCTGTCAAGCACCAGCGTCAACGCAAATTCGGAGTCATCGTGAACATCAGCAGTGGTGCTGCTTTGGAGGCCAATCCATCCATGGGCGCTTATGCTGCTGGAAAAGGTGCACTAGATTGTATGTCAAGCACTTTTATAGATCGCTTTTGAAAGGGTGGAAATACCTAACTGATCAACATAAAGGCATGGCAAAGGCGCTGGCAAAGGAAGTTGAGGCCTTCAATATCCGCGTGTTGACGGTTCTGCTTGGAACCTTCAATACAGGCATGGGTAACGCAACTATTCTAGGCCAGAATCCGCTGCCCGAGGACTACAAGGGCTCCATGGCTGAAAGGCTCATGGAACTTATGTCAACGGGTAAATTTGCTCCAAATGGGGATAAGGATAAAGCGATGAAAGCGGTCTATGAAGTGGTTGTTGGGGAAGGAGTTGGTAAAAACCACGAGGCGGAAAGGGTTCTGCCCCTGGGTCGGGACTTGGCCGCCAGGATCCAAACTGTGCAGGATTATTTCTCTCACGCCATGCAAGTATTTGGGGATATTTGCAACAACGTATATCTGGAGATGAACTGAGCCGAGGGTTGGTGCATGAGGTTGTTTGAGTCTTTATCGAGCAACAGCATTCGCATGGGCGTCACAGCAGTCGGGAGGTGTCTATCAAGTCTATATGAGCTTCTGTACGTGGCATTACAAGTTGTCGCTCAAAGTACTCAACGGTACTCCATAATACAGCAATGATCGAAAGCTGGCTCATGTCCCAGTCTACATGTACTGTAATGACTACCTAATCAATCGATTGCAGATCAAAGCTCAGCTGGATGACCTTAGCATAACTTCAGGCAGAGGTCAACAAGTTCAAGTTGTACAATATTGCGTAAGAGGTCAAGATCTTCATGCAGCAGCTCCGTGGAGTTAACGAGAAAATTCGCATAGGTACTCATTTCGGCTGCAAGTAAGGTAGGTAGGGACGGACGCTAATTCCTTTCCTACCTACATGTAGACTGGATGACTGCTGCAGCTCGGGCGGTTTATAGCAGCTAGTGGAGGATGCGGAGCAATGCGTGATTCCCTAGTCCTGGTAATTGTAAACGGTGTTGAGGCGATCGCGAGGCAGATTCGGGAGACGGAAGTAACTTATGTAAGTGATCATAAGTTGGGAATCACACCGAAATGAAAGCGAATTGTGACCGAGGCCACCATTAGTCGTATCTGCCAGTGGCGCCTGATCTCGCCAAATGAGCGGAAATGCGAGCGAACCTTGCGGGACATAGACGTCAGCTCGAAATGATGAAATGCGGTATGGACACTCAAGCCCAAATGGACACGTCGATCCCATTTGACTGGGTGTGTATGGGAAAAAAGCAGGCGAAAACCGCAAAGATGAACCCTTTTTGCTCTTTATATAGTATCCTCAAATATATTTTCTACATATCAATTGTCTCTGCGGTTGAGCAAATAAGATAACCCTCGTACCTTTTGGCTTTGGAGTTTTTTGGGCACGAATATCCAAGTTGTATCAGATCGGGGGAGCCGGAGCCGCCTCGACATCATTGGCCAGCAAAGCCTCTACCTTCGCTCCCCTCTTTCGCCTTTCATCTAGCGAGATCTCGTGTTCCGCTGCACTGGACCAGCCAAGGCGCAGCTGGGGGTACTGAAGGGGTACCTCGCTACTCTCGCGAGGCAATCCGTCTAGGTAAATGGGCCACGGCGTGCCCAACCAGGCATTGCGAGATTCATGGTCTCGGCGTTGTTGTGAGGTTAGAGGATGAACGAGGATACTGGTCGGTTCGTCAGATACCGACCGATATGTAACGTGGAAACATCGGTGACTTGTAAAAGGTGTCGGGAAGGGTGAAAAATCTCACCTTAAAGCTCCCCGATTTGTGGCCAGGTAGAAGAAAACATCGGAGAACGACGAGTCGGGAACCCAGACTTGGATCGAGAATTAGCTAACGGCTATGTTTGGGTTCGCGTACCTACGCATAGAATGTGCCATCTGTACTTACTCTCGTACGACCCAGCAGGATGAGGCCCGATGGGCTCCTTGTTCACCCTATGAAGAGGAACGGCAACGAAAGCACCTATAAAGTATGCTCAATTTCCAGCCTGGAGATCGGCCCAGCATTGACTCACCGTCGCGACGAAGCCTTAGCACAGCGTCACGGAGCGCAAGTGCTGCGGCCGTTTCCGCAGGCGATTGCAGCAGGAAATATATGTGAAAGTGCCATTCCCGAGTTCGAGTTTCCACAACGGTCTGCAGGTCGTCTTGGGGACTCGAGACAGCGGGCATGATGACCTGAGTCATGGCAGAAGACGTGCAGTTTCTCTTTGGATTCTCCTCCTGTGTTGTTAATGCGTCGTGCCCGATCCCGATCAGGCGTTGAAAGCGTGAAGCTGTCGACGGATCACAGGTGAGATTTCTGCACTCCAGTAGCACATGCAGTGAGCACGCCATTGATCCCGAGCTTACCCCACTGCGGTGCGGAGGTGCCGCGATTCTGCAGGTGGTGCTGCCGGGATTTGGAGACTGCAACTGCGACTTATCGACCTCATGGCCTTTTTTTCTGTTGAAGGGCTATTGAAATTTGACAACGATTACGTTCGTAGGCCCAAGCATATAGACGGCTCCAATGTATCTTTCGTTGTCTATAAGGTGTTGTTGGGAATATGCGCTGCCCTGTTCGTAGTAGCGGTATGAACGTTTCTCATAGACCTCGATGAGCAAGGGGCAGCGATCTGGGTAGTGCACATAAAACGGTAACAGTCGAAGCAGAACACCTCGACTGCTATAGAATCGCTTAGATGATTATCAATCCTAGCAATAAAGCCAGCAGACCAGCTTACAAAGCAACAACAGAGAGGAAGAGACTGCCCACGGACCGTGATAAAGTGGAATAGGTATGGAATCTTGGACTGGTGGGTAATCGAAACGGCAAGAGTATGGTGTAATTAACCTGTAAGCAAAGTCACATTCAGAGTGAGCAGTATTTAATGGGTCTGATAGCTGACCTAACTTTGGGAGAGGATACTATTTTCATGTACATCTGCGTATCTAAATTCTCTGTCAATACGACCTAGAAACGTGAAATCAAAGGTGGCAGTCTCCGACATGTCCACAGATACTACGCTGCCTTGACTTCACAATGCTTAGTTGATTGTGCCTGATCAGCAGTAGCTTTAGTACGATATAGGCAATGTCCAGCATTCTCAGGGAATTTCCCCTGGGCTATTCGGCAAAAGTTGCCCTGCGGACAATAGAGGCTGCGTATAACAATACAATAACCCCTCCGCATTGAGTGATCAAGTGATGTAAACGAGGGCCATGCCAACCCAACGTCATATTCAAATCTTCAGCTTTGCCAGGCGTGCCTTTGTCTTGGCCACAACACTTTCCTCGTCCCAGATGCCATTCACGCTAGGATGCTCCACCACAGCCGTCGCCCATTTATAGAAGTTGGGCGTCTTGGCAGGCAGATCCTTGACCAGTGTTTCTGGTCCGACACCGTTCTTTGGTAAAGCCAACAATCGCAGGATGAATGAACCGGTGAGCACCTGCCATCAAGTTAGCAGAGCTACCGCAAATAGCAGCCTCTTCATCTCCCCCTTCGGATTTTCCCTTTCCGGACAATTTACCTCGGCCAACGTCAGTGTTTTACTTCCTGCAAAGTAGGGGCCTGCATCACCCAACAGCGGTTCAACTTCTTTCTCAAGCTGCTTCACAAATTCAGCAGCAGCCTGCTCAGCTTCTTCTTCGGACTTAGCAAAAAGAGCCTTGTGATAGTGGGGGTGCGCCTTGCTGAAGAATGTGTCGACAAAGAAGTTAATCCTGGCACGAGCAAGAGCTGTCTCAGGTGTGCCACTGTTTGGGATCAAATGAGATGGATAAGCATCAGCCAAAAATTGAGCAACAATGGCGGATTCTGTGATGATATGGCCATTGTATGAAAGGCTTGGGACGAGACCACGGGGATTGACAGCCAGGTAGTCCGCGGTACGGGGAACGCTCAGATCGATTATTTCCTCCTCAAACGGTAGCTTGAGCTCAGCTAAGGCGATATGGGCTCGGTGGGCCCCTGATAGCCCTCATGTCAGTGTTTGTTGTTCTCAACTTTTCCTTCCCCTTATTTATAGAGCACGAACAGGGGCAACCGTGGTTGGTATAAAGCTTGATAGAAGCCGTCATTCTGTCAGGTCCAACAGCTGGTGAAATATTTGAAAACTCTTGTTGAATAAAATTTTCCACTACTTCGTCGACAATAGCAAGCAGAAAGGAAGAGGTGGGTAGGCCTTTTATGTCTGACCAATACGCGATCCATGCGCATCTTGATGCAATTTCGCGATTTATCGGATGCTTGATACTAATGCACGCATATACCCCGCACAGCACCGACTCTCCGTGAGACAAGCTTACGGCACCATGTGAGACCGGCGCACCCGTTTGCTGAGTACCTCGTATGGTGCGAAGATACTGCGTATTGAGGCACCCAATAGCATGCCATCTAAGTCTTGAGATATTGGCGCCGCATGGCATCAGCATGGGGCCTGCAAGACGTGATGCTTGTAGATTACCGAACTGTGATCTGCTTGCCGTCTACCTGCCAAGCGGGTAAATGCCCAGACGTACTCCGTATACCACTGATGACGACTCTACTTATCTAGCTATCTACGTAGTCTGTCTGTAGTACAGTGTATTACATAGGTGATGGGCGCAACTCTTCGAACAAGGACTTCAATTGCGGTTAAAGCGCAGGGGAGTCGGTACATATGTGCCCGCTACATGTACCTATCTACCTTAGGTAGCAGAGATGCATGAGATCTTGGGACCGCCTGCACTCTTTATCGCGCTCTCTACGCATCCCCCTGTGAGGAAGAGTGGAAGATTGAACCGAACCTCTCGCGAGTTATCATCTCGCTTGAACCATTCCCACCCAGTAAGGGCACCACAACCCTTGAGCTCGTGCTTGAGCTTTTCGCCCTCGTCATCCCAAACCCAATCGCCGACTAGCTTGGTGATATCAAATCGCATGAACGCGACGTAGAAGGCATATCCGCATACCAGGTCATTTGGCCCAACTGTCGAGGTAGGCCCGTCCGTAGTGGTTTCCGTAGGAGCAATCTCCGTCGAGGTAGGCTCGGCCGAAGTCGTCGTCGTCTTTGGTGTTTCGAGCGCGGAGAAGTACGATTCTTGATCGGCTTCGATAGACGACATGTCCTCATTTGCATAGTCTACTCCGAAGAAAGGGTCAAGCGTCGGCGTCACGACTGCCACAGCTGTGCCAGTGGTTGAGATGGTTGTCGTCGCGGTGACGTCGGCAGCCTCGCAATCGACTACAGTCTCGCAGAGTGTTCGAGTAGTGGTCGACCAACTGGTGGTTGGCTTCGTCTTCACCCGAGTGCTACTGACGAACTCAGTGCAGTCTCGACCCGTTTGTAGCGACGTACAGGCCTTGCCAGTTGGCCTCCGATGGGCAGGACAAGCATTAAAACCACAGGGCTGATTGCACAGCGGGTCCCAGTCAGGACAATCGGGGAGCTTCGGACAGTCCAGGAGACAAGTCGGCTTGGGAGGGATTGCTGGGGTGCTGTTGGGGTCGGGGTTAGGAAGGGGCTTGATCGTGAGCCGCTCGCATTGGGCGCCGAAGCAGTCTTTCTTAGGGAAGCAACGCGCCCCCTGACAGCCTCCGCTACCGCAGTCTCCAAAGAGCGTTTTGGCGCATCCGCCCCCCTTCTCGCATTGCTCGCCCTCACAAGGTCCTCCGATCTTGCATTTGGGTCCTTTGCAGTTGCCGCCGCTAATACATCTTTTGCCTCGGCACTTGCCGCCCTCCACGCAGTTTGCGCCCTCACAATCTCCTCCACGCAGACAATCGTCACTCTCGCAGTCCCGGCCCCTTGTGCATGAATCATCCTTGCAGTCAATGTCGCCACTAGGAGCAGGCGTGGGCGTTGGATGCTGGTCATCCCCGGGGCGCTTAGTTGAAGCGGGAGGATTGTTCGTGTTGCTTGGGTCTGGGCCGTTGCCAGTAGGCTTCTGAGTGTTGCTGGGATTTTGGCCGTTACTATGGGGATTTGGACTAACGCTTGAATTCTGGCCATCGCCCGGACGTTGAGATGAAGCTGAAGGGTTCGGTGTATCGATGGGGTGGTCGTCATCAGCAGGGAGCTTTGTTGGAGCCGGGGGCTTGGGAGTCAGTATTGACGGAATCCGGTAGCTGATGGTGGGATAAAATGTGATCGGCAGTAAGTAGCCGGCCACATCGTCCGACGTGGTGCTGGTTGCCTTTCCAGGTCCCGAACTCGACCCAGGCCGGGATCCGGGCCCCGATCCGGGCGACGGCGAGAGGCCTCCGGTGACAGTCCAGCCGTCGGGAATTTGAATCGTAATGGGGTCTGGTGTTATCTGGGGAGTTGGGTTATAGGTAACCAGTTCTCCATCACTTTTGCTAAGCAGATCCGAGTAGTGAATAATAAATGGCTGGTAGCTGACCTCTGAGATGGAGAACGGTGCAGATACGACTGTGGTGCTCAGCTTCGTCCCCGACTGAAGAGTAAGTGTCGTATATGCCGTGAGTGTGACCGTGGTCGGCAGAGGTGACGGCTGGAGAATATTGGTGCATCCGATGCCTGCTTCGATAGAAGGGTTGACCCAGTCCCAGATCATGTTGTCAAAGACGTTGATACAACCGGTCTGATTGTTATGTTCTCCGCCGTGCGGGCCGGTGGTGTCCGTCACGTTGAACTCCTGGAGGTCAACCGCCCAGTCAACCGTTCCGCGGAAATTGAGCCCTTTCCATTTCTCGCGGCGGCTTTCCTTCGTCTTATCGGACATGTAGGCAACCCACTCAACATCTGCGTGGACATTGATCAATATTGTGAAAGCGAGCGTCAGGGGAATTGTGGGTCATGCAAGAACTTACCGTTGTAGACCAGATAATCTGATGCTGAGTCCTTGTCATACCATGTCTTTGGATGTCCCTTGGACTTGGAAATGATCTCGTTGATCTCAGCATTAGCGAGATACCCTCGTGCGTTTGTGCACCTCCCCGCTGCTGCCTCTGATTTGCCGTTGGCACCAGTAAACTTGCATAGAGGCCCCGTGCACCCAGCTTTGGCCATCTTGAAGGATCTTCCGTAGCTTGATTCGCCAACGACGACCTTGCTCGCACTGACGCCAGCTTTGGTAACTGACAGGTGGCAAGTTAGCGGCACCGCCTAATTTTGGACCTTTGTAGTGGAACGGGAAGTATCAAGTCGGACTTACTCATAGAGAGCGCCAAAACGACCTCTGTCTGGTTGACGTGGCTCCTTAAGCAATTTCCGCTGGGACACTCAGACATGGCCCACGTATTTCCAACGTCCCACTGGCCTGTTCACCTAGGTTAGTCGTCGAGTCGGCGAAGTAACGTTTGGCGAGAGGCTCTACTACTTGCCATGAAGATCATACGTCATGTAGACAATATAGTCGACAGATTCTGACATTTCTCGGATAGGAAAGGGTCTCAGATACCAGTAGGAGGCGGGGACGGCAATGGAGAGCGAGTATTTGGTCGGTAAAGCTTTTCTCAAGGCACGAAGGGTCTCAAGATAGTTCGGACCATCCGAGGGAAGCCCTTTGGGAATGCCCGGGATATCAGGTGCCTAGACGCATGGGATACAAGGTCAGTATAGGGGTGTCATAGCAACAATGAGTATTGCGATTAGCGAGACGAGGGCCCAACTCACGCCAGGATATTCCCAGTCAATATCAATGCCATCAATGCCCATTTTCTTAGCGAAAGCTACGAGATTAGACACAAAACGTTCTCGGTTCTCGGGAGTCATGGCTTTGCGGAGGACATCATAAGACGCGACACCGGTAGAAAATCCCCAGCCGCCGAATGATACGATCTTCTTGACGTTCTTCAGGCCCATGAACCCATCCCACTGGTGGTGTGTATCATTGATGTAGACCGAAAAGTCACTCTTGATATCGCCGAATGCCCAGTGCATGTGGGTATACTTGTCGGTATTGGCCAACTTCGATTCCATGTGCAGGCAAGGGCGCTCCCAGTTGAAGGCTTCGTAGTAGCCGATGCGCTGGAACCCACCAGATGGAGATTTGGCATTGTTGACAATACCGGTGCCACAGTTTGAGATACATCCATTGGAGCCAGCCGGCGCAGTTCCGGGGTTTCCCGTCGGTCCATCTGCCTTTGTGCAAAAGAGAGGGTCGATTCCACACTGTCCCCAAACATTGCAGCAGGAGTTGAGAGGACACGGGTTGAGCTTCGCCAGCTCGAACGCGTCCTTGACCTGCCCAGGTTTGACAGTGCCGGGCTTTTGGGGACCGCACACAGCATTAGACACAGGCGCAGGCATTGGCGGCGACCCCTTGCTGAGGCAGATCTTGAGACCGACAGTCAAGTTGGGGCATCCTCTCCATCCCCAGGTGATCTTCTGGTTGAAGGCCTCGATGTCCTTTGGTGTCAGATTCCAAGGCATGCCAATGGCTGAACAGTCGTCTCCTGCTTTGATTGCATAGGTAAAGCACTCTCCATTAGCCTCAGGGAGCGGCTTGCTTGCGCCAGATGAACAGCAGATATTCTTTCCCGCCTGCAGTTTCTTGCACCAGTCGTTTCCATTCCCCTTGACTCCGTTGTACTTGAGGAAGTCAGTGACGGAGATCTTGCAAGCTTTTGCTATGGAGGCACATGAATCGCCAGCGGCAATTTTCCTCATGCTGCAGTATTTGCCGTCAACCTTGCTGTCCAAAGCCTGGAGCTTTCCTGCGGGTGTCCCAATCGACGATGAGTTTGAAGCTTTGGCGTTGATCGCTGGGAGAGGAATCTGGCTAATGACGAGCTCGCGGGAGTTTGTGCCGGACTTGTCCTTGGCACACTCGCCCCGATTCCAAGACAACAGCGCCGATTGAACGTTGCCAATATCTGCTTCAAGGGCCACTGCCACTCCGGCAGTGTGATCCATGTCGCTATTTTGGTCGCAGATCTGTGCCAGCGTACCGGACGGGACCGAGCCCTGCTCCTTATACTCCTCAAGCAGATGATCAACCACGGACGGGATAGTGGCTGAGGACAGTGCCTTTCCGGCGTAGATGGCAACAACCGCTCCATCAAAATAGCCTAGCATAATGTTGTTGTCTTTGGTACAGCCAGTGGTAGCCACAGTCTTGCGTGCGTATTCCTTGAGCTCGTCGAGTATGGTGACCACGCCGGTTCCGGCTTGGGTCGTGGAATTGCCAGTATTTTGCGAAATAATGAGCGGGACTTTGGATTCAACAAAAGTGCCGCCGCACACCTCCAGTTCTTGCTTTGCAGCGCCTGATTCATGCTGAGATACCCCGTCCACTGAAGAGGTCGTACAGGCACGAATCAGCACAGAGTTGGTCTTGTCGTTGATCGGAGTGTGTATTGCCAGGTCAAAGAGCACGGGTTGGTCGCATTGCGAGAGCCTTTCGAAAGAGGAGTATACACTCCATTGGTCAGGACTCTTGTCGGAACATGAAAGCGGGCAGAGATTCAACTGTGACTGAAAAGCGTCCGCTTCGTTGGCAGTTGCCGAGACGCCGTGAAAGCTGGCTATCGCAGTGGCCGAAGCAAACCACCACGCAATACCCCCAGGACTTATCCAAGGCATATTTCCGCCGAGAAGAAGGAATTACACCTAATAAAGATGGTCCCAGTCTTCAAATAGAAGCTGAAGGAATTTCTGGCAGGTCGTGTTGGTGAAAGATTAGCCTAGCCGAGATGTCGAGTGTCGGCTGTTAACATGAAGAGCAGCGTATAGCTTGACGTTATAACTTTTCTTGATCAAACCCTTTCCCCACTTTGCAATCATATGAGATATGGAACTTGTCCATGGACTTGACAGTGGCAACGTTCCTTCCCCGTCCTTTTCTCTTTCTGGTCGTCTCAATCAAAGCGTTGGTTGTTAGGCTATTATTGGCGGCGACTTTTTTTCTTGTCAACTTGGTTCGAGCTCAAGCACTCAAGGGGTATGACAATAAGCTATTTTAAAAAACAATACATTGGCCTATGCTCGATGCAATTTCCCTAACAGCGTTGTAAACATTCTAGAAGCACAGACTGCAGAAGCGTGGATCATCCAGGTGGAGCAGATAGCTGAAAAAGTTTCTTAAGTAGACGTCTGATCTCGAGAGGGTTTCATAGCCGTGCTATACATATAATGCTTGTCTGTGTATCTACAACGAAGACCAGCATCTGGATACATTATATCGGTATTTCTCGTGCTCTTTGGCTGCCCGCTAGCAATCATGGCACGGCCGTACTCCTTCTTCGTTCATCTATTCACGCTTCTAGCTCTCACACTGGGCACAGCGTCTATGCCAGCTGAATCTCCGAGGGCAAACTACCCGTCAATTTTCTCGAGGGGAAAAAATGCGAAGCAAGATGCCTTGATGCTTTGCGCCGATCCTAGATTCATAGACTATGTTGAAGAGGCATTTGTCGACGCCGAACAGATTGTGAGAAGACATACTTCCGTTTTCTAACCGTTGCTAGGACAAGTGTTCACGTTTATTCTAGGTGACAAACACAGTCCGTGAACTCGAACTCCTCATTTCCATGTTCGTGCCCGATGGCTCTGGTCGACTCTTGCCAAACAAGGTTCATAAATGGAGCCGATCGTTTGACGAAGACAATGTCTTTTCGACATACAACTTCTTCATCCACAGACTGGCCGACCCCGATAGGCCAGGAACACATGAAGATGCATATGACGCAGTTCTACACACGCACGGCAAGTACCTACTTCCCATCGTACTCGCTTCCATGGTTGCTTCTGACCCTCTCTTGACTTGCTAGCTGTGGCACAATTCATGAGTAGAGCCTTGCAAAAGTACAACCGAGGCGAAGCTAACCCCGGATATCCCACTTTATTGGTGCATTGTGACGAATACGAGTTCTTATTCGAAGCACTTAATGACGGGCGGAATTACACCGAGGGTGAGACCATCCCCAGCCTTGTATCCGCATGAGATTCTTATTAGCTGACCATATACTGTTCATCAGCCAACCCGACAAAAACGAATCGTGAGTCTTGTTAAGGAAATCCTAGCACGAATTAAACCAGAACTAATTTACTATTAATCCGAAGCCGAGACTGATGGTGATTATGTTTTGGCAATGCTTGCAGGACCGCACAGCGTGTGGGCCGGACAACGTCGCTTTGTTGGAATTAAAGAAGTGTGTCAACAAAGCCGGGACCAAAAGGAGCGATTCTGGGGGGAATTCGCTGTCCCAACTCTCGAAGGAATGGATGCATACGTGATGCGCGGCGAATATGACACTTTTGACGAACACATGTGCATCTGTGAGGTAGGGCATGACAAGTTCAGGGAAGTTGAGGCGAAGAATATCAACGACGGCCTCGAACTACGACGGCTACATGTCCCGAGGGGAGGCTCCCCCACGACATACCAGAAAGAGGCATTGAAAACACTGATGAGAGAAGGCTTAGGGATCAGCTGGCTGGGCAGCCCCCTCGTCTCAACTATCATTCATGAATTGTCGCACTCGAGATCATTTACCGCCGCAGGCCGCGAACTCGGTAAGCCACAATCGTTCCGCTACCCGTCATGTATGCTGACGCATCTCCGGTGAAACAGATGACATAGATTGTGTGAGAGGCGCGATGGTAGAGAGAACGGCTTCAAGCAAGGACTGCCTCTATCAAGTGGCCAAAGGGGAGGATGGCCTGGACAGTGAGGGCTATGCCCAGGGCCACTGGGACGCCGGTGAGATGCTCATGGACCCTAAGATACCTTACTTGGGGAACTGCGGTTGTACTAACAGTGTAACTCAATGGCAATAGAAGCGTTCGCTTTATTCAATGCAGGTAATTACCACATCCCTTTTCCCAGTCTGCAACCTGATTTGCGACAGTATATATGCCCAGACTTGTCGTTGTGCTAATCAAATGGGAACTCTCTAGCAATGTGGGCCAACAGCGCAACGTGGTGGCGGAAGTACGAAGCGAGGAGCAGAAGCAAGAATCCGCCCCCGCAGAATTGAGCTCGCGAAGAGCCATATGAAGCAAGGCAATCGATGGAGACAGGGAAGCTTGCCTCCTCGTGGCGCATATGCATTGCAAACATCGGGTGTACAAGCGCGAGACACAAGTACATAAGTTTAACCTCTGGTCCACAAAAGATCATATAGACTCGTGTTTTCAGACTCTGATACTCCGGTGTCTTGATCGATAAGACACTGCCGAGTCTCCTGGTCGCCTCTTTCATCAACGAGTGATATTCGCTCTCAGTGGTCTCAACACGGCGTCTTTGTTCAGGTTAGCGTCGCCTTGAATTGCCGATCTTCGTCTACAATTCGGACGCTGCTTTTGATTGTCCATCAGACCGTACATTACACTACGTGACATTCAAATTCTGTCGCAATGCGGGTCATATCGAGCATAATGCAGGACCATAGGAGATGCAACTCCTTTTGATGCAAATCTTGTAAAGCCCTTGAGGGTCTTGGCATACGATGCGTCCTATGGGAACTTGAAGAGACGAGAGTGATAGAAATAGTATAAGTGTACTTACTGTTTCCACTGTTCAATAAGGTACCAATCTATACCCCAAGGCACTGCGAGGAGATGGCATGGGGCTTCCCGATGGTAACAAAGCGTCCGAAAGTGTAACACAAGTATGTCCACACGAAGGCTCTAACGTCTGGATATAGAAGGCTAGGTAAAAAAAACAAACTAAAGTCGACAAAGCATTGGCTTTAGATGGTGTTCTCAGAAGAATAGCCGGCTGCTTTCTCGCTGTCGCCTACCTAGGGTGGGAACTTCGAAGTCTAGCTTTTCCCAGCTCATGAAACAACCCAAGAAGAACGTAACAGCGCCTCCTGCATATGCAACCCACTGTATCTTCGCAATCGTCTATATAATACCCTTGATAGCGAGACCGACAACACGAGGGTCCTGTCCAGGCCGAAAGATGCTGGAGTCGATGCCCGCCAGAGCGTCTCGGATCTCCCTGCTGCTGAAATGGCCAAAACCACTGATGGAGCCGTACAGCTTGCTATATCCAACGTTCTGAAAAAGGCAGCCAGCGCGGGACAGGGCAACCGAAACGCCGAATAACTGCGAGAGAATAGGTAATATGGAAGTGTCTTGACGGAGAGACTTTTTTTCGCGCATCGTTGCATGCCACCTCGACCAGATTACTCTTATCAAGCCGGGGTACGTCTTGGACCAGCCGGGACATGACTGCATTTCCAGTCTGCCAGATGAGACCAACGCTGATTCCACTGAGAATATTAAGGTCTAGGATCCTGCTGCTGGGGGTATCTTGCTTCAGAACAGACATTCCCCCAGCCCCAGCCATCATCATAGCGCCGCTCAAAATGTAAAAGGGCGGGAAAACGCGGATTCGAGGCAAGAGACCGGCAAACAAGATGGTGGAGGCAATAAAACTGCAGTTGTAGGGCAAAAGACGGACAGCGGCATCTATGGGGCTCAGACCTCGGATAAAGGCAAAGAACAAGGGCGTGTAATAGAGCGCGATCCCGTACGAGCCTCCGGCGGCCAAGGTAGAGAGTCAGATGAAAAAGAAGTTCTTATCTTGTAAGAACAGGCCGACAGGCAAGGCTTGGTGCTCTCGGGTCATGAAGAGGGGAACAAGTTGCTGCACTATATAACAGATGAAGACAATTCCGGCAAGGGTCCAGACAATGATTGTGCCAAAGAAGTCCCAGTCCCAAGTCGAACCGCTGAATACTACAACAAGACTGAAGAGTACGATGAAGGAAAAATGCAACAGTCTGCCAAGCCAGTCGATGCTGGCAAACTTGGACCATGTCAATGTGTTGAGCTCCGATGGGAGGTTGGGGAGACTGCTGACTGCGAGCGCAAGAATGACGCCAATCAATGGCATATTAATGTACATGGCCTGTGAAGAAATCCATCAGTTCCCAATCTTGAGTTTTGGCCCCAAGGTAGAACCAGGCTTACCCAGCGCCAGGTAGCATGCTGATTCCCAGCAAAAGCACCTCCAACTAGTGGCCCAAGTACAAGGCCTACCGCCTAGGAGACGCCCATAACTTCGACGTATCGAGTGTATTCTAACGGTGTGGTGAGAAGCAAGACGTAGATGCTGCCTCTGTATGAGGGTCAGCCTCGCCATGATATTCTATCGTACCTCCCCTTCTCAGACCATTACTCACGATAGGACGCCTCCAGCTGATCCAAATCCAGTGATGACACGCCCAATAATTACAATGTCAATATTGGAGGCGGTACCGGCCAAGATTAATCCAATGAGCATCAGGGCTTCCGCGACAAGAAAGACTACTACCTTGAGCGGAAAGACGAGGGTCATCTTGCGCCACAAGGGAGTAGTCGCAGCACTCAGGGTACTGTATCCAACGGCAACCCAAGGAAGAAGCTCGACGTTACCAAAGGCCTCATAGATGGATGTTTGGACGTTTGCAACATTACTGACATCGTAGCCTGGTGGAAGTTAGGTGCCACGGTGGTTAGATGAAGTTTAAAGCTGCGGCTTCAACGTACCGATAATCAGCATGGTCAACATCAAACAGATGAAAACAAGCGGCCACCTCCAGCTCTCTAGTCCTTCTCGAAAATGCGATAGCCTCCGTCATCCAGGTTGGCGCTTTCATCAGCATTCGGTGCCCTCGCCTACGTCGTCTCTCCAGGCCCCTTTTAAAGATCTTCCATCTTGACGATTGATGAAGTAGCAATAATTATTCTCAAGCTCGCCTACTGGCCTGGGATTGTTGTCCAGATGCTTGGTTAAAAAGACTCGAATAAGAAAGCTTCAGGGATGAATTACGAAGAGGGGAGCCGACGTTATTTCTATTTCTTCAGTCAGTTCTAATGAAGCACACCGCAGGGCTGAGCAGCCTAACAATAAGACGAAGGGTACTACATGACCCAATTAGACGCACGAGTTGGGGGCAATTGGTCCCATCTCTTACACGCACTACCGACCCCAAACACCGTCTTTCCCAAAAGAGGCCCGTGTGGAATGAAGGCCCTTTGGAGCCAATCTGGCATATAACTTTCGCTTAGGATCCTGAATGACGGTGACCGCGATGTTCCCCCAAACATACTTTATTGGAGAAGTGTACCTAGGTAAGAAACAACGCTCCATTTTTAGCTGGTCGCACCCCAGGGCGAGGCATACATACACAGATATATCCCATACGCACGTTTGGCCTAAAGTTGGGGAGGCCATTGGTTGCGTAACACTTCCCATTAGCTGAGGGCTGAATATGCTACATCGCCCCGATGGATTTGTAACGCAGAGCACCTCAGGGGCGTTTGTTCCCAAAGGAGCCTGTCGATGTCCAGGGGCGCGTCCATCGTGCACGAGCAGTTTTGCGTCGGTGGACGACTCTCCCTAAAGGGAAGCACGGCCGCCACAGCAGAGATCCTGCGATCCTGACCGGAATATAGAAATACCAGTCATCCCGACTTTTCAGTTCCACGACAAGCAGTGCAGCTGAGCCGTCTCAGGCAGAGAATACCAAATGCACCATTCTGTTGGATATTCTGCGTACCCACACTTAGAAAAGAGCGCAGTGTCAAGCAAAGCACTTGTGTCTATTGCAGGCTTGGCTCAAGTCCTTTCTCATCTTTGCGGATGACCGAAATCCATCGTTTTTGGTATGCTGGATGACAAGGCTGTGGGTAATCCCAGAATTCTTCCACAACCACGCGCAAGAGGATCCGTGCGGATGCTACATAGGTACTATGTAGATTAAGAGCTTTGTGCTTCGCGCGGGGTCTTACCCCTTAGGTACCTACTCTGGCGATAATCTGTGGTACTAAAGTACCTTACTACGGCTAACAGTAACCGGTTCTCAGCCCTACCTACCTTACCTTATGGATACCCGGAGCTCTGGTGTGGACTTGATCACCACGTGGCTGTTCCCGCCAGCGCATTCACGGGCTCCTCTGCGTGCCTGGCTAAGACCTGGACAACATAGTATTAAGTAGGTTTACACTATGTCGACCCAGGATAGAATTGTAGACAATTTTCTAGCCTATAGATAGGTACCTAAAGTAGTATGGTATTGGCGTTGAGGAAGTGCCTGTACTTGGGAGAATAGAGCCAAGCTGCACTAAGGTAGTTAGTTATTATACTAGCCGGAGATAGACATCCATGGGAGCGGATGGGGCTGGCCCCGGCTTGGCAGGAACAAACGAACGAAATAGAACGAACAGGTACATGGTACGGAGTAGCTACCTGTAAGTTGAACTGGCTCATAGATGGCGAGAGTCTTATTCTTAGTCGGACCTCTACTGACAGGCAGAGGTATCTGAATGGGGAGAAGATATACCACAAGGTCGAGGGACAGGACCATTGAGCGTAAGACTCAATCTCCCTTGATACTTATTGATCAAACGCTATTTGAGGCCAATCTCGGTACGACTATTGGTACACTAATTCTGCCAAACATTGTTCAGTAGCCACAGCTCTCCGGCCCACTGCTCCTTGACAACTGGCCAAATGTTCTCAGGGGGCAAGACAAAACCACCCTGGCCAGATGTCACCGGGTCTAACTCCAGAGTCCAAGAGTGGTTAGCGCCGTAAGCACCATAGTGGTGATCACGGCCGTTGCCAGCTGAGTAGTACTCAATATCGCAGCCTGTGCCGTACTGGTAGGTCTCGTTGCGGCTATCGTATGCCTGCACGGCATTTGCAAAGCCTCCGGCAATCTCAAGCATGCGAGGGAGCGTGGCGGGATACTGTGAGGTGTTGCAAGTCCACCCAGGCGGCGTCAGAATCTTCTGGCCGTAGCTGTGCAGATCAATGTAGGAGCGAATCCCCTTGGGTGATTTCCCAAGTTTGTTGGAAAGTCCAGATACGGCAATATTCTCGGGGGTATCGCCCGGGCTCAGTCCTTGGAAAGTGCTGTCGCACGGATCGGTAGATGCGGCGCCAGTACCCGGCTCGCCGCCCCATTCAAACTTCCAGTTGCGATTCAGGTCAGTGCCCACGCAAGTGGTATTGCTCCGAGGCAATCGGTTCTTACGCCACATGCGATCTGTTGTCTGCGTGTATGCAAAGCCTATATGGAGGTGTTGCATTAGTACTACCCGGCCATACCGACAAAGCGTGATAAATTTCAACTTGCCGTCTGGGTTATGGAAAGGAACAAGCCAGAAGTCGTAGTAGTCTAGGAACTTTATGATTTCCTTGTCTTGAGCCTTGTATCCGTTGATCAGTTGCCACGCCCAGTATTCAATCACCTGCGGTCACCACGATTAGACTATTGCTGCTTTTTAAGTAGATTTCTTTTGAGCGTGTAGCAGTCGTACCAAGGTGGTGATCCACTCCCTGGCGTGGACAGTGGCATGCCACAGGATGATAGGCTTGTTCCCCTTCTTGCCCTTGTCGCCAAATAAGTGAAAAGCATAGATGGAGCGGTTCTCATACGAAGAGCCAATGTCGTATTTCTTGCTATTCTTGGGAAAGGCGGCAACTAGGTCATCCCAATACTGGAGATGATCTTCATAATCGTGATAGGTATCGTACCAGTTCAAGTCTGGGAGCTTGCCGGCTTTGTGATGCCCGTGATTGTACGTTGGGGTCTTGTTCTCCCGTCGAATCAACTCTCCGAGATCATCGCTAAGAAGCTGCGTAATGAGGCCCAATTCATTGAAGCTCTGGATTTCACTAGGTGGAATCGCCACTTCAAATCCGCGGCTCGTGACCTCCGTAGGGTAGGCGGCGAATCTCTTCTCAAGGAATTCGAACTGGCTCTTGTCGGTTGCTGTGATGCTGTAGACATGATATCCATCATAGCTGACTTTCTCCGAACGCGGACTTGGCGAGTTTACGTTGGCAACGCGCGAAGCCACCAGTGGCGCCAACAAAGCCCAAGCTGTCAGGAACTTCATGATCTCAATGTCCGACCACGTGCTGGATCTTATCGGTTGGTGCAGTGTATGAGCACAAGAGCCCAGTTGAGAGAGCAGGTAGAGCACATCTTATACTTGCCGATTGTCACCCACCGCCCAATGCTCCTGCTTTGTGAGAGATGTCGGTTGGAAGCTACCCCGAGATCATGACATACCAGCGACGCAGAAGATGAAAACCTTCAATTACATAAACGTCGAAGACGTATGAGGGAAGTTGCCGGAGTTATCACGCAATTGCTGGCCTCCTCATTGAGCGATATCGTGCTCTATTCACGCAATCGCCAGGGGTCTCATTTCGAATGCCATATACGTCCTGTATGCGGCAATAAACCTTGCTCAATCAAGGATTTCGAATCCATATGTTAGTATCACCTACGTAGTTTGGTAGGCTAAAAAACGTTACCGTTGCGAGTGGCGGGCATAATAGCGCAACAACTGCAATCTTGCAGTAACGGTAACTTATTACCGACAGATGAACCCCAATTCGGCATGTGTATTTAATCCGACCAATAATGCTTGGTCCAGTCCACATGTAGCTTATCGGTCCTTTCCTCCTCTATGGGTAAATAGGCACTACTGGATCTTATGACGGGATCTATAGCTTAATTCAGACCGCAAATCTAGCAGATGTGCTCGGTATTTCGCCTAAAGTGTTCAAAAGCTGGGATGTTGTGATTCTTGGCTCATCCTCGTCATATGCGTAGTTGCGCTGTCAAACTTGAGAGCTTACACAGCGTTATATAAAAAAAAAAGAAAAAAAAACTTATTTTTATTTCGCTTGAGCCAAGGTAGATAAACATACATTGCCTCTTAAGGTCTTCCTTCTCACAAACATGATTATACGTTTACAGGGCATCCCCCGGTCAACTGCTCGGGCAGTTTTGATATCGCGTCCCATGACTGCAGACCTGGTACCCGGAAGTGGTGGATACAAAAGAGAGACAACACCGCAGAGAAACTAAGTCAGCTCTCTTTATAATGCGTAATTGAAACTACATTCATATCAGACCGTTGGAGATAGTAAAGAGAAGATGTGAGGAAGTCATGGGGCTAATTCAGCAAAGCAACTCCGTTTTGGGACAATACGAGGTATTACTGCACAAGGATTTCTTGAAGAACTTGTCCTCGGGTGATCAGCTCCACGTACCGAATGAAGCAGTTTGCGTGAAAGCAGTGTAGCGATTGGTCATATTTGTCACATCATTCCCAACTCGCGGCCACCTATAACCCGAGATAGCAAACCGCAATAAGCTGATTGGTCGAGTGTCTCGCAAGTTCTCTTGGAAAGGTTCACAGTCCTTTTCCTCAAGTCCTTCCATATCCTAGCTTGCCTAGCATTCCAGCTAAACTGATCAATCAGCTAATTATTTTTTTTTTTTTTTTTTTTTTTTTTTTTTTTTTTTTTTTTTTGTGCATAACTGCATGAATATATAAGCCAGGCATTCTGGGAGATCGCTCATGCCAAACTGCAACTATCCTGGCATGTTCGAGCAAATTTCGTAGCAACTCCATCGGCGAGTAGGTATCTCGCAGTTAAGCCTTGTTAATAGTACTTCGTATCGAGAAAACTCAGTCAAAAGAGCAATTGCAAACTTGGAAGTTCGATAATTTGAGGCACCTGGTACGATATGGTGGCTACCGACGCTGCTATAGTAGATGGCTGTCTTCGTTTCCGACAGGAGTAACAACGGATGAGACATAGGTGACAGAGGTTTGAGCCCTTCCAGTTGACTTCCCATGACGTCCACAGTCGACGGGCTGCAATTCATCAAGACTCTACCCTTTCTCAACGTGAACCCCATTGCAGATGAGAATGCCGACGCAGCCGGATAATTTCTCAGCGAAATGCCAGCAGAAGTCCGGACTGAATCTTCTGAGATGACGTCCACGCATGAACTAAGAACCAGAGGCTCAGGGTGCCCTTCATTGGTTGATGCCTCTTTGATGGCCTTTACAACATACCCAAACCGGACCGTGCAGACATTTGCAATCTGGGAACAGCCAGCAGTCACAAAGGCCCGCAGGGTGCCTTTGTCAATACCCTTGAGCGCCCCTGTGATGGCGACAAATCTGCTTGTGAGGTCGGCAATGGTGGGATCAATGAAAGGGTGGACTCTGTGACGGGGCTTGAGATATTGGAGCAGTTGAGAGGTGATAGTTTTGCGTGATCATATCTTGTGATCGCTCGCAGTGTTTGCTTAGACGTTTTGGCTGCCACAGCTGGATATTTTACTTTTTTTTTTCTCTTCTCTGTGCAGAAACAATGGCCGAGCGCTCACTAATATCATGGCCATCGCACAGTGATCAAAGACTGCACATAGTGAACAATAGCTTGGCTGTTTGAAGTCGTTTCGAACTTCCCTGGCACGTCTTATCTCCACCCAGATGGGAAGGATTCGGGGAGACCAGAGATTCAAAAGTCAATACCTGTTTGCCTCTCCCTCTTTACTCCATTGAGTAAGGCTCTTGTAATTATTCGGACGTGAAAGTGAAGACTGATTTCGCATTTATCTAGAGTACCTGGTGAGTCAAGCTTGTAGGCCTCAGCCAACATGTCATAATTGCCGCCATATGCTAGAGCAAACCTAATTGGAAGGATGGACTGGCTATGGTAACTTATGCTTCGTAAGTTCTAACGACTTCATTTCAAAGAACCCCAGAGATTATTCAAGCTCTCTGCTAGTGAGGGATGGGCCCATATGGCATCTCTCAATGCCGTCCATTTAACTCCCCCGATCATTGCCATCTCCACTAAACTCATGATCTCACCACCCTCGATACCTAAGCAGGTGAATCCGAGAATCCTCTGCGATTCAGCATCAACAACTGCTTTCATCAAGCCTCTAGTCTCGTCCGTTTCCAGGGCTCGTGCGACATACGACATTGGCATGCTGGCGACCTGGATCTTGCGACTCGGATATTGTTCGCGAGCTTCGTGCTCATGAAGCCCGACGTGCCCAAGCTGCGGATCGGTATAGACAACGTACGGTATAAGACGCTCACTTACTGTGAGGTTCCCCTGCTCAAGCAAGTTGGTGCGCAGCAAGCGGAAGTCGTCATACGAGACATGTGTAAAAGCAGGCCCACCTTTGACGTCGCCAAGAGCCCAGACTCGGGGGTTGGTTGTGCGTAGCTGCGCGTCGGTGATGATGTGGCCGCGAGCCGTAGTCTCGATATTGGCAGCGCTGAGGTTCAGTGTCTCCGTGTTGGGTACACGACCGGCAGCAAACAGGACATGAGATGCCTGCAGCTCCGATTGACCGTCCTGACCTGACACTGCGACTGATACGACGGCCGCTGTAGCGGGATCTTGATTGCCAGCAGGACGAATTGCCGTAGGGGTCGCATCAAGAAGAACTCGGACACCGTCTTCTTTCAGCACACTAAGCATGGCTTGGGCGACATCCGCATCTTCGCGGGACAGTAGCTGTGCGCCTCGCTGGATGACAGTAACAGCAGCACCTAGTCGGCGAAAGAGCTGGCCAAATTCGAGCCCAATATAGCCTCCACCCACCACCACGAGATGAGAGGGCACCACCCCCAGCTCCTGTATCGAGGTTGAGTCCAGTACAACGCCGGATGGGAAAGCAGCAGCATCGAACCCGTCAATCTTTGGTGTCGCCGGGCGCTCTCCACTACAGATGAAAACACGATCGGTCGTGAGGCTCATCTCAGGGCCGTCAAGGGTGCGTACATGGACTGTGCGCTCGTCCTTGAAACATGCGGTACCAAAGATCAGATCGACTCCGGCTTCGCGTATTCTGCGCTCACTACCGGAGCGAAAACTATCGACGATGTCGCGCTTCCGCTGCCTCACAACCTCCATCTTGACATTGACATAATTCTGTGCAGCATCAGCTTGATCACCGGTGTATATGCCATACTGAGGACCTCGCTGCGCTAGATACGCAACTCTTCCAGACGCAATCATTGTCTTGGTCGGCGTACATCCTTCGTTGATGCAGCACCCGCCGACATGCGAGCTCTCAATCAGCGCCGTTTTGTGCTGCGCCTTCGCAAAAGCCATGCTGAGCGGCGTGCCGCCTTGGCCAGAGCCAATGACGATGGCATCATAATGAGTAGACATGGTTCGAATGTTCTCCTTTTGTGTCAAATGCTTGTGCTTGTAAAATAGCCATAAACATGCGGAATACAAGCTACCGCGCATGACTTTCTCGAGGCAAAGACTTCGAGCCAAGGAATGATCCAAGCGAGACACGAGAATGGAATTGAAAGATAGCGATGCACGGGAGAACTGCCCTTAAATATTACGAACATGGCGGCAACTCAAACGTTTAGAGAAGCGGCCATTATAGCGTCCTCAGGATCAAAGCATGGAAGTGGTGGTTGGAGATGGTTACCCTGTTCGGGCACCCATTCGACTTCGGATGCGGAGAAGCAGTGCGTCATGAGGCATTGAGGTTCCAATTCGATGATGTATCTACTTCTACCTACTACCTTGGGTACCTTAGGTACGACTACTACCAGATACCTTACCTCAGGTACCTTAGCTGTTAAGATAAGTACTAGGTACTGAGACGGCTCATCTACATGCTAATTCCTCGCAGCATGCTCACTTCCAGGCCAAACTTCGGGGCAAGGTCCGAAGAGCGTAGCAATTGCGTAAGGAATCGAGGGGTTGCATCCCGAACAGGTCGAGCGCATGAGATCTTACAAGTACCTAGTAGGTATCTAAGGTAGTTGACGCAAAAGTGTGTGTGGCTGTTTTACATATATCGGCCGCCCGGTCTGTGTGCTACCGTTCCCGACAACTCGCAGCGCCTTGGTCTGCGACGCGAACTGCCTTTCAGCATTACGTTGAATAATGACATTGTTGCTACATACGAGAGCGATGCTTGCTTTGCCCCTTCTTTCATTGCTTAGATGAAGAAGCCGTTATAGACCTTGAGTACATTGCACTACACGTCCATTGAAATAACAAGGTGCTTCGTACGGAGAATAGGTGTGCTCCTTTAGGTATGTATGTGTGTATGTATACCTAGTACTACCCAGACGCAACTGAAAGGCTTTCAGCTCTTCTCTCGGCGACAGGGCGTTATTGTGGCGCGCCTCGGAACGATCATTGCATCCCGTAAGCTCTCATGGACCCCCTCTCGTCTTAGTCTGACGCCATCTTGCATCTGACGCTTGAATACATTGAGACAACGCATCGGCAGTTGTAAATCAAAGATAGGCGATAATATGACCAAGTACAGCGTCAGAAAATATTCCAGGGAGTCCTCCTATTCAAACCGTAGAGAATCTCTATTCAAACCGTAATGGTCTATGCATATAGGAAAATTCCTGCGCCTACACCTGCATTCCTATACTGCACACCTACTTATAGTGTAAGCTAATGACACATTTAGTAGCCTCAAGATCTAAGTGATAGTTGACTCTCCTTTCGGTCTATCCCCAAGGGCCTCTGAATCGCTTAGATGTGTCCATTCTAAAGTTCCCCGTTAAGCTCATGTTTCCTGCTATCCCAAGCTTGAGTTCTGCGTCTCTCTCTTCTCTATTTGACTGATTGACATGCCTTGCACTTATGGCAAGTAGTGATCTCAATTCGTGGTTGGACAAATGAGCCAGACTTTGCTGATCACCTCGGGACAGTCGTGAGAGCTGGGTTTGCGAGGCCGCTATAGTATAATCAGACTCTGTCGCAATAAGCTTTGATTCATGTGATGGCGTCCTCAGCGGTGACCTTATAGGCTCCATACGGCGGCTCTCTCCTAGCGAACGTCCTCTCATTCGAAGAGTTCCTCCAGTTGATGAACCACGGGGACCGGTTAGTCTGCCTGACGGCAGTCGCAATAACTCTCCGGCAGCTTGAAATTTCTTTTCCGGAATATTGTAGAGGTCTGTGACGTTCGAGGCAAAGTTCAAGCGGCAATGGCCCTTGGCCATCATATGGTGCTGAATTCCTTCGACAGTATTACGGCGCGTGGCGCAAAGGATGCACTCGCCGTATCCGTAAATAGCAACCTGGAGGTATTCAACAAGTGTCTCTGGTTCGACTTCCAAGTAGTCTTGATATGGTATAACGAAGCTGTGCTCCTTGGACATATGTGCGAGATTGCTCTCAAAGGTGCCATTTCGTGCACCGCAGAAGAGACATCGTGCAGGATCTATTTCCGGTATTTCGGAAGGCTTTGGAATGACATCATCGTTGTCGCCATCATGGGGAGTATCGCCCTCTGCCTCAACAGCCACTCTTCCATTTGACGACAATAAGGGCAGCACAATGGTCCCAGGTTCTGCTATTTTCACACGAAGGTTGTAGACACTGTAAACACAGAAAAGATCAGTACTCTAACTGTTCCTCTGTGGTCGTGAAGCGTACTGTGAATCACTCTTTGCATGCTGTCGCCATTCGTTTGAGCCAGCCAGTGGTATATTGCATAATCTACAGAAAGATGGGAATTCATCTCCCATTCTCGCTGTCAGTTGCTCGCTGGTAGCTCCGGCGGTCAGAATTCCATGGCTTAGCGGCTTGACGCCGGTAGGAGTAGTAAGAGTATGATATGTCGAGCAGCACGAGGCCGTCCAGGAGATCTTGGAGTTCGCAATGTTGTCCAGTTAATGAGCAAAACTGCCTTCAATATAAGGTATATATATTAACAGTCACCTCCAGCCAGCTATTCAGCAAGATACAGTGCTTGCACTGTGACAGTCATTTACCCCGTGACAACTAGCAAGCAGTGGTTTCGTCGACTCATCGATTACCCATTTAGGACGCTCTAACCCGCCTAATATACGCCACTGTCAGTCATCTCGCAATTCAAGTATCCGCAACTACATAGGTACTAATGAGTCACGAGATATGGTAGCCCTGGGCTGTATCTGATTGTTCCACCGTAATAAACAAATTTTGCCTTTCTATTCGTCTCTCAGTTCAATGTTCTCTAATGCAAACATTGCAAACATTGGCACAGCCCAAATTGGCAGTGTGGGAATGAGAAGGACGTGCGTGATACAGTGTAGCTCTTATCGGAAGTGACATTTGCAGCTACCAAGCAGGTAGAATAATGCTAAACAACAGAAATCTCGGTTATCTCTCGCTGGAGGCTGTGCCATTGCAGGGAGATATGCAAGGAGTTGGGGAGAATGAGAGCTGCGCAGACAATGCCAGAGGCGGTATTCCTAATGGCTCCACCAACGGCTCCGGAAAGAACCTAGAGACATAGATAGTCCATGAGGTCGTCACAGAAGCAACGCCTGAGGGTTACCCTAAGCATAATATAATATCCGATGACATCGACGCAATATCAGGCCAAGAGGAATTTTTAGTCCGCTGTTATAACTAAAACTTGAGGCATTTGAGGCTGTTCATTGAATTCAGCATGATGCAGAGTATCGTTTGACAATATGTACTATAGCATTCCAGATACACATCACCAATATGTGTGACACTTTCTCTTACTCTTATTGAATTATATAAAGGTGTAAGTTGCCGAAGCATAGAGCGTCGGCTATCTCATATACTTCAAATTTGAGTGTATAAAGAGGTTCTCATAACTCATGCTCCATTCATGGAAAAGAAAGAGAATGTCGGATCTTCGAGACTCATGAATCCGCAGCACACTTGCCACTCTTGCAGACATAATCATCCGAGCAATCGTCATCAGAGCCACAAGAGGCGCCGATGCAGTGGCCCTCCCAAGAGCAGGTGGTAGGAGGGGGAGGGGGAGGAGTACCACTGCCACCATCCGCGGCACACTTGCCACTGGAGCAAACGTAGTCATCAGAGCAGTCATCATCGGAGCCGCAGGAGGCGCCGATGCAGTGACCCTCCCAAGAACAGGTGGTTGGAGGAGGTGTGGTGCCGCCGTTGTTCCCGCCAAGGCCCTGGACGAGCTTGTCTCCCAAAGACTTGATGCTTGCTTCGAATTCAGAAACATTTTGAGCATTCCACTTGGCACCATTTTTGCCTGGAACGGTATCGTCGCCGATGAATCCGATATAAAGAACATCCTTTGCGCCATGTCCGAAGTCGCCGTTAAGATGCTCGTTGGGGAAACAAAGCTGGGCAAGTGAAATCGATGCCTCCCCGGTTGTTGGTTCTGTGTTGGTGTCGCCCCAGATACCATACCACTGAGACTCATGATTTTAGTAACCTGTGACAGTGGGTTTGTGGCAGGGGATATACCGCCCTGCAAAAAATATGGTACGGCAAAGAGAAGACAGAATCAAACTTACCACCTGATTGTTGCAAACGACAGCCATAACGCTCAGGGGCTTGATATACTGCTGGCCATCAAAAAAGGGCTTCTCGTTAACAACCACGTATGGGTGAATGTTTGCGTTCAAATCCGGGATGCCATATGACTGCACAGTGTCTTTGAATGCTGTCTCGCCGTATCCCGTGGGGTCATTGGAGCAATCGCCGGCCTTATCATCGGCGCCATCGCAGTCGACGTCCATGTTGTCATAGTTTCCGGAGCTTCCCTTCAAGAATATGGCGTTGGGAATATCTCCGCAGAAGACAGCTCCAGAAGAAGAGGTTCCAGACAGTGGTTTAGCGCAAGTTCCCGCCTAATGTATCAACGTCAGGATCTGCCTCGTATAGACTGAATTTCGCGGATGTATCAAGTAGTCCAGACCTTGTGGGCATTGTATATGGCTTGAAGATTGGCAGGAATAGTGTAAGCTAGAGAAGCAGTTCCCGTGGCGAGAAGTGTGAAGAAAGTCGGAGAATGCATTGTGACAACGGCTGTTCAAAACTCTGGTGGACGAATTATTGGACCAGGTAGAGACCAATGCTTCTACAATCTGTATTGCACAATAGCCTTATATACTTGCACTCTAATACATCGTAACATAAGGCACCTTCATGGAATACGAGCTTGTAGGATGGGGTGTTGCCAGATGCGGAAAAGGTTCAAAGCGGTGAGAATTCCTTCCAGTCGTCCCCTGTGTTATTCCACGCCACGCGCTAAAGTAAGCTTAATGTGGAAGGTTGAGTGCGTGGATTAATCAGGAAGCTCTGAGTACAACCAATCACGGCGCGAGCCGTATCCTACAGAGGGCACGTTGGCTGAGGGATACTCTGCTGGTTCGAGGAAAAAAGATTGGTTGAAGCAGCTATTGAAAACAGAGGGGCTATAAACAGAGGAAGAATAGAACATGCAGACACATCTTGGATTCTCTTCATCACGACAGCTGATTGAATCCCACCTGTTCGCAAACTCGCCTTGCTGGGCTAAATCAAGTCAGCACTAAACCTCCAGAGACTTGAGACATCTTATCAGCTCTAAACGGCAATGACAGTCATAAGCCGGAATAATTCATACATATTACAAAAAGAGTCTCAGTGTGAGACAGGTCGTACTACATGAAGACAAACTAAACAAGAAAGCATACCATCGTATGTCTTGCGATTAAAGACATGCTGCCGGCTAGAAACTCTGCATCATTGCATGAGCAGCAGTCCAATATGCGGCGAGATCGAGTGGATTGTCATTGATGTCAGCTCCATTGCCTACAACTGAGCGTTGGCGAGATTCACAACTCGGCCAGAACGCAGAGCAAAAGGACAACTTGACTTAATACTGCAGGCGAGTAAGGTGGTGGCAGTGAGGCAAATCCCTCTAGATTGGGCATGGTGGCACTAGTCTACCTTAGATGTGTCTAATGCACCTCCGTTTTTGCATCTATCGCGGGCTGCCTTAAGAACACGTGAATTTGCACTGTAGAAGCAGGAGAGGACTACGATAAGCACGAGCATTATTGCCGTACTATCACTACGTTAGTTAGGTACGAGAGCCTGACGTCTGATGATACGTATTGTCACTCTGTATAGAAAGAGGCCTTGTTTCAGTGCTGTGCATTTTAGAAAGTTGTCCTGTCTACCTTACCTGTCGCATGCCTCTTGTTAAATCATTCCAGCGGCTGCAAAGCTCGAAATCTATACATCGCATGCAGGAGGAAAGAGCGGTAGGGTGCGAACACTGTATAATGCATGTGTTAGTGTCCTTCCAACTGTTGGTCAGCCTGATATAAATGCTAGAGCAAGAATATTTGCAGTTCGCTGTAAACGATTATACGAAGTGTGCAAACTGTAGCTTTACCGCTCCCATAAGTCGTTCCAATTCAAACCTCAGGGGAAGCAAAAGAGATTCCATACAAAGCACCACCATTTACTCCGTACTGCTAAAAGGTCATTTTCCCTCGGCGTCGGTGGGGCCATTAATTTCTCTTCCGCAAGGATGACCCGTTGTTGATGGACCCCGGTCGTCTTATGTCTAACACGCGATTGGAAGCTGTTCTTCCAAAGAGGAAGGCAGATTGAGTTCCGATTCCATTTACGAGTGTAATTTCTGGGTGCAAGGTTTTCCTAGTGCCAGATAATATTGTCCTTTGCATGTTTGTGTGGCCTAGAATGGCAGGACGACGGTGCTCATAAGCTTATATCAATCTATAGTGTGTAAATAGCTTTATTCAATGGGATTACATGCTTGAACCTCTCGTATGTTTCTTCAGGCCGTCTACTCTCTATTACTCCTAATGCTTCTGTGTACCACTTTGAGCTATAAGTATCCGAGTATCTCCAACGTCTTCTGATCAACTAGATACCGGCAGCACTTCTCCTCCAATAGATCAATCTTCATCACCACTCCCTTAAGGTCATTCTACAATATTCATCTATCGAACCGCAAATATGAGGGCTGAAACTATCGCGTCTGTTGGCCTGTTTGCCAAACTGGCACTTGGACAGTCGGTTATCAACTCCGGAAACGGCTTTGGAACCTACTATTACGATATTGAGCATCCCCAATCCTGCTTTGCCGATTTCACGAACATGAATACGGGATTTGTCGAATGCAGCCAGTTTCTCCCCTGGACCTTGAACAACGTGGGTAGCAACAACCTCGTTGCTATGAACCACACCCTTCTGGCCGGAAACTTGGCCAAGTATTGCGGTAGACGGGTTGTGGTCAGTGTTAACGGACAGCCATCTAGCACGCCATTTTTCATCGGTGATGGCTGTGAGCGATGTGGCACCGGATCCTCTACCAACACCCAGTGGAATCCTAATGGAGCTCCTGGCTTGGACTTCAGCTTTTCGGCCCTTGATGCCTTGAACTCAAACGCATGCAATGCCGGTCATATCGACATCTCCTGGCAAATCCTGGACGAGACCCTGTACAACTTCGATACCAACGCTCCCGGGCAACCAACCGGTCCCGTCAATGGCGGTGGAAGCAATCCAGGAAACGGCGGCGGCAGCAACCCGGGCAATGGTGGTGGCACTTGCAGCTGGGCAGGCCACTGCGCAGGTGCCAGCTGCGGCACAGATGATGATTGCTCCGATGACCTTACTTGCATCAGTGGTACATGCGGTGGCGGTTCGGGTAGCGGTTCGACTCCACCTCCATCATCTTGCAGCTGGGAGGGCCACTGCCAAGGTGCCAGCTGCGGCACGGACGACGATTGTTCTGATGCCCTTGTCTGCACCAACGGACGCTGCAATGTCGACTAAGCTGCATTTATGCGAGCACAAAGCCACGAATTACCTTTACATACCCCCTTGATAATGTACATACCTTACCTTCTCTACCTATGTATATAGAAATGGCGGTGCGCATCTAGATGCAAGCTGTAAAAACGTCACCAAGTATATAGCTTGATAGATACATGTATATGATTGCAAATACCGCGTCACTGAGCCATTCCGTAGCATGCTTCTCACTGAAACAATGCGTATCACGGGAAACCTGTTGTCATGATACGATACACTGCGCTTTCCCGGTAGAATGATGCCAGCCGCTAAAGGTGCGTGGTGCAAAGACTCGTCTCACAGCAAAGCCGTCCAAGCCTATTGTGAGGGATCTATATCATACTCAATGTCTGTCCTTATAATATACTTGGCGCCCTTTGTCACGCTTGATCCTTCATGCAGCAAAGCCCCTCGCGTCTCTCCATGGGGAAATATGGCGACGCCGCCCATGACAGGGCGTACTCGGTAGGCATTCAGTGTGCCTTCAATGGGTGCTGGGATGAAAAAGGTGGTTTCTCCTCCTTCAAACTCATCGTTGAGATACAATAAGAACGTAAATAACGAGCTCTGCTTCTTTCCAAAAGGCGAATCGTCGTACACATACGTATCGTCTGGTCGGATGCCGGAGGGTGGCCAAGCTCCGTCGATATGGCATCGGTATTCAGCGCCGGGAACATATCGGTACACGCGGAAACGTCTGTTCAGGCCACGGGCCAAGCGGCCATCAACCGAGGATGGCACAAAGGGAGCGATTCGCGACCAAAGCTTGTCGTGAAATGCGGTATCGATGATCCAGTAAAAGTTGTGTGCCAAAACACTACTATCGCCACCCTCGCGTATTGGCGTGTCTGGAAGGAAACCGACCGTTTCGCCGACAGCAATGATGGCTTTGCATTCTTCAGGCGAAAGAAGATTCGTCGCAAGACTGAGATTGGGAACGTTCGGATGCTTGTGAAGCGTTATTTGGGGAATTTCCGGTGACAGCAGAACGGTATCGGGCTGAGAAGCATACAGAACCGCTGGATGGTAATTGGGGGGGTTGCGGAGGTGGCCAGGTGTTGTCTCGATGATGCGAAGAGAAGAAGCGACTGAGCTTGGTACCGAAGAGAAGATAGTCCGATCCAGAACAGAATCATAAACGTGTTGTGGCTGAACAGAGGGACGTACATCCCACGTGGCTTGGAATGCTATGCGAGAGGAAGATCCAGGTAGAGGCTTCGTGACACCGACACTGTGATCAACTGGGCAGCTGACACGTAGCACAGCATCTAGTACACAGAGGAGCTCCTCGTCTTTGGGCGACCGTTTCGGATTATCTATGCTCACGCCTTTTGGCTGCGTCACAACGTCAAGATCTCGCACCCAACGACACAGCGCTCCCAGTTTGGGCTCTTCTCTTCGGAGCCGCATCTCGGCAAGCAAGATCCTCGCTTCGAGGAATCTCTCATCAGCAAGTGCGGCAGACACGCGCGCCGTCAAGTTGGCACTATCCTCTAGAGAGCACTTTAGATTCCATCCGTTGCGTCAAGTGCTGTAGCAAGAAGCAGACTTACTGGTGGCATTGACACCGGTGGTACATGATTGGCGGAAGTCATAGACAGCCGTCCGAAGGTTCCTGCAGAGCTTGGACTTTGTCAAGCTTGGATGTTGTGCTAGAGTTGTAAGTGTCTCGATCGTGATGTCTAGCTCCTCATCCGAAATTACTGTCTGTAGGCGCTTGATCTCGACTCGCTCATCTTCAGGTAACGTAGCAACAGCTGATGTTGCCTTTTCGACCTTGATGTGCTTTTGAGAGAGTTTCTCTTGAGCACTTCGCTTCCGCTTTGTTGATTTGGAGTGTGCCATTGTGCTCCACGTGCAGAGTGGGATGCAGCGCTTAAACGGACAGCTCTCAGATGAGCTCTTTTCACGTACAACTTGGATGGCGTCGAGTTTACGGATTGTAGCAAAATTTGGATCTCCCCTCGTTGGTGCGTCAGCCGTCTCTAGGCAGTGGAGTAACTAAAGTCCGAGGCTGCCAATCGAGTCGCTGAACAGAACATACCCTGCAGAATGTGGCCTCGGCTCGTCGGTGCCCATGTACCGCACTGATTTGTCTCTCCTCCCTGATTGGTGACTCAACGTCAAATTGACTGCCCGGGATACCCATACTACTAGTCGTATCCAATGTACCACTTCTTCCCTACTGACAACAGACAAGGAAACAAGCACAACAGATGTGCAACAGCAGACTATTCTGAGACGCCCATTTGGGCATATATGGTCATTCTCGGCTTCTCCTCAAGTCGAGACATCGAAACTTGAAATGACGAGGTTGTGCTGGTAAGCTTGTGTGTCTCTTGTATCATGTTATCCAAACTTGCACATTTGCTACGCATGACTTTGTCAAATACGGTGCCTTAATCTTCCAATTAAGCTGCTAATCATTGTGCTTACAAACAGCAGATGATGAATAGGCACGACGTGCTACTCCGTAGGCTGCTAAAGCAATATGATAACATGCAAACCAATATCCCATGCTGTGAAGTACTGGAGTGCGTATTCGACTACCTATGCATGTTCAATCACCTCCTGGACTTTGTCGTACTTCACCCCATGCATCCAAAATCCCACTACCAGCGGCTTTGGGGCATCTACTTTTCCATTCCCATCTGTCTTACCCAGCTGGTCAGTCCAAGTCCAGTAAAGCCGATCTTTCCAACCTTCCAGATACCAGCCATTCAGGTCTTCCTGCGGAGCTTTGTTGAGCGTGGGCAGCAGAGGCGTTCCGTTGACATGTACAAGGAGACTCGTGTCGTGAGCTAGGGCAACAAAAACATTGTTGGCTTCATCAAACGCTTCTCTCAGACGATCTGCTGTGGCTTGACCCACTACCGGATCTACGAATGTAGAGAGTTGGCCTTTTGAAACACGGTACCATGCTGTGGTACGAGCCGCTTCGTTCACCAAATCCCTCCCATCTGAAAATTGAGGGAACTGGGGATGGCGCATTAGTAGCACTTCGGGTCTTTCGACGCCTGCAAGTCCAACACCGTTGTCGGGAAACTCGCGGCTTGGGAACGGATGCGAAGCGTTTGGTCTCAGGACGCCGCAGAAATGACAAGCATCTCCAGATAGGAGAATAAAAGTATCCTTCTCTTGTCCCGCGGCTGTGCTAGTGGTCCTAGCCAGAGCACTTATATGACCATGATCGTGGCCGGGAGTATCAAGAAGATAAAATGATCCATCACCATAGAAATCAAGCGCAGGAAAGCCGCCAATTGTAAAGGTGGAATCGCTGAAGTCGACCTCCTTGTTAGGACGCCCAGCGAAATCCGACGCTAAGAATACAGCTTCTGCCGCACCCGTAGATTCAGGCTTCAAGGCCGCCAATTTTTTCCCATAATGCAGAGTCGTGGTTGGTGGGAAGAGCGATACATCTCCCCTATGGTCGAGGTGTGAGTGACTCCAGATAATATCGTCGATATCTTGCAGCGATATGCCAGCGTCTCTCAGTACTTCAGGGACACCTTTCTCCACCTTGACGCCGACGCAAAAGGCAAGCGAATCTCGAACGTTCGGTGGCAGGTTCCACCAGTCCTTCCGGATGCCCAGGTCAAAGAGAGCCATCTTTCCCAAAGTCTTGTTTTCAATCAGAAACGCCAAGGCCGGTCCGCTCGTGACTTCGTGACCTTCTGAAACTGGGTCCAGAAACAATGCCGACGGAAGGCTCAGCGTCCCGATCTCCTCGATAAGTCGAACCCGAACCGTCTGCGCTGAATGCGGCGCGCTTAGCCACTTAGGTTGTTCGGACATGATGTATGAATCGAAGCAGAGAGCGTGGTGGTCTGCTAGAGAAGCTCAAATGTAAGGGAATTGGTAGGAATATTTTGTATTCACAAGTTGAATCCTTTGTCTAACGATTGGCGATGTCCTTATACATATGCTCTGCAATAGTGAAGGATTCAACTTTCGAGGCCTGGCCTACTGCCATTGGGACATCCGCAGGCCGGCCGGATCAGGTCAACCATGTCTTTTCTGCCTGATATCCTCCTCTGCATCTAGCCAACTCCTCCTTACAAATCAACAACTCAAATCGTCATGCTGAGCTAACATGACGAGGTTGGGAGCCAAGTCTGTGGCATATAACAGCATGGCTTCATACTTTGACTGTCAATTGTGGTCAGAACGGTCAGAACGGTCAGAACGGTCAGAACGGTCAGAATACCTGGTAGTCAGAATAGTCAGATGATTCTACGCGCTTAATAATTCGGGGCCAATGGATTGCCAGACATGCCTAACTGAGTAAGGTCAGTTTGGGAGCATATGTATATCAACCTTCTCAAGCAGGGCAATGTCCAGCATATAGCTGCGACCTGCCAGCTTTGAGCGCAATTGTTCTTCACAAACTTGAGACTGCTTCTTGTGTAAAACATGTTGCGAAAAGTTCGCTTAAATACATAGAGCTCTCACATAAATTTTGCGATCTGGGGCTCTGGGAACCATGAATCTACACTCGACGATTGAGTTGGTAAGGCTGATGTTTGGGCATATTGGAGGTGCACATGGGCATGCTTACCTGGATCACTTGGGAGGCTCCGAATGATTGGAAGTTTCAAACTCAATTAGCTGCTGAAATACACTCTTGTTCTAGTTCTCAGCCAACCGCGGCAGAAGAGGTGCTTCATCTCTAGACACTCTCCAAAAGTTCGTCTCCTCCAAGATATCATCAGTTATCACCCAACGCCATCTGTCTACAAAGTCTTCTTGCATCTCCCAGCCTCTTCGATCCCAAGGGGTCTTTCCCCAAACTTTGATCTTACCGGACACTAGATCATTCCAAAAATTGCGAGCATCAAGTAAATCTCCAGCGCACAGAAGACTATCCCGGAATTGTGGGAATGGAATCAAGTCAATAAACGGGAGATGTGTTGTGTGGGCTTGGAGATTAGTGGGTGTCAGTGCAGGCGGAGTGGAAGTAGAAGGGTGTATATGGATGGCGGGAATCAGCTGGCTGCAGTCGATTGAAAGAATATATCTGTTCGTCAAGAGAGCGGCCAAAGTTTGCATTCCGGGCATAGTAATCGCTAGATCCGCCTTGACTGATGATAGAGGTCCTAATCGATCTTCGTTTCGTTGGATTCTAAAGGTTTTCAGCCCTGTGAAGTGAAGTGGTCTCCCACCAAGATTGAAAGCTTACAGATGTGGTTCAAGATCCAGTATCTGTTCTAACCTGTCGCAATTTCTGTCGCAATTTGTGGTCGACGAGTTGATATGCGATAGAGCCGTCGTAGAAACAGGGAGTATCTCGGCGTTCGCTGACCTTAGGCTCTTCTCCAAGGCCTTTTGTCTTTGCTCCGCGTTGGTGTTAGCGCCCCCGCGAGTATTTGGGACTAAATTTTCTTTCGTTGAAGCTTTCGAAGATCCCGTGGCCCTAGACTTCCGTTGTCGCTCGAATTTGGATCCTAGACACTAAAGTTCAGATGCGGCACTACGGCACCACCAGCGATGCCTCGGTAACGGAAATCACGAACTATGAGCCCTCTGCGCAAGCCTATTCTGTATTCGTTTTCTTTCCGCCTTGTCTTCCACATTTGTCCAGTCATCCTCTTCGACCGATTGGATAAATTGCTTCCACTTGCTGAGCATCATACCAGCAGCTGTTCCCAGCTGTGTGATGTCTGACCTCGTATATGCCTGGACTCATAAGACGCGAGAGGCAGTCGCTATCATATAGATACTGCTGTATGTCAGGCTTGCTGGGCGATTGTAACTGCTAGAAGATGAGAACTTGGTAAGCTGAAAATGCCTCATCCCTTATACTTAGAGGAAAAAGAACCAGGCAGGCCCACGTGACGCAAAAGTCAAGAATCCCTGGCATCGTTCTCGAGTTCCTTATGCTGTGGATCTTCGACTAATCAATATTACCTTGACTGGGCTGCCCTACTCTGACCTGCATCAAAGACTTTGTAGTTTCCGGATTGACCCGACGCTTGGGGGGTGAACAGTCAATACTCTGAAGAGGCGCCAGAGCACTGCTTTATCTCTTAAGGTACGGAGTGCTTGTATGTGGAAAGCCTGGCTGCCAGAATGTACCTGGGACCGCGCTCCTTTGGCGTTGTGGCGGCTTCATCACAGCAATTGTAGGCGAGCAGAGTCTAGAATGTACATTCTACAAACTGTAGTGACTTAACGAGTCCTGAGGTTGCCTACGCTACCGCGTCTAGCGAAGCCCTTCCTAGCAAGCTAGTTATGCATCCTAAGGCTCTCTTGTCACTTCCAAAACGCTTCTACCACCAACTAATATAACAATGGGTTGTTGAAAGTGCCTTAAATACTCTCAGAGGAATGCCACCTTTTTTTAGCGGGTTTGATGTTAGTCTACCACCCACCGCCAAGACGCGAATATGCAATATGGTGCCAAACTACGCAAATCTCCTCCTGCATAATGCATAATAGAAGGCATGGCGGAGGCATGCCAGGCCACCTTTTGTTCTTTAAAGCGCTCCTGTGGTACGAAGGACAACACGATTGTAGATGCTATATGAAGAAGTTCTAGATAAGCTTGGATTGTTATGGTCCCCTTGTATTTGGTTACCTCTTGCAAAGAGCGAATCCTTTGTGTTGAAAAGTATGTCAATTGTCTTGCTTGTCTCTCTACAACTAGACCGGATTGTAGCTCCTACTTATGCCTACAGCTGGATTGACCCCCTGCCTGCCTATGTATTGATACTTCCTATGTTGGTGCCCCTTTTTTCCAACACTTTGTTTGTCCTGCCTCTTGAAGTTATAAGCTCATTTGAATTTGTTGGATATAAAACGAAACCCCGCTGATGTCTTAACGACATTGTTATCCTTATAGGGAATACTATGTAAGTTCTGTTTAACAGGATTGCATATAGACTACAGCATATCTTGTGACTATGCAAAAACATATAAAAAAAGATAGATACTGAGGATTGCTTTCCTTTTCCTTAGTAGTCTTTGTCGGTGAGAGGCCTTACGTGGTATTGATGAGGTTTGATTTGCAAACTTCTAAAGACTTATCAATCGGTTGATGATGAGTGTAGGTATCATCGGCTAACTTGTCAGTAGAGAGAGATGGAGATATGCACTTTGCTAGTATCCACAGGATTTTCATTGCTCTAGAAATTACGGGTGCTGGCTTTCGGCATGGACAGGTATCGGGCACTCCTTATTAAGTCAAATGCTCCAATCACACTTGAACAAGGTAACATCCGGAAAACTTGAGATATAGTGTGCGTCACCTCTTCCTATGTGATGAAGACAGTGAAGATGCATCTGCAATTTTACTACAGAAAGTCGAGGCACATTTTTCAGCTGAATAGCGCTGATAATGATTTCACTGTCCAGACCAGGAAAGCTGTACCCCGGTCACATACGCGGGAAGACCTAGCTTCGAATGCTATCAAGAGTCTAGAAACCGTATGTGAAAAACAAATCATTGTCTCAAGCGCGCGTCTTGTCGAAAGAAATTGCCCATCATCGTCATGATTTGGAATCAATCAGTCCCGATTTACTCCTGGTGAGTTAACGATGGCATATATATATACCTATGTGTGTATGTATGTATACACGTCCCCTGCTGCTGTTCAATCTGATGTATCCCAACCTGTCCAGCTCACCCCGATTTACTCTAACAAAATGCTTTGTTGCACCGTCAAGACTATGACTGCCTTTTTGATCTTCTCTGGAAGCTTATTTGCAGGAAGTCATGCGTCTCTCGTCGCTTGTCAAAGTACGATGACAATCGCGGGCGTCACCGTTATAGACACGCCGCTGGTCCGTGATGCACAAGCCTTCGCTCGCGACCACACCATTGATTCTATTTACAACCATGTCATGAGATCCTGGTTGCTGTCGACTATCATAATCAACAGCAATGAGACTCTCCGCGAGATCATTGATCTGGAAGTGCATGCGGTAGCCTCTCTCCTTCATGATATCGGTCTAGACCCAGCTGTGAACTCTTCAGTTGTTACCCCAGATCGGCGATTTGAAGTCGACGGCGCTTTCGCCGCAAGACAGTTCGTTGAGGAGCACAAGATTGGCCAAGCATGGGACAGTCACCGACTGCAATTACTGTGGGATTCTATTGCTCTGCATTCCACTTTCACCATCGCCGATTACAAAGAGCCCGAGGTGCAGCTTGTGAGCAAAGGTGCAGTGACAGACTTTTTGGGGCCATCGCTGCCAATAACACAGTCTGACTGGAACGCACTGGTCGAACAATTCCCACGCACCAGCTTTGGCTCTAATTTCAATGAGTCCATTATTCATCTTTGCATGACTAAACCGGACACAACTTACGGTGAGAGAATCTGGCTCTTGGCCTGAGGGCGCATACTAACGTCTATCAGACAATTGGATGCAGCCATTTGGTGATCGATATGCAGCCGGTTACTCGTCGAAGGGTCACGACTTGATCGATTTTCCGGTTCATCCTTAATGGTATCATCCTTGCTTCACCTCAGTGAACTCCAGGCTCGACTTATATAGAACGGTATCGCTTAGTATACCTTATCTAAGGCAGGAGGACGCGTATACGCTCATGTCTACCCGCGTAAATCGTCCATAGTAATAATGTAGTAGTACTATTTCGTACCCAATCGCCAAATTGTGCCTTCAGCGCTATCCATCGTGGCAAAAGTTCTAGCAGGGGTCTTGGAGATGACTGCTGCAGTTTGACAGCCCCGATTTTTATCTTGCCAGTCGTCCAGGTATTTATGGGCGAACGGACCCTTAGGCCCTTCGTCTCATTTTCCACCGAGCTCCCTCCTTCTCCACTCATAACATCTCTATCGGTTTATTTTATTCACCCTGCCTCAGTCACCATAATACACGGAGGGATTAAAGTATGGCGGTTGTATATATATCAACGAAATAGTGCGACGAACCATGGACGATTCACAGGGCGAGCAAGATAACGGACCCTCACGAGAAGCCGCAATCTCCAATCATGCCACCGGCGGCCCTTTGCGAATGACATTGGGGGAAGCTGTGGGCGCAGAAGCCAACGACTGTCCACTTGCATTACCGCAATCGCCCACGAACAACTCGACATTCGCTGGGGAGGCTGAGAAGCAAATCATCAGGAACCAGCTTGATTCACCTATTGTTGAGCCGAGCTATTTGGCACTCTATCGTTATGCGGACTTTTGGGACTGCCTTCTTATCGGCATTAGCGCTATCAGTGCTATTGCTGCGGGTGCTGTTCTTCCTCTCTTATCCGTATGTGATTTCTATAGAGTCATTCGAGTCGGCTAACATCTTCTGGTTTTGCTAAACGCGATGTGTTCTGAGCAGATTCTGTTCGGTCAGTTGACTTCTGCATTCCAACGGGTATCTCTCGATACTATCGCATACCATGACTTCGAGGCACAGTTGAACAAGAACGTTTTGTACTTCGTCTACATTGGCATTGCCGAGTTAGCAACAGTCTACATATCAACTGTGGGTTTCATATACACTGGGGAGCGGATCACCCAGAAAATCCGACAAGAATATCTCAGGGCCATTCTGCGCCAGAACATTGCCTACTTCGACAATCTTGGAGCCGGAGAGATCACCACACGGATAACAGCTGACACCAATATTATCCAAGACGGCATCTCCCAGAAGATTGGCCTCACCTTGACGGCTGTGGCAACGTTTGTCACTGCATTCATCATTGCCTACGTTAAGTATTGGAAACTCGCACTAATCTGCACGTCGACAATTGTGTGTCTGCTGTCGGTCATGAGTGGCGGCTCCAGTCTCATCATTCGTTTCGGCAAGCGGTCTTTTCAGAGCGTTGCCAGTGGCAGCACTGTTGCCGAAGAGGTGATTAGATCAATTCGAACGGTCACCGCATTTGGGAACCACGAGCGGCTCGCAGAACAATACGACACATATCTGAGAACGGCTGAGAGACAGGGCGTCAGGATGCAACTTATACAAGCAGCCATGATCGGGTCTCTTTACGCCGTCATGTTCTGGAATTACGGTCTCGGTTTTTGGCAAGGCTCGCGCTTCCTGATCAATGGCGAAGCGGACGTTGGCCAAATCTTGACCATCTTGATGGCCATTCTCACTGGCTCCTACTCTCTCGGAAACGTCGCTCCAAATAGCCAGGCTTTCAATAACGCGGTGGCAGCAGCAGCTAAGATATACAGCACCATTGATCGCCAATCACCTCTTGACCCGACTTCCGACGTTGGCAAGAGGCTTACGCAGGTAATAGGCAGCATAGAATTGCGAAATGTGAGGCATATATATCCTTCTCGGCCTGAAGTTACAGTGGTGAAGAGCATAAGTCTTCTCGTCCCAGCAGGTCGCACAACCGCGCTCGTGGGTCCTTCTGGGTCCGGCAAAAGCACCATTATCGGGTTACTCGAGCGCTTTTACAGCCCTGTAAGCGGCGAGATCCTGCTGGACGGACACAACATACAATCCCTGAACCTCCGATGGCTTCGAAACCAAATTTCGCTAGTTGGTCAGGAGCCTATACTCTTTTCTGCGACAATCTTCGAGAATATCAAGTTTGGGCTTACCGGCACTCCGCTTGAGAATGAACCTCCAGAACTGACACGAAAGCGCATTGAAGAGGCGGCCGAGATGGCCAACGCACATGCCTTTATTACGTCTCTGCCTGACGGATACGAGACCCATGTGGGGGAACAGGGGTTCTTACTCTCAGGCGGCCAAAAACAGCGTGTTGCCATCGCCCGTGCAATCGTGAGCGACCCGAAGATTCTCCTCCTCGACGAGGCCACTTCAGCCTTGGACACCAAATCAGAAGAAGTCGTGCAAGCAGCACTCGATAAAGCTGCCAAGGGGCGTACGACTATCATCATCGCACATCGGCTTTCGACAATAAAAGCAGCTGACAACATTGTCGTTATGGTTCACGGCGAGATTGCGGAGCAAGGAACTCATGAAGAGCTACTGTCTCTAGAAGGCGAATACTTCAAACTCGTTGAGGCACAGAGACTGGGCGACATCAACGAAGCGCAATATACAGCAAGCCTGTCCGCACAGGGTCAAGGAGCCGTAATCTTGAACGAGTGCACAGAGAAGGCGGCCCGCGTTGCATCCTTTCAAAGTGGAAGTTTCGCCGCGGCCTACAATGAAAAGCCATTAGCGGCCAGAACCAAAGAGCAAGAGACGGCGTCTCGAGCAACCATCTCGTCAGCCAGAGAGACAGCCAAGGCCGAAAAGCACTACTCGCCTTGGACTTTGGTCAAGTTCACCGCGTCTTTCAATCGACCTGAGCTCCTACTCATGATTGTTGGCCTCATTTTCGCGATTCTGGCAGGTTGCGGCCAGCCGTCTCAGGCTGTCATTTACTCCAAAGCCATCAACACATTAGCTTTACCACCAGAATTGTACAAGAAGCTCCGACGCGATGCTAATTTTTGGTCCCTGATGCTTTTCATACTCGGTATCGCTCAATTTTTCCTCTTCTCGATACAAGGCATTTGCTTGGGGATCAGCTCAGAGAAGCTGCTCCGCCGCGCCAGAAGTAAGGCGTTCAAAGTCTTACTGCGGCAAGACATTGCCTTTTTCGATGAGCATTCGACTGGTGCCCTGACGTCCTTTCTCTCCACCGAGACGAAGCATCTGTCTGGCATTAGTGGAGTAACACTAGGCACAATCTTCATGGTGTCGACAACTCTTACGGCGTCCATGGTCGTTGCCCTGGTTATTGGGTGGAAACTGGCCTTGGTTTGTATCTCAATCGTGCCCGTGCTCTTGTTCTGCGGATTTTGGAGAGTCTCGATGCTTGCTCGATTCCAAGCACAGTCCAAGAAGGCCTATGAGGCGTCCGCTAGCTATGCCTGCGAGGCAACCGCAGCTATTCGCACCGTAGCTTCGCTCTGTCGCGAAGACGATGTCCTCGCTACATATCAAGGCCAGCTCGCAAGTCAGGCACGAGCTAGTTTTCTATCGGTGTTTAAATCTTCCTTTTTTTATGCGCTATCGCAAGCACTCACGTTCTTCTGCATGGCTTTAGGATTTTGGTACGGTGGTACGCTCCTTGGTAAGCACGAGTATACAATTTTCCAGTTCTTCGTTTGTTTCAGCGAGGTTATATACGGTGCCCAAGCCGCCGGCTCAATTTTTTCCAACGCGCCTGATATTGGAAAGGCCAAGAATGCAGCTGCCGAGCTGAAAAAACTCTTCGACCGCAAGCCTCTCATTGATGTGTGGTCCAAAGAGGGCGAGGTCATTGCCAACATCCAGGGCTCTATCGAGTTTTGTAATGTGCATTTCCGATATCCTACGCGTCCCACACAGCCTGTGCTGGCGGGTCTGAGCTTTACAGCCAAACCAGGGCAATTCGTCGCATTAGTTGGTGCCAGCGGGTGTGGCAAAAGCACAACCATTGCGCTCTTAGAGCGCTTCTACGATATTTCTTCGGGCCATATATATGTTGACGGAAAAGATATTTCACAGCTGAACGTTAACTCGTATCGAAGCCAGCTTGCTCTCGTCAGTCAGGAGCCATTACTATGTCGGGGCACGATCCGAAGCAATATTCTCCTGGGCAGCAACGATCTGCAGGTAACTGAAGATGCGGTCATCAAGGCGTGTAAGGAGGCCAATATCTACGACTTCATTCTTTCGCTTCCGTATGTGTTCATCCCATTCCCCTTCGAACCTCTCTTCTTCCCCGACGATAGTCCGGCTCCGTCGTGCGTTATATTGACCGGCAGTACAGAGAAGGTCTAGACACATTGGTCGGCAGTAAGGGTAGCATGCTATCCGGCGGCCAAAAACAACGTGTTGCAATTGCCCGAGCCCTTCTTCGAGATCCAAAAATTCTCCTTCTTGACGAAGCAACTTCGGCTCTTGACTCAGAGTCGGAGATGGTTGTACAAGCAGCTCTAGATGCCGCTGCCCGAGGCCGCACAACCATCGCGGTGGCTCATCGCCTCAGTACTATAAGAAAAGCCGACACCATTTACGTATTCGACGAGGGCCATGTAGTTGAGAGCGGAACTCATCATGACCTTATGCAACACAAGGGCCGCTATTACGAGTTAGTGAACCTACAAAGCCTGGGAGAAGGTCCCTAAAACTAGCTTGAACTTTTCCTTTTGGTAACTCAGCTTTGATGATGCTGTTGTGTATATTACATTAGCTTTTTCCAATGTGCATGATATGTTTCTCTCAGAATATTGTTCGGTCCCCGTCTCACTGTAAAAGCGATACCCCAACGTTCGTTATTACAGTCATTGCATAGGCGATTGAAAGTCTGTAAATTTATGTATAGTGCTCTTTGACTCAATAGTCTCCTTCCAGGGTTTCTAGAGTTTTCGGCTTCACGGCACGGGCGTGCACTCTGCTGCATACCTTTGGGGGTAATGCAGTCCCCCGTCGTTGTTACGCCCTCAGCCAACATTTGCCATATCCCAGTTTGCCTGTAGGCTTTTTTCAACGGCTTCATGAACGATTTTTGGAAAGCCATTTGCCGCGAGATGGCTGATGGCTTTCTCTGTACTTCCTCCTGGTACACATACGTCTTTCCTCAGATCGTGTATAGATCTGTCAATACCTTGCGATAACAGACCAGAGCCGACGCAAGACTGAACGATCAAACTCCTTGCCATGTCTTTGGACAAGCCATGAGATACCGCAACAGAGATCATGGACTCGATGAGATAGTAAAAGTGTGCTGGAGCGGAACTTGGACGAGTTAGCAGATGTACACAAAGGGTTATTGAAAGCAGCTTGTAACACGGCTGATATAGCTTTTGCTCCTGATCTGGCCAAAGGGCTATGGGGGAACAGGAAGTGAGCTATTAATGGTTACATACCCTGATATTGCTGCTACAACATCAAGCAAGGATTCCTTTGGAAGGATGCTGATTGCTGGCGAAACTGCGCGGAAAACTGTGGCCACAAGCTCTATCCGGGGGAGCGCGCTTTCGCTTGGGAACAAAGCGGTTGCCCCTTGGCGACACATGACGGGTGTATTAGGCATAGATCTCACAACTGGGGTTTCCTTTGGAAGCCAGCTCTGGACCTGGGCCACTGAAATCCCGGGGCACATTGTAACAACGGTAGGTCTCGATGTCACATCCAGAGTTTCGACGATGCCAGCCAACTCCAGACAAACCTGTGGCACATCTATCGGCAGAGTACAAATGAAGACAACGTGTGTGTCGGGGCGTTTTGAAGCGGCTGTACTCCATATGGCGGCATCTAGATTGTTGTTTGAAACAGTTGCCAGAGGGAATCTTGCTCTCAACTCCCTGACTTGCTCCTGCCGACGCGCTGTGACGGAGATTTTGCAATCATCTTTCCAGCTACTACTTGTTGAATAAATCCCACGTATAAGAGCCTGGGCAAGACAACCGCCGCCTATGAACGTGAGCCGGCTAGGCGCTGACGTACTTGGTTCCATATCTGGTAGCTGTTATGGCTCGATAATCAAAGCAAATGTGCTCTTGTAACTGGGTGCAGAGCAGCTGTGAGGGATGAATAGGTCAAAGCTAGGAGATAATCTTCATTGCAATATTGGACAAGCGATCACTGAAAACAGTAAGTATATGAACACTGTTCCTCTTTTGAACTTATTATAGCCGGGTGGGATATCAACTAACGATTCTTAATAAAGTCACAACCTCAGATACAACCCAGACCTTGCACTAGGCTGTATGTCAAGAAAGGAGTCAAAAGGGAAATAAGAAGGACGCCCCTCTGATTCTGAACCTCGGATTCGGGTCATTCTTCTTACATAACGCCAATGCAGGAGAAGTTCGTTTCTGGTCTAGGATACGACCGTTAATCAGGTACGATGTATGATTACGAATTGCTGCTACTACATGGGGTGCTTCCCCGGAGAATCGAAAATAGATCTAAATCCGCACTTGCTCCCTTTGCCTCCAATTCATCAAACTCGGCATTTACAAAGGTTCCATCACTGCTCGCCCGGAAACATCACGCCAATGCACCTCCCTAATGCAGTGTAAGCTGGTTCCCTGTCTCCTTATCTTAGTATTACGAATCCGTAGTGGAGCGCGAGGGATCTCACTAGTATCGGTCTAGTTTATAGAGGCGGATCTCCCACAAACGGACGAACCACGACAGAAATGTGTAAGAAGAGTAAGCGCGGCTAATGTCGATATCATTGCCTACAAAAGGAAACAAGAAAAGGAAGGATCTTCTTCACTGTTCGAGGCAGTGATGCAACGTTAAGACAACGTTTAACAATGCCCTCGCCAGATGAGGACGCAGAGGCTTCGCCACTCATTCAGGAACCCCAAGAACACATACACACCCAGGATGACCAGCAGCGCACATACGGGCTCGGCTGGGGCAAGGACGCTCTCCGAAATGTCGGTTTGGCTGCAGCTTTTCTCGTCTTATATGCATTTGCGGACATTCTGAAGTACATCTCCACAGTTCGGCTGATTGAACTGGGAATTTGTCGTGAGCACTATCTCCAGAATGGTCCCGGGTCTGACGATAATGATTATCACAAAAACATCCCGGAAATCCTCTGCAAACTACCGAGCATTCAACAGCAACTCGCCCACTTGCGGGGCTACTTGGGAACCCTGGAAGCAATTGTCGGCCTGGTCTTTACGCTCCCATATGGCCTGCTTATTGACCACTTGGGCGAACGCTTAGTCGCCGGGATCAATGTGGTAGGATATCTGCTCTCATGTGCGTGGATCATCATTGTGTGTTACTGCTGGCAATTGCTCCCCATCCGAAGCGTCGTGTTGGCACCGCTGTTCAGGGTAATCGGTGGTGGATCTCCAATTCTTTCGTCAATTATCTACTCAATCGCAGCGAAGAGCACTCCACATGCAAGCCGGTAAGTTAGCTCCTCGCACCGATGGGTCAGCATCTTGATATGGGGACATCGGGGCTCATGCCAGCAACAGATCCTTGTGCTTCTTCTTCTTCATGGCGGTACAGCTCATCACTGAAATCATATCAATCACGATTGCTGCGGAGCTACTTGACCGTGAGCTCTTGTTTACGCCGATGCTGCTGAATTTTCCCGTCGGCCTTCTATGCTTGGCCACGCTTTGCATAATCCGTCCCGGCGCCGCTCATCCGTCTACACGACAAACGCAAGGTTCCGCATACGAGCCAGACAGACTGGCAGAGGGAGAACCAGCAGCAAAAATCCTCGAGGCGACGACTGACAGCCTTCTTCGAAAGAGCAGTCACATCCTCTCTGAACTCCTACACGACTGGAATGTGATTGCGCTGCTGGTGACAGTCCCGGTAGCCAAGCTCGTAAACCCTATCACCGAGCTAATGCTTCAGTATATTCCCAAGAAGTTCGATTTGCCACTTGCATCAGTGAGTACTATATACTCCCTGCGCATCTAGTACAAAATACATCGCGGCTGGTTGAGCTGTCTTCTGACTGTTGAGGCCAGGCTAGTCGCGCCTTGTCCATTCAAGCAGCGGAAAGCTTGATCGTGCTTGCCGCCATTCTGCCAATCCTCAAGAATGTCAGCCAAGGCAAGTTTCATGCCGTACCCGCAAAGGTGGACCTCTTCATTGCTCGATATGGCTTCATCGCTATGAGTCTCGGCTGCCTCATAATGGCGTTATCCCAAGCCTTGGGGGGCTTTGTCTTGGGTACGTATATTTTACGAAGCGATATGTCGTTCTCCCAGCGTAATTTGTCAGTAATTTACACCCACTGACATGATTGCCACAGGGTTATTAGTGTTCACGCTGGGCTGCGGCGCACGGCCAGCCTTGCAGTCCCTTCTAACTGATTTGGCCAGGCGTGAGCACATATCTATTCTCTACGCTGTTATTGCCGTTTGTGATGGCATAGGATCAGCCTCCGGTGCGTTCATACTCAACCAATCCTTTGCAATGGCGCTTGGATGGGATAGCCAGCTGTATCTCGGATTCCCATTCATTATTGGCATAGCGTGCTATGTCTTCGGCTTCATTGCATCCATGTCCGTGGGGCTTACAGGAACTACTGGAATGATTCCACAGACTTAGACATGGGTATCAGGGAAGTAGAACTTGTAAAGAAGACAGCAGTACTACTACACACAGCAGTACTACTACACAGCAGGATGGAGAATTGACTATTTGACAAATACCTACTTGTACTTCAACTTTGCTTACCTACCGTCAATAGTATTTACCCTATACACAGACAAATCTGTATTTTGTATACAAGGTTACTCTGAGATACGTGTGTTTACATACACTTGGTATCTTCACGACCGCTAATTGTGTTTTCCAAAAATGATCTGCTGTTCGTGCCTAGTTTAGTACTGGATGGTATGGCAAGACGGCTTCTGGTGAACGCTTCAATCTCCTATTCCATACCTAAGTAAGTTGCACAAAAAGCTAATACGTTCCTGATATTCTCATTTGTTGAAACTCGCCGGCGGTCATATATGACACACCTTCTGCCCTTGCCCCTGCGTCTTGCAGTAAAGGACGCAAACTCGCTGATCGATTGGGCTTGGCGAAGTAGGCGATGGAGTAGCGTTCGTCAACCACATCATCCTCTGAATCCGCCGTCTTACCTGCGTTACCCGAAGCAGGTAAATGCACGCGATGTCTCGCGCTACGCAAACCGGTCCACAAGTGCAGGCAGTCTCCGACATTGAGAATGCACTCATATCGTCCTCCACTCGCGATATCAACAAACTTCCCACTTCCGGACGGCAACTCCACTTCTAGAACATAACTGTTAGCAGCTGCCAGATGGGGACTAGGAGCTGGTGAGATGACGGCGCTTGGGAGATGGAGGATTTGCGCCGCCTGTGAAGCAAGAGGGTGGAACATGATCCTTACGCAATCCACCGACGTCGTCCTGGAATAATAAAGTAATGGTACCGAAATCAGTGTGAGCGGCAATGCGAGTTGAGTGGGAAAAATCACCACGTGGCACGGTAGGATAATGGGTCAAGCGTAGCTCGTTGGCTTGTTCCGTGTGAAGCTGGCTCAAAGTTTGCTCGGGGAGCGCCAGCCCAATGGAGATGGCTTTCAGGATGGACAGTTGAGCGCGATAGCAGGTTGAGAAGAAGGATGTGAAAGCCGGTTGAAACGCGTCGTGCACACCGGGGGGCGGCCATATATTGTCATAGAGCGCATCTTCTTGGGACCCAATGTCGTAAGACTCCTAATCGACCGGGTTGCTCATCAGCTCGAAGCATGCGAAAGCCGCGTACACTGAAGCCGTACACTGAAGCCCCCGACTTGCAATGGGCAAGCAAACCTTCATGTCTTTGAGCAGAGGCCTTGCTATGCATGTGCCGTGATTTGAGATGGCTGAGACGTTCTCAATGCCGAATGCACTGTAACCTCTGTGGGGGTTGGCTGTGGGAGGGTGGGGAGATTTCAACTTCTCGCTCAAGGGTAGTTGGAAAAAAACTCGGCTCTGGTGAATGGTTAGCAGCGTGCGCGCATTGCACTGGTGGACACAAAAAGCATTGCTCAACTATTTCGAAGGCTCTGTCAATGTCTCCCAGCGGAATGCCAACGTTGACCAATCGAGCGAAACCAAATTGCTTCAGGTTCGACACCAGTTGACTGCAAAGCCCCTCCCTCTCAGCGGCATTATCGCTGTGAAAGACGGAGAAATCGAGCTGCTGGAACATGATTTGGTGTGTGATAGATAACTGAATGTTCGTCAGGCACTCGCAGCGTGCCGTCCCAGTATCCCTGATAGTAATACTGCTATGCTCGTTGTCATCATCCCATCATATCAAGTCGGTATTTAACATGCGGGAGCTCTCATGGCCCCGGGGGTGGGAAGAAGGGGGGGTGTTTGTCAGAGTGATCAAAGTCGCGCCATGGCGCCGGGACGGCTCGGAACTATGTGGTGGGAGGGTTTATAGCCTGGGCTGTTGAACGATCTTTTGGTAACTCCACACACAATTACGGGGAAACAATCTGCTAGATCTCCATACAACTTCAGGGAGCACCTAGTATACGAGGTGGAATTGGTCACAGAAATTGCAGATTTGCCCAGAGTTGCTTGCCCATGTCCGCCAGCTACTGCATGGTCTTTTTACGATTCACGGAGAATCTTCTACATACGGGAATGGCCCATCGAGAGAGCTAAGATACTTGCATCGAGGGAATCAATTACTCTGTAACCGCCTGCAATAGTTGTACTGTGTAGTTCTCCACTGTCAGGCTCACCGCAAGGTGGGAATAGGTACTGACAGATGTGTGTGAGATGCGGAAGGAAGGTATGCTATATTATACTTGTACCTTACCTATGTTGAATGGCTCAAAGGCAGAAGGAGGTGCTCCATAGTAAGCGCAAGCGCAAGAATCCTACCATTCTAGAGCCGATAAAACGAGGAACGACTAAAAGCAGGCGATCCTGTATCCAGAAACTACCTGATGTATAGTAGTCTGAAGGAAATTAGAGACCCAAGCCCACTCTTCTAGAGAGCATTTTGTTCAGAAGAACAACATTCAGCATCGTGATCTTATCCTCTACATTATTCCCTTTCCATGTCGTGTTACCAGGCCAGTGGACATTGCGAAAAGCACGAGCTGATACTGCGCAGTTGGTTCGCGAAAATTACAATCAGGAAGCAAACAGTTGCAACCCTCCACTCGACAGCTCTGCAGATTCCGGGGACGGAGCGATTAAATCCAACGCTGGCTTGATTGCCTGCCGGTGGTGGAGTGTTTGTTTGTTTCCTGGTGTAAAAGTCTCGCCTCTTCGAACGTGTCACCCGCACCGAGAAGGCAACTCAAGGTGACGACTGTTGATAATGTCTGCACCGTCGACCATGTCTGAAATGCCACACCTTGATGGCTCCGCCAACATCATCGCGGATGAACGACCCGTGCCCGTCGACTCCGGCGGCGCTTCTGCCTCACAACAAGATCTTGACCAGATTTGGAGTTGGAATGCTTCGATACCACCTCCTATACAAGGCTGCGTCCACCATCTCATTGCAGACGTAGCTCAGAGTCAGCCTGACGCTCCGGCGGTTTGCGGATGGGATGGAGACTTTACCTATTCACAGCTGCACATTTTGGCCAACGAAGTCGCCCAGCGCATTCTCCAGTCCGGCATTGAGCCAAAGTCAAGAATACCGATATTGTTTCCTAAATCAAAATGGACTTGCGTCGCCATGCTGGGCGTCATCAACGCAGGCTGCAGCGCAATTGCGCTTGATGGCACCCAGCCTGATACAAGGCTACGATCAATTGTCCACCAGTCTCAACCCAGAATCATCATTGCATCAGCAACATTTGCTTCTAGAGCGTCTCTACTGGCAAATGTGCAAGTGCTCCAACTCGATGACGACTTATTGGATGTCTTAGTGCTCCCAAGAGAGGAGGAGTCGCCCGCGCTGCCTGCTGTCTCACCATCTGATACTGTCTATATTTCCTTTACTTCGTAAGTGAAGCCGCACCGTCTTTGCCGCTGTCTTCTTTAGCGCAATACCGCTTTTCATCTCCCCGATTCCAAATTGACCTTATTCACATACAGAGGAACTACGGGTCAGCCGAAAGGCGCATGCATTAGCCATTCAAATGTCAGAAGCACCGTTCACTACCAAGGCAAGGAGCTTGGGTTTCATCGAGGATCTCGCGTATATGACTTTGCACCCTATTCATTCGACGTGGCATGGAGCAATTTTCTCCACACGTTATGTGCGGGAGGCTGCCTTTGCGTTGCTGCGGAGCAAGATATGGTGAACGACCTTTCATCTTCAATCGCGAATTTCAGCGCGACCTTGATCAACATCACGCCAACTATTTTGCGAACAATAAGTACAATACCTCCAACACTGGAGACTGTACTTTTGAGTGGCGAAATGCCGTATCGTCAAAATGTGACTGATTGGGCTGGGCGAGTGAGGCTGCTTAACACATATGGGCCTACCGAATGTACATTCAAATGCGCCTTCTCCGTCTTGAGCAAGGACCTGAAAAGTCGCCCTGACATTGGGGTAGGAGTCGGGTTTTCTACGTGGGTCGTCCACCCCGATGACAGCAATTGCCTTGTCTCTGTAGGGTCTGTTGGCGAACTGTATCTCGAAGGCCCGATGGTCGGCCAGGGATATTTGTCGGACCAAGCAAAGACGGCGGCAGCATTTATCAGTGACCCTACGTGGCTAGCTGCTGGAAGCAACAAGCATCCCGGCCGGCGTGGCAGACTTTACAAGACTGGTGACCTTGTGAAATACAGATCTGACGGCAAACTACTGTTCGTGGGCCGGAAGGATGCGTCGCAGCTGAAAATCAGGGGCCAAAGGGTCGAAATTGGCGACGTTGAGCATCATGTGCGGGCTTGCCTAGACGACTCTCCTCCCATCATCGTTGATGTGATACAACCTCGGCGAAGCGAGACATCCACCTTGGTCTTGTTTGTCTTAACCAAAGACACCGATGCTGGACAGGTCAAGCAGAGGCTAGACGTCCTCGCAGACGGGTTAAGGGACGTGCTGCCAGCCTTCATGATCCCTAGCGTCTACCTGCCGATTGATGATATACCCGTTGCCTCGACTGGGAAGGTGGACCGTCGCGCGTTGCGCCAAATGGGGAGCTCTCTGTCGTGGAACGAGATCGTTGCGTGGCAATCAAGGCTTTTGTCGACTGGGGACTATTCTAAACCTTCCACTGACAGGGAGAAACAGCTTAGCAGGATATGGGCAGATGTCTTAAACTTAGACGCAGGACTTATCAGCACAACTGATCGTTTCCTTCGCCTTGGAGGGGACTCGGTAGCTGCAATGCGTGTAGTTGCAAAAGCTCGAGAAAGTGGCTTCTCGTTGACTGTTGCAGACATTTTCACCGGCTCAACCCTCGGTGATCTCGCTCAGATGACCCTGAACCGGCCCATAACTGTTGGCATTGACATCATCAAGCCGTTCTCCATGCTGACTGGGGCAAGGAGCGCTACAGATATCTGCGAGGAGATTGCAGACCTATGTGGCATTGACACGACTCAGATTGAGGACGTGTTCCCATGCACGCCTCTGCAGGAAGGTCTACTGGCAATGACGAACAAAGTCGACAGCACAATGAGCATGGATTACGTTTCCCGAACTGCTTTTGATTTACCAAAAACCATCAACATTGGGCAGCTACAGAAGGCATGGGGTAGTACCGTCACATGTACACCGATTCTACGAACAAGGATCGTGGACGTATCTGGAGAGGGACTTGTACAAGTCATCGTTACGGACAAGAATACGCAGCTTCGGCAGTTTCGGGATATCGATAACTTCATGGGCGTCGCAGAGACCATGGGCTTAGGGGCTCCCCTTTGCCGAGCAGGCTTGATAAAGGGCGAGCCGTTTCGTCTCGTCCTTGAAATGCATCACGCAATTTTTGACGGATGGTGTATAGCGCTTATACTGAATTCCCTAGAGGCTTACTATCAGCAGGGAGGGAAAAGGGTACAGCCCCTTGAACCCTTTCAACCATTCATCAAGCACGTGCTGTCTTCAAACTGCCAAGAAGCGTCAGACTTCTGGAGATCACAGTTCTCCAATTTGGATGCCACCATTTTCCCAGCTCCAGGATATGTGCCAGAGGAGAAGCTTGATATAAGTCATCGCGTCACCAGACTGCAGTGGCCACGCACCGGCATTACACCGTCATCGATCATACATTCGGCACTTGTACTACTTCTCGCGTCGTATACCAACTCCAACGATGTCAAGTATGGAGTTACTGTAAGCGGCAGACAAGCGCCCGTTCCTGGCATAGAACGCATTGCCGGTCCTACAATTGCCACGATTCCTGTGCGAACCAAGTTTCAGTGGGACTATACTGCAGAGAATCTCCTGCAACAAATACAACAGCACGCCGTTGAGCTCTCGGTCTATGAACAGTTTGGTCTCCAGCGTATTCACCGTGCCCAGGGCGAAAATGAAGACGCAAGCCAATTCCAAGTCCTCCTCGTTATCCAACCCGCTACGCGAGAAACGGGCGAAGAAAAAGATGGCCTGTTTTCCCAACCAAAGAGCATAATTGTTAGGCCCAACATGGAGGTCTCGATGACTTCGTTCAGCCTGGTTGCTAAAGACGGACAAGATGAAAGCCTGGGCGGCTATAACTCGTATGCATTGCTGATTATTTGTCATCTAGATGGCTCGGGAGTAACGCTCAAGATGAACTATGATTCAGGCGCCATCAAAGAGACGCAAGCCCATCATTTTGCCCATCAGTTCGAGCACTTGCTCAGACAACTCTGCACCGAACAACCGGCCAAGATTACGTTGCGCGATATTTCCGCCAGCAGCGAGCGCGATGTCCAGCAGCTATGGGAATGGAACACGACTTCGTCGGAGCCATCCGATGAACTGGTAACAGACATGATAGACCAGCAGATTCTATGCCGCCCAAACGCCACCGCCATTTCGGCGGGAGATAGACAATTCACCTATCGACAGTTAGAGAGTACTTCAAACCGTCTGGCGTCCCGTCTCCAGGCAGAAGGTGTCAGTCCCGGTTCTATTGTCGTACTAAGCTTCGAGAAATCGCCATGGATGGTTGTATGCATGATATCCGCCCTCAAAATGGGAGCAATCGTGCTGCCAATGTCTGCACCCCTGTCAAGCAATCGGGCACAGGCTGTCGTCGACAAGCTACAGCCTGCCATCGCAATCGTGGCAGACTCGTCTGATGCATCTCGGTTCCAGGGGCTCATACCAGCCCTGCTTCTCACTGAGCTGACTGAAACTGGCGATGAGGAGTGGCATCGAGTATTATTGCCGCGGGAGAGCCGCCCTTCGGACCCCGCCCTCATACTCTTCACCTCTGGCTCAACTGGCACGCCCAAGCCGATCTTATGGAGCCACAGGACTCTGTCCACAAACATCCAGGCAGCCATCAATTCTTTCAACATTACTGCCAGTAGCAGGGTGTTCCAGTTCGCTGGCTACGAGTTCGATGTCAGTACGGTGGAATCGCTTGCAACATTAGCGGTAGGAGGATGTTTGTGCGTTCCGTCCGAGTCAGACAGGACGAACCGACTCGCCGGAGCGATTAATGATGCAAGGTCAAACTGGCTATGTCTGACGCCTTCTGTGTCTGAAAGTCTCGGTCCCGACGAAGTGCCCTTGTTGAAAACCTTGGTTTTTGCAGGTGAAAAGCTGCAGCGCAAGGCTGCGTTCAGGTGGGCGCAAAAGCTCGACTCTGTATATAATTGGTACGGGCCAGCGGAGGCCTCCGTTGCAACGTCATACTTGGTCGATGAGAAGACATGGAAAAACGGTATCGTCGGCACGAGCAAGTTCGGCATCACTTGGCTTGTCGATCCAAAAAACCCTAATATTTTGGCTGCAATCGGTACAATCGCAGAACTATGTATCGAAGGACCAATTCTCGCAAGCTACGCGGGTAAAGATGGACTCAGGTTAAACGAAGAGGCTTTCCTTTCTCCAGTTTGGCTTTGTCGCGACACCCATGAATCAACTCCAGTACGTGGGCGTCTTTATCGAACCGGTGATCTGGTGAAGTATGACGCAGATGGAAGCATTCTCTTTCTCAACCGCAAACAAGACTCACAGAGAAAGATCAGAGGGCAGAGAATAGATCTGAATGAGGTCGAAATGTGCGCCCAAACTTTTCTATCAGTCCGTCGAGACGTGGCAGTGGTGGCTGAAATCATTTCTCCGTCCGACAGCGGCAATGACACCTTGGCTTTGTTTATCAGTCCTACCGGCTCCCTGGATCAGATGGGAGATGTTGCAAACTTCATCAAGCAGGTTGTGCCGGCCGACCAACTAGAGGCGGAAATGGCGAACCACCTCCCGTCCTTCATGATACCTAGGGTCTACATCCCCATCGACCAGATTCCCATGAACCACTCCGGAAAGGCAGATAGGCAGCGGTTGCGCCTTTTTGGGAGTTCTTTAACCCACGAAGAAATAGCATCTATGCAGCCTTTTCGCCGGGAAACACGAAAGCCATCCGGGGCGATGGAAACGAAGCTGCAGCAGTTTTGGTGCCAGATCATAGGCATCGACCGCGATGCCATAGTTGCCAATGACAACTTTTTCCGCCTAGGGGGAGATTCCATTGGGGCCATGCGGCTGGTAGCAACCGCTCGCAAACAAGGCTTGCTGCTGACTGTGGCAGACGTCTTTGAGGCGCCGCAGCTCGAGAAAATGGCACTCAGGATAACGAGCGACAGTACCTCTCCCGAAGAAGAGTTACGCCCATTCTCACTCCTGGGAAATGGCATAGGTGAGGCTGAGAGTCTGTCGTATGCTGCTACGCTGTGCTCAGTCCCGGAAGCCAAAGTTGTTGACATTTACCCATGCACATCGCTCCAGCAAGGCTTACTGGCCCTGGGGGCCAAGAAGCCTGGTCAATACATTTCACGGAGTGTGCTAGGGCTACAAGCTGACGTTGACGCCGATCGACTTCAACGGGCATGGCTGGCTACGGTTCGAAAATTGCCGATACTGAGAACGCGAATCGTCGATTTCCCCGACCAGGGGCTGGTGCAGGTAGTCCTCGAGGATTCCTCTATGCGGTCCGGCCCGGACGTTGATTCTTATGTTCGCAACGATGAACTGGAGCCTATGGGCCTGGGGACAGAATTATGCCGGGCGGCCATTATAGACCGCAACTTTATCTTGACGATACATCACTGCACTTATGACGGCTATTCATTGAAGGTGATCCTTGATGAGATAGAGTCGCAGTATCTTGGCGAGCCTGGATTAACGGTTACACCTTTCCAAAACTTCATCCATCATATCAGTCAAATAAGTTCCCAACAGGCAGCAAGTTTCTGGGAAGGCCAACTTGCCAACTTGGAGCCTCGACAGTTCCCATCTCTGCCATCGTCAGACTACCAGCCGCAGGCGAACGATCATCTTGAGCGTTCCATATCGCTGGAGTGGCCACGCACAGGGACCACGCCGTCGACTATATTACGTTCCTCTTGGGCGCTTTTGGCAGCTCAATACACTTCATCTGCTGATGTGATGTTCGGCCTGACAGTCAGTGGGCGACAAGCAAGCCTAAGGGGCATAGAACACTGCGTTGGCCCGACAATATCGACAGTGCCTATCGCCATTTCGATTGATTGGGACGAGACAGTTGCGTCTTTCCATGAGCGCCTGCAACGCCAAATGATAGAAATCACACCGTATGAGCAGTTCGGCTTACAGAATATTCAACAACTCCGTAATCGCCTGGAGTCCTCATTCCTCCAGACTCTGCTTGTGGTTCAGCCTGTGGCCGAAGGAAAGAGTCTGCACGAAGATAGCCTACTGTTCAAAGCGCGAAGTTACTCATCGAGTCTGAGCACGCAGGGCACTGATCCCTTTAACACGTACGCTCTGATGATCATTTGCGAGCTAGTCGCAGATGGGGTGCACTTACGGATAAGCTTTGACAACAACATCCTGAGCAAGCGGCAAATGGATCGCATGACGAGTCAGTTCGAGACTGTGCTCCGACAGATGTGCTCAGAGGATATGATAGCGGCCAAGCTGGACGCTATTCAGACAGCAAGCAGTGAAGACCTGGACTTCTTCTGGAGCCAAAATCTGGAGCTCCCTGCCAAGACAAGCACGTGTGTTCATGAAATGATATCGCAAGCAGCAGGAGAGTACCCGGATAAGATAGTCATTGATGCCTGGGACGGACGGTTTTCGCACCGGGAACTCGACGACCTATCAACCGCTCTTTGTCGAAAGCTGATGCAGTGCGGAGTTGCGAAAGGCTCCGTCATCGCTCTGTTCTTTGAAAAGTCGAAATGGGTCGCTGTAGCTCAACTTGCTGTTCTTAAAGCAGGTGCCGTGAGTATGTTGCAGTCCGTCAACGTTCCGGACCGTCGACTTGCCACCGTGTTCGAAGTTGCCAAAGTCCAGTTGGCAGTGGTCTCTCCGTCTCTTGTGGACATTATATCTCGGCATGTTCGCTGCTTTACTACCGAAAAGCTCCTGGCAACGCCCGATTCAAGCATACCAATGCGGCTACCAGCAGTCCAAACGAGCGATCCAGCTGCCATCTTGGTCTCGTCTGGCAGCACAGGAGAGCCAAAACAGATACTCTGGAGTCATGAAGCACTTGCTGGAAATGTAAGAGCGCATAGTAAACATCTGTCTATTGACGCATCCTCGCGGATCTTCCAGTTTGCATCATACGACTTTGACGTCGGCACCATCGAAGTCATGTCTGCTCTTGCCAGCTCAGGGTGTGTATGCATTCCGTCGGAATCTCAGAGGCTGGATAGTTTACCAGCCACTATCAGCAGCTTCAAAGTCAACCACATCAACGTCACTCCATCGGCGGCCCGACTTCTTCGTCCTGAAGATGTCCCCTGCCTGTCATCCCTCGTATTCGCTGGCGAGAACCTTACTCGGCAGGACACCGAGAAGTGGAAGGGCAAAAGCCAACGAATCATCAATTGGTACGGACCTGTCGAGTGTTCTGCAGCCGCTTTCTGCGCCGTTGACGACGAAACTTGGAAAAGCGGTGTTATTGCGCGAATTAACTCGAACAATCCCAGTTTCTGCTGGCTCGTTGACCCAAGAAATTGCAACAGGTTAGTGCCTTTCGGCGCGGTCGGCGAGATTGCGCTGGAAGGGCCCGTTTGCGCTGATGGTTATCTTGGGAATCGGACAAGAACCGAGCTTTCATTCTGCAGAGATCCGGGCTTCATGAAATTGGGGCGGAGAACAGAGTATCCAGGAAGATCTGGGCGCATCTATCGTACGGGCGACCTAGCCAAGTATGACGACAATGGCGATCTCATCTTCATGGGTAGGAAAGACTACCAGCTCAAGATTCGTGGTCAACTTGTGGCTCCGCAAGAGGTGGAACAGTCCATACGGCGGTGCATCTCTGATAAGGACAATGTCCAGATAGTAGTCGACGCAGTCGTGCCGAAACACAGCGGCAACCTCACCCTGGTTGCATTCGTCGATGCTCCTACCCAAGATGAAATGGAGAGACTGGTGGCTGGATTAAATGACAAGCTCAAAGCTGTCTTGCCGGCATATGCTATCCCCTCTTACTACATACCAGTTACCGCCATGCCGACGACGCAGACTGGGAAGAGAGACCGCACTCGACTGCTGCAGATTGGCGCCGAGTTCAACCCTCCCCGTGCAGAGTCCGCCAGCACTTGGAAAGAGCCGACGACTGCGGCGGAGCTGAGACTCAGAGAGCTATGGTCACTTGTTCTTGGGATAGACGCCAGGAAGATCTCAGCAAATGATAGCTTTCTCAGATATGGCGATTCCATCCAGGCCATGCGCTTGGTCGGACTTGCCAGTCAGCAAAACTTGTTGTTAACAGTGGCCGGGATCTTTCAGCACCCAGTCTTGTCGCATATGGCAAAGCATCTTCCGACAGAAGACCAGGACTATCACAAGAATATCACCGCCCCTTATACACTCCTTGCTAAAACATCAGCTCTCGAGTTCCTGCGTGGGCAAGCAGCTTTGCTATGCCACATTGCGAAGGAAGATGTCGAAGATCTGTTTCCTTGCACGCCATTACAAGAAGGGCTACTAGCCCTCACCACGAAATGTAAGGGGGACTACACCGGTCGCAACGTTTGGAAACTGAAGCCATCGATCGACATCGCTCGTTTCAAGCGGGCATGGGAACGAGTGGTACTGACGCTGCCTGTTCTACGGACACGTATTGTCGATCTGCCAGGACAAGGCCTGTTACAGGTTATTGTCCGCGAAACCCAGTGCTGGACTGATGCATATAGCATTGAAGAATACCTCCGAGAGGAAGAACAACTTCCCATGGGGCTTGGACTTCCCCTCATGAGATGCGTGTTAATTCCAAGTCGTCAAGAAAGTATCTCGCTTTCTGTCGACAGCTACTTTGCCTTGACGATGCACCATTCCATCTATGATGGTCATGCTGCACCGTTAATATTGGAAGCATTAGAGCACTTCTACCAGGGTGAAGGGTCCTTTATCCACCGTCCCTTTCAAGTCTTTGTCGAGTATATCGGCGCTAGAGACAAGAATGCAGAGGCCAGCTTCTGGAGTGATCAGTTCAAGGACTTGGAGGCTTCGCAGTTTCCTGTCTTACCGTTCCCAACTTACCAGCCACGGACAACTTCTGTTCTATCTCATGCCATCCAGGAAGTATCCTGGAGAAGTGATGACATAACACCTTCCACAGTGGTGCGAACAGCATTCGCCCTCCTATGCTCACAATACTCCAATTCAACGGATGTCGTATTCGGAACAGTTGTGGATGGACGCAAGGCGCCTGTCAAAGGGATTGAGAGACTGGCAGGTCCCACAATTGCCACTGTGCCCATAAGAGCAAAGGTTGATGGTGGAAGCATTATCGAGTTGCTTGAAGCGGTGCAGCGCCAAGCAATTGAGATGATCCCTTACGAACAAACGGGCCTATCCGCAATACGCCTGATCAGCGAGGAAGCGCAGCAAGCGTGCCAATTCCAATCTTTTCTGGTCATACAGCCCCAGGAACAAACGTCGAGGGGCAGCGCGTTGTTTGTTTCCACTAGGGGCCACGATGATCTCGAGATGGGAAATCATCGCTACCATGGATTCGTCTCGTATGCGCTTTCTCTCATCGCCACCCTAGCTGAGGATGAACTGCAATTGGAGTTCTGCTTTGACTCTGCCGCCATCGAGGTCGAAACGGTACAGAGAATGGCAACGAGCTTTCAACAGTTGCTGAAGAAGCTGTGCTCCCATTCTATGGATGCGGCTCCAGCTGGCGAAGTCATGATAGCAACAGATCAAGACCTCAACGAGATATGGGAGTGGAATGCCGATCGGCCGGAAATCATTCCAGCATGCGTCCATCATCTCATCGAAGAGATTGCCCAGGCGCAGCCTGGTGCCACGGCAGTTTCGGCATGGGATGGTGAGTTGAGCTACGAGCTTCTCGACCGCCTCGCCAACGCCGTCGCCTACCGCTTAATTGAGATGGGCGTTGAGCGCAATATGATCGTTCCAGTCTGCTTCGAGAAGTCCAAGTTCGCCATAATAGCGTTTCTGGGTGTTATCCAAGCAGGAGGCGCTGTGCTTCTCCTAGATCCCACCTTACCGGGATCGCGCCTCGACGCTATGATGAAACAAGTGAATCCGAAGCTGGTGGTCACTTCTGCTCTTCAAAGCAAACTCGGTGCTTCCTTTGGTGTGGAAACTCTGATCGTTGGAGGCAGCTCGAGCTTCATTCAAGACGCTATGACTGAAAAGGCTGCCAAACAGCTGCCATATGTTAGCCCCGCTGACTTGCTATATGCTATCTTCACAAGTGGAAGCACCGGCATGCCCAAGGGCTGTCTCATGCAGCACATGAACTTCAGCAGTGCAGTACTTCATCAGCGAAGTGTTCTGAGACTTGGCAACAGCTCGCGTATGTACGACTTTTCATCCTACGCGTTTGACGCCTCGTACTGGAGCGCTTTCCACGTTCTTACCGCTGGTGGAACACTATGTATCCCGAGTGACGAAGAAAGGAAGAATGACCTGACAGGAAGCATCCGGAAGTTTTGTGCCACAGACATCTTTCTCACCCCTTCAACGGCACGTTTGATCGACTCTTCGCAAGCTCCAACGCTACGAAATGTTCATCTAGGAGGGGAAGAAGTCACAAAGGATGACGTTTTACGCTGGCTACCATATGCGAACGTGTTTGTATCCTACGGCCCAGCCGAATGCTCTGCAGGCACCTTATACTATAGCGTGCCGGATCCGATGCCGTCAAGACTGTCCATTGGCAAGCCAGTAGGAGTCGTTGCTTGGATTGTCGATCCGGAATGCAGTGAGCGCTTATCACCAATCGGGACAGTTGGGGAGCTCTATCTGGAGGGGGCTTTGGTTGGCAAAGGCTATTTGGGTGACCAGGAGAAGGCAAAGGGCGCCTTTATCGAAGACCCTGAATGGCTTCGCAACGGAAGTCCGTCAGGAGCTATACCTGGAAGGCGTGGTCGGTTATACAAAACAGGTGATCTTGTGAGATACGACCCTACTGACGGGTCCTTCATCTTTGTTGGGAGAAAAGATACTCAGGTCAAGCTTCGAGGGCAGCGCATTGAGCTCACTGAAGTAGAGCACCATATACGCGACTGCTTGCCTACCAGCCTAGGAGTCCAAACCGCCGTTGCAGAAGTCGTGACGCCCAAGGCCACTGGGAGAACAGCATTGGTCGCGTTTCTGCAGATGGGACCGACCGAGGAGGAAATCAATATCAGGGATACTCTAGATGACTTGGAGTACGATTTGCGACAGCGATTACCAGCATATATGGTGCCCACAGCCTTTATACCTCTGGAATACATCCCACTAAGCTCGAGTGGCAAAACAGATCGGAAGAAGTTGCGTGTCTTGGGGTCCAAGTTGACGCTGGACCACTTTGCATGGCCGGGGGAATCTGCAAGTAGCGGCGATTCGCAGCTTACTGAGTCGGAGTCTTGTCTGCAAGAATTATGGATGGCTGTGCTGGGGGTTTCGGCGGAAAAGATTCGGAAAAGCAGTAGCTTTTTACGACTTGGAGGAGATTCAATATCTGCCATGAGATTGGTCGCTATGGCTCGTACCCAAGGATTCAACCTGACGGTCCGAAACATCCTCGAGGCGGCACGACTCTCTGAAATGGCAAAACTCATGACTTCGACAGAGTCAGCAAACCCCGGGGGTTACGATAAGACACTTGAGCCGTTCTCTTTGTTAAAAAGACCCGACCAGAAAGACCAAACTATCGAGCGTATAGGTAAGCAGTGCGGCATCGATGGCTCGCAGATCGAGGACGTCTTCCCGTGTACCGGAGTCCAGAAATCCCTTCTGTCAATGACGGCGAAGTCAGAAACTTCATATGTCGCCCGATTTTCTTTGCGGCTGAGGGACGATGTTGATATTGAGCGTCTGCAGTTGGCTTGGAAAAGCGTGAGTGAGACGTCGGCGCCTATTCTGCGATATAGAATAGTCGATGCTCCTCAGGAGGGCCTTGTGCAAGTGCAGGTAAGAGAGCCGATGGAGTGGCATACCTATGAGAGCGTCGAGACATACCTTCAGCATGACCAGCGCCACTCAATGGGGCTTGGCAAGCGCCTGACAAGACTCGCGGTTGTCCAAGGCCCCCGGGTTGAAGGGCGTTTCTGTCTCATCACTCAACATCATGCAATCTATGATGGCTACTCCTTGAACCTGCTTCTTTCAGAAGTGTCCAAAGCATATGCCGGTAAAATAAACGACGATCCCGTGGCCCCCTTTCAGCAGTTCATCCAGCATATCATGGAAGTCGATGATGAGGAGGCAAAAAGGTTCTGGAGTGATCAGTTTTCGGAGCTGGAGGCAATCCCATTTCCAACACTACCCCATCAGACCTACCGGCCAAAGGCCGACTGTACCGTGAGGCGCCATATAAAAGACATTGAGTGGCAGAAGGGAGAAGCCACTGCCTCCACCAGTAAGTACTTGATGAGATGACCGCTCTGGTTTTGCCATTCCGGTTCCCATGACTGACATTTGTGCCCGGCAGTAATCCGAGCAGCCTGGTCAATCCTCACAGCTCGCTATACCGATTCGAACGATGTGATCTTCGGGGCAATGGTCACGGGGCGACAGGCTCCGCTGGTCGGCCTCGATCGCATGATTGCGCCTCTCATCAACGCTGTTCCCGTGAGAGTGAAGATCGAGCCAAATGATACTGTGGATAGATTGCTGCAAAGGGTGCAATCTCACGCAATCACTACAATCGCTTTTGAACAAACGGAACTTCTCCATATCCGCAGAATTAATGCAGACACCGAACGCGCAAGCCGCTTTAACACCCTATTGGTGGTACAGCCACCGAGCGAGACGGACTATGCGAATGAGGGTGATGGGCTATTCCAGCACAAGCCTGAAGTAGTCTCTACCCACGATGGCCTCGACGACTTTAATCCTAATGCAGTGATGGTTATGTGTCAGTTGACACAGTCCGATGGCCTCAAGCTAGAGATTAGCTTTGACTCCAAGGTGATGGATGCGCCGCAAATGGATCGAATAGCCCGTCAGCTCGAGCATGTTTTGCGCCAGATTTGCGCCTCGAGTACTCGGAAAGTGGATGATATCGATGTCCTTAGTCCGCAAGACCTCCGAGAATTGTGGGCTTGGAATGGTTCGGTGCCCGCCGCCGTCCAAGACTGCGTTCACGATTTGATTGGGAGAACAATGAAGCGCCAGCCTCAAGCACCAGCCATCTGTTCTTGGGATGGGCACCTATCATACGCAGAGCTCGATAACATGTCACACCGCCTGGCATCTCATTTGATTTCCCTTGGAGTCACGCCAGGCAGCATAATACCTCTCTGCTTCGAAAAGTCCATGTGGTATCCGGTCGCAGCTCTAGGGGCCATGCGGGCTGGCGCGACAGCGATTGCAATGGACTCGACTCAGCCGGAGTCACGACTGAGGTCCATTGTCCAGCAGGTAAGTCCTGCGCTTATACTGTGTTCTATGAGCAATGAAGCGTTGGCGAGCCGCCTCTCCGATGCTGCCGTGGTAGCCGTTGATGGTAGTCGCATTCCGGCGGACGCCTCATACATGCTGCCCAAAGTTCATCCGTCCGACATCTTATACGGTACGTATAGCTCTGTCGCCTCCCTTTTCTTCTAAACAGTAAGCATGCTGACGTTAATAATCCCAAATATGCAGTTGTCTTCACCAGCGGATCGACGGGTGTGCCGAAAGGTATCCTAACAACACATGAAAACTTTGCCTCCGCGGCGATACATCAGCGGGACATCCTGCATATACGCACCGGAACCCGCGTCTTCGACTTTGTGTCATATAGCTTCGATGTCTCCTGGTCCAACCATTTGCAAACATTAATTTGCGGAGGCTGTCTGTGTATTCCTTCGGAGTGGGAGCGCAAGAATGACATTTCGGGTGCTCTCAATAGAATGGAGTGCGATTATGTTTACTTCACGCCATCGGTGGCCCGAGCCTTGGCGCCATCCTCAATGCCAGGCATAAGGACCTTGGCAATGGGGGGAGAGCCGATCCAGGCCTCTGAAGTAGCGAGATGGACTCAGGCGGATACCATCCTGGGAATTTACGGCCCTGCAGAATGCGCTCAAGCACTGTCCTTTGCGTTGCTCGACTCGAAGACACGCAATAATTACGTCGGACATGCGTTCGGTGCGAGGACATGGCTCGTTCAACCAGGCCAACCTGATCGCCTTGCCGCGATTGGCACTGTGGGAGAGCTCATGATAGAGGGGCCAACCGTTAGCAAAGGATATTTCCATGATACCAACAAGACCAAGGCAGCTTATATTCAGGATCCCGCGTGGCTTCTGCGAGGTGGTCGCCACGGGACCCTCTACAAGACCGGCGATCTTTTACGGTACAACTCGGATGGCTCTATGGACTTTGTTGGCCGCAAAGACGGGTTGATCAAGCTTCGTGGACAGCGAATCGAGCTGGCCGAAGTCGAATATCATGTGCGTTGCTGTCTAGACCCCGGCTTGTGCGACGGCATCGCCGCGGAAATCCTCGTCCCGCGAAACAGTCTCAACCCGATCCTAGCCGTTTTCTTCAGTCTTCGAAGAGATGACCCAAGCGAGTCCGAGGACGATTTGCAGTCAAGGTTCAGGCTTATTATTGACGGCCTGGAAGGAAAGTTATGGGATCGTGTCCCACAGTAGTAAGCATTCGCCCCTGGCTCTATCTGCAGTGGTGTTGAAAGAATGGGGTGCAATGCCATGTTGGGGAGAGCATCTGAACCCATCAAGTCGACTCATGCATATCATATATACATATTGACTAACGCTTGCTTTATAGCATGGTACCTGGAGCATATATACATGTTGAGAATATTCCCATGACGACAACGAATAAAACCGATCGCAGAGCGCTGAGAGAACTGGGAAGCAAGCGAACCCTTGAGCAGCTGGCCAGATCACAATCGCGGGGCAAAACGAGCCACATGCCGTCTACTGTAATGGAAAAGAAGTTGCAGGCTTTGTGGTCTTCCGTTCTCGAGATCAATGCCGAAAGTATCACTGCTGACAGCAGCTTCCTTCACATCGGCGGCGAGTCCATTGCCGCGATGCGCTTGGTATCGGCGGCGCGCGAGCAAAATTTGTCCTTGACTGTCGCGGACATATTCAAGGCGCCTCGTCTATCTGAATTGGCGTTACTGGTCGACGAGGTCGTCACAGACGAACTTCCCGAGTCGGCACCGCCGTTCGCTTTTATCAAAACCGACAGCAGTCATGCTTTCATCGAGAAATATGTCAAGCCAGTGCTGGACGTTGTGTATAAATCCGTCAAGAACGTGTTACCCGCGACGGATTTCCAACAGCGCTCAATTCAAGATGCCCTCGAAGATCCGCCAAGCAGATACCCTCACTGGATTTTCGACTTGCCTGTGGACATCGACTTTGTAAGGCTTGAGCGTGCCTGTTTAGAACTTGTGGACTATTTCGACATTCTGCACACCGTTTTTATCCAGGCTCAGGGTCAGTTTTGGCAGGTCTTATTGTCGGGCTTCAGGCCAACATACGATCATGTCGACGCACGCAATGAAGACATATTGACATTCACAAACGGCATTTGCGAGCAGGACCTCAAAAGGCCACGGAGCCTAGGTCAGTCATTCATTCGCTTTATCAGCGTCCAACATTCTTCCGGCAAACACAAACTTGTATTCAGAATCTCGCATGCCCAATTTGATGGTTTCAGTTGGGGATTAGTTCTCCAAACGCTATCATCTATCTATCAGCAGCAGCATATGCCAGCTACGCCGTCCTTTGCTGAGTACATTTCGCTCAAAGAAGCGAAAAAGAAAGAAAGCGAGCTGTACTGGACCTCTAGACTCCGGGGCTCAAAATTCCCAGCATGGAGCTCTATCAGTCCAGCACATGAGACGTATACAACCGACGATAGGCTGACAATAAAGAAGACAATTCCAATACCGAATAGTCAGAACCATGGAGGTTTCACGCCGGCGGTTGTATTCCACGCGGCCTGTGCAATCGTCCTATCACGCCAGTTCGGACAAACGGATCTAGTCTTTGGTCGTCTTGTGACTGGCCGTTCCATGCTACCAAGCCGTCTTCAAAACGTCGTTGGCCCCTGCATGACAGAGGTTCCAGTACGAGTGACCCTAGACTCGAATAGCGCGCTCACAGACGTTGCCTCGCAACTACACAGCCGATTTATCGAGGACTCATTACATGAAGCCGCAGGAATGGTTGAGATTATCAAGAACTGCACTGACTGGCCTGACAATGCAATGGATTTCGGTTGGCGGACTTCATTCCAGCAAGAAGAACAAAGTGATTTCTCATTCCTTGGATCGCGTAGCGCTATCTCATTTTACGAGCGGCCACTGCTTCCCCGCAGCCGTCCGGAGATTTATGCTACACCACGAGGAGGCAGCCTTGATCTTGAATTTGAAGGAAATTGCAAACTTATCTCTAAAGCTGTTATAGAAGACATTTTAACAGAGCTTGAGTATATCTTGCAGTAGAGATATAAAGGTAATAAGCAGTCTTATATATTATAATTAAAGAGGATTTTTACTTATAATTAAGTAATATATAAAAGTATATTATAAGTAAAATATAAAGAAATATAAAGAGAATATTAAAGTAATAGCTAAATACTAAATAAAATATTAAAAAATAATTATAAATAATATAAGAATTAAGATTTTATAAATTATAAAGCTTTTTAAATAAATTATATATTAGCTTTAATATAATAAACTAGTGTCTTTATAATTAGTAAGAACAGTCTTCTTAAAGGATAAACCTAAGGTTTAAGGGTTTATATTAATAAAGAGGTTAAGTTAAATATATTAGCAGTAACTTATTATATAGCTAGTAATACCTTTAGTAAATATCTAAGTTTTAATCTAATTATATATTATAACCTAACCTTATAGTTATAATAGTAGGCCACCTTTAGTAAACAGCACTAGATAAATATTAGGCTATTTAACTAATTAAGAACTACTTAATAAACTTAACTATTAAGTAAATTAAGAATAACTTAATAAACTTAAGGATTAAGTATATTAAGGATATTAAGATAACTAGCTATATAAGAATATATTTATATTACTTATTTAAATAGTTTAAATAAATAGTTATTATTATATAAGTAGTATAGTAATAATAATATAATTAAATTAAAACCTAAATATTTACTAAAGGTATTACTAACTATATAATAAGTTACTACTAATATATTTAACCTAACCTCTTTACTAATATAAACCCTTAAACCTTTAGTTTATCCCTTAAAAAAGACTATTTTTATTAATTATAAAGATATTAATTTATTATATAATAATAACTTTTATTTAGAAGGTTACTTTAGACCCTTAAGTAGTAAAGTATAAGAAAAGTATTATTTATATAAAAAAGTAATAGTAATAAGTTAATATAATAACTTTAATATAATTAGATTTTAAGCAAATAGCTTAAAATATAGCTAAAAACACAGCTCTTTAATAACTTATAACTCTTAAAGCCTTAGTTTAATAAGTAAACTAAGAGTAAGCTTAATAATAAGTTACTATTATAACTTTAAAAGCTTAACTAAACTAGTAGTAAGTATTATTAATTAATAATATATAAGCTTAGTATAATAAAAAATAACTTAAAGAAATTATTAAGCTATTAATACTAGCTATATATAATAAAAATATAAAAAAGACTAAAGTGTTTTTTATAAATATAAAAATATACTTTAAGTATTTCTTAGTAACTATCTTAAATAATAAGATAAAAGTATAAATTACTGCTTCTTAACTTAATAAGGCAGTAATATTATAACTTAACCTTATAGTTATAATAATAGGCCACCTTTAATAAATAGCACTAGATAAATATTAGGCTATTTAACTAATTAAGAACTACTTAATAAACTTAACTATTAAGTAAGTTAAGGATAACTTAATAAACTTAAGGATTAAGTATATTAAGGATATTAAGATAACTAGTTATATAAGGATTTATTTATATTACTTATTTAAATAGTTTAAATAAACAGTTATTATTATATAAGTAGTATAGTAATAATAATATAATTAAATTAAAACCTAGATATTTACTGCTTATATTACTAGCTATATAATAAGTTACTGCTAATATATTTAACCTAACCTTTCTGCTAATATAAACCCTTAAACCTTAAGTTTATCCTTTAAGAAAGACTATTCTTACTAATTATAAAGACACTAGTTTATTATATAATAATAACTCCTATTTAAAAGGTTACCTTAAACCCTTAAGTAGTAAAGTAATAAAGAAGTATTACTTTAAAGTAATAGTTAAAGTAAATATCTTAATATTCTAATAGTAATATTAAATTTAAAGATAAAATAAGTATTTTTAAAGCAGCCTTTTAAAAACAGGAAGAACCTATTACTATAAAAAAACTTATAAAAGAACTTAAGATTTAATAAGGAATTATTAATACTCTTAAAAAATGCCTTAATTAAAAATATAAAAAAAAACTTAAGGAAATTATTAAAGCCTAGCACCTTAAAAAGTTTAATAGCAGCCTATATAAGATTTAATAATTTTTTATAAACCTTAATAACTACTTTAAACTATTTAAGGAAATATTTAATAAGGATAATAATAAAATTAAGTATATTAAAACTTGCTTTACTAAAGCTACTAAAGATTAATTTAAGCTACTTATAAAAGACTATTATAAGTATACTAAAGCTAATTAATAATTAAAAACCTAAGCTACTTTTAAAAACTTTAAAGGTTTTATAAATTAAATTAAAAAAACCCTTAAATTAGTTAATAAAATATATAAAGCTAAGTAAAAACTTTTATATATTAAGTAAAAAGGCGCTTTATTTAAATATACTATTTAGTTTATTTAACTTCTTACTAAAGTTAACTACTTAAAAAAAGCTAAGATAGCATTATATTATAATAGCTTAAAGACTAAAGTTAAAAATAAATTATATAAACTAGATTAACTTAAAACCTTTATAAAATACTTATAAATAGTAATTACTATTAATAACTACTAATATGCTAAAAGGTTAAAAAAATAATAAAAAAAGTTAAAATTAAATAATAAAAACTACTACTTTAATTAAAAGAGTTATCTTAACTAAAGTAAAAAAAGAGATATTATATTTATAAATAATAAATACCTTAAACTAATAGACTTAAATACTATTAATTATAAAAAGTATAACTAAAAGAATATTAAATACTATAATTATAGCAAAAAGGGATATATTATAAAATTCTACTATAGCTTAAAGAGGAATAATAATAAGAAGTAGTTACTTATTCTTAAGCTATAAGAGAAAAGAAATATTAATACTATAGCGCTTATTATAAATTATAAATATTTTAGTTAAACTATATATTATAATAATAATTATAGGATTTACCTTAGTAAAAAAGAGGGATTAGGATAGTTTTTAAAGAAACTAAGAAATAAGAAATATCTTAATACTTTAGCTATATAACTATTAAATAATAGTAAATTTAGAAATAATAGTATTTTAAACTTAAAAATAGCTTAACTTATTAATAATCTTTAAATTAATAACTCTTAGCTTAAAAAGAAAATAATTTAAGAATTAAAAGTAAATAATAAGATTATAAAAGCTATAAGAATAAAAAAACTAAAATAAAAATATTATAAAGGATATAAATCTTAAAATACTAATAATACTAAATATAACTATAGTTATTACTTTAATAATTAAGAACTAGTAATCTTTAATATAATCTTACTTTACTCTTTAATTAATAAAATAGCTAAAAGAGCTATAAATAAGCTTATACTATATAGTAAAAGAACTAAAAAAGGACTTATACTAGTAATTCTTATAAAAGTAGCTATTAGTAAGAAATTATAAAATAAATAATAACTATAATACTATTAAAGCATAAATAATTTAATAGTATTAGATTTTCTTTTTATAAAAGCTAATATAAAATAAAACCTATTTATTATAAAATATAGTAAGAAGAATAAAAATAACTATAATAAAGTCTTTTATTAAGACTATATTATAAGTAAGGTTATAAACTAGTATAACTAAAAGTAATAAATAATATATAAATAACCTTAGCCTCTAATCTATATTAAGTGCTAGCAGCACTTAATAAAATAGGTGGCCTATGCGCAGCGGCTGCATAGTGTAAAGCTTTATATAACCCTACCAGGCTATAGTAGCAGCACTTAATAGCCTAGGGCTTAATAAATAACTAGCCCTATAGTAAAACCCTAGAACTAGAAACCCCCCCTTATTATAAAGCTAGCCTTATATACTATATATACTTTATATACTTTACCCTATCTATATAAAAGTATAACTACCTACTACCTACCCTATATATTAATATACTAACTACTACTACTACTACTACTATTACTATTACTATAGCAGCAGCCTAAGCCTACCTCTTTAAACTATAAGAGAGCTATATACTTACTATACTATAATTCCCTCTCCCTCCTCTTTCTTTCTTTCCCTTCTTTTCTTCTTCTGCTTAGCTTTACTATAAAGCATTAAGCAGATAGCTATAAAGAAAAGGCAGCTAGCACTACTACTACTATATAAAAGGCTAGCCTTTAAGGTAAATAGTAAAGTTAGTAAAAGTAAAAGGATAAAGGCTAAAGATAAAAGCAGGTAAGTAAGCCTATGCTTGCTTATTAAGTATATAAAGAAAGCAGTAAAAAGGAGAGAGGGTTAAAGGGGGGGTATAAGGCTATAGTATAGTAATATAGTAAGCAGTATAATAGTATAAGTATATAATATATATAAGTATAGTAAGTAAGTAAGTAAGTATAATAAAAAAAGGTAGTAAGTATAGTAGTTATAGTAAGGGTAGTAAGTATAGTTAGTTATAGTAAGTATAGTATAGTAGTATAAGTAAGTAAGTAGTATAATAGTATAAGTAAGTAAGTAAGTAAGTAAGTAAGTAAGTAAGTAAGTAAGTAAGTAAGTAAGTAAGTAAGTAAGTAAGTAAGTTAGTTAGTTAGTAAGTAAGTATTAA